TGAACACATAGGTGGAAAGCTACTAATGACTTTATTTTAAGAATAAAAAATAGATAAACTAGTTTAAAAGCCACTAGTAACTTCGACCACATAGGTGAAAAGCTACTTATGACTTTATTTTAATCAAATAGAAATGAAGTAAACTAGTTTAGAAACCACTGGCGGCTTCAACTACATAGGTGGAAAGTCATCGATGACTTCGTTTCAATCAAACAAAAATTAAGTAAAAATATCTAAAAGCCACCGGTAGCTTCTTCCATACAAGTGGGAATCTATCGAAAGCTTTATTTTAATCGAATAGAAATCAAATAAATTAGTTTAGAAGCTACCAATGGCTTCAACCATAGAGGTAGAGAAGTTACCAATGACTTTATTCCGAGTCGAATAGAAATAAAATAAACTAGTTTCAAAACCATTAACGCCTTGAACCACATAGGTTAGAAGCCACCAACGACTTTGTTTCAACCTAACGAGAATCGAGTAAAACGGTTTTGAAGCCACTAAGTGGCTTCAACCATATAAATGGGAAGTCGTTGAAGGCTTCATTTCAATCGAATAAAAATCAAGTAAATTAGTTTGGAAGCCACTAGCAACTTCGATCACATGGATAGGGAAGCAATCGATGGCTACATTTCAATCAAATAAATCCAAGTAAACTAGTTTAGAAGCCATCGGTGGCTTCAATCACATAAGTGAGAAGCAACTAATGGCATCATTTCAATTGACTAAAAATCATAATAACTAGTGGCTTCAACCACATAAGTTGGAAGCCATTAATGGTTTCATTTTAAATGAACAGAAATCAAATGAACTAGTTTGAAAGCCACTAACAGACTTTGACCATATAGTTGGAAACCACTAACGAGTTCATTTCAATCAAATAAAAATCAAGTAAACTAATTTAGAAGCCACCAGAGTGGCTTCAACCACATAAGTAAAAAGTCACCAATGGTTTCATTTCAATTGAATAAAAATCAAGTAAACTAGTTTGAAAGCCACCGAAGCATCAACCATATAGGTGGGATGCCGATGACGACTTTGTTTCAATCGAACAAAAATTAGGTAATCATACATCAAACATGAATATCACATAATCAGCATATCACACTTAACATATCAAATCGACCATATTATTCAACATAAACACAAGTATTATATTCAAATATGAACATCAAGATCGATACTTATCTTAGATACACCATTGAAATTAAAATCCAATATCATCCTTTCGACTTCATCGTAGAGCATTGACTCAATCGACTTTATTTCACCTAAAAATATATGAGGTCTCCTACCTTTTCGAGTTTGATACAAATGATGTATCTAATCACCTTTTAAATTTCTCAACAATCACAACCAATAGAATTTCATTTTTTTTTATCTAAAATAAAGTAGTTCAAAATAATTTTATCAATAATATCAAATCGGTCTAAATTTTTGAATGTTATCGAAAATTAGTCGAAAGTTGCTCGAAAATGATAAAAGCTCTGTTTGGGGTCAATTATACTCTTTTTTCCTTGATAAAAACTAATTGTTCAAGTAATCAAAGAAGGAAAGCAATTGTCTATTGCCAAAAGCAAATCTTTTGTAATTCAATGAAAGAAAATAGAGCATATATCGGTGGTTGTTGATCGACAAAATCACCGTTAGTGACTACGATGGGTTTGAAAGAGAATCGGTGGACTTGGGGTGACCGATGAAGTTACTGCCGAGGTGTTAACTCTGTTGGCGTGGTTGTGCATTTATGGCCAAATATCATGAAATATTAAAAGCCCCTCTCTTAGGTCGAGTGGAGGTTTTAGCCGTGCTTTTTTCCTAGTTTATCTCATATGGATAATGGTTGTTTGAGCTAAAGGAAATGAAGGAAGAAGAGAGTGGTGGTTGGTAGTATGTGTTTGGGTTGGAGAAGATGAAGAAAGAGGGGCTGCATTTTTCATGTAGGGTGGTTCAAGTAAGCTTGTTTTAGGCAAGGTTGGTTCGTGACTACTTAGAAGGGGTTTAGTGGTGCTTGTGGTACCTTGTCTAGTAATGGTCGGTCGGAGGAAGGGATGGCAATGATCGAAGGTCTCTCTCTCTCTCTCTCTCTCTCTCTCTCTCTCTCTCTCTCTCTCTCTCTCTCTCTCTCTCTCTCTCTCTCTCGATTTTTGCTTATAAAAAAGATAATGGATAATAGTGTCTTTTGATGGTTTTGATAGAGCGAGAGTTGTCAATTGGATTGGTAGATGGTGGTCGGCAAAAGAAGATAGGGTTATGGTTTGTTGGTTGTAATGGTAGCTAGCGGTTTGGGGAAGATCGGGTAGAGGTCGAAGAAGCTCGATGAGCTTAGTGAGGTTGGTCTAGTTTGAAGAGGTGGTCGACGACTTGGTGAAGTTTAGATAGAGGTTGAAGAAGCTCGAGTGAGCTTAGGGAGGCTAGTCTTGGCAGCGGGTTTCAACTGGAAGTTGTGGTTGTTGATCTTGGCAAGAGGTGGTGTGTGTCAATTAGTTTAGATGAAAAGAGAGTTAGGGTTTGTTTGGCTAAATGGAGGAAAGAAGATGAATAATGTTCGCTTTTATTCAACTCTCTCTAATCTTTATTTAAGGAATTAAGGATTGATGATTATTTTTCACGTTTTCATTCAATCCTTTGAAAAACATAAAACTAGATTACATCTTCTTCGACACTTAGTAAAGTAGCTTAACTTCATCTGTCTTTCTCAAATTAATATTGTTATTAGATTAAATATATCTAATACTTAGTATATTGTTCAATAGCTAAGGAATTAATTGAGTGTCATATATTCGGTTAACGACTAAGAAAAGATTAAAGTCAACATACATTTTGTCTTATAGTGAATATTCATGTTTAGGATAAGTTACTTACTTAATTGATGATCAAAATGATTTGACACTGGGAGATAAAAAGGGAATAGGAATACTAAAATGATGCGGAGATTCTCGCTAGAGAGGAACAAAACCAGCAGCCTTTATGACACAATAATCAGCTTTTATCATAAAGATCACCATTTGACATTTGACAGTTCATGACATGAAATTGATGCTACATACATGCTCTTCCACATCCTCATCACCATCCCCAGTACATTAACACAATCACAATGTCATTAAAACCCATACCTCATAGACCACTCTGTTTGACAGTATGAATTACCATTGCGTGCTCTTTCTTCTGTTCATGTATAATTGTTATGCAATGATCAAGGAATAAATTTTTGGATCCCCTTGGCAATACACATCATCACTTGGAGAGCAAATTTTCAGCCAACTTATCCAATTATCTCAACTAGTTGTAAATTTCAGCCAGAACTATAAAACGTAGAAATATCCAGCAGCCCATGCACACATCAAATAATTTTTAAAAGATCTTGTGGGTTAAATCTGCCTGTTCCCTTACCCTGGTGGACTCCTTGCTATTGATAGAATTTGTTTTATTGTTTTGTTTCTTTAAGATTGCGCCAGGTAATGGCACCTCGTATCTTGTCAACATTCCCCTAATAAGGTTTTGGCTTGATTTCTCAATATTCTCCAGCAGACCCACTGAATACCTCCATATATCATCCTTTGAGCAAGTGCTTGAACTCTCTTACAGCTTGTGGAAATCAGCCACTATTCGTAAGCTATATTGGTACAGATGAACATCCAGTTTATGCATCATAGCAATCAAATCCCTACATTGCCACATACATGCCTTGTAAAATCCGTGATAATAGTAAACTAAAATATAGGTAACTAAAAAGAAATGAGAATTTTCCTAAACACCTAAAAAGTGAATCTCAGTGGGAACAGATATCTGTGCAGTTAGTATAAAAGAAATGGGAATGTGCAGTTAGTATAAAAGAAACAATACACATCAGAAGGAGCGGTAATTGCTAGTGGCTGCCAATACGTTTGTGCACAGGAGCGTGCTAGTCTCAGAGTCTTAGACATCTATATAAACAGAAATTGCAGAATTAACATACTAATACAGATGAGCAATTAAACTGCCACTTAAATCAGTTTGAAAGTATCAACAATTGTAACAGATTTGGAAAAGAATATCAAGCAATACAATTTTCCAAATTCATCAACATAATCTCTAGGAAAAAGAACAAAGAATAAACGCCTAAAGTACCAAAAATAAAATTTCCTCCTGATAGATTTATAAGAGTGGAATAGCTAATATGTGTTAGCACAAGAATCCACCTTCCCCACCGCCCCAACAAACCCAAGGAAGAAAAAAAAATTCATCTCTCATCTCTCACTATCATCAACTCTAGTGTTGCACTTTGGTGGTTATTTTATTGTCCAGATTTTCTGTGGTCATTAGCTATCATCTACCATCATAACCTTCTAGTTCAGGCACCGCCATCCAAGAGCAGGCACACAACTTCCTAATAACAGTAATAAGACTTTTTATTGACAAATTCATAATCAAAATCTAACACTGGAGAAATACAGCATTAAAGTGCACAAAAGGAAGAGCAATCAGAAATTTTCACAATCTTGCTACAAAGATATTAATATTTTTTCTTCTTTGATGTCCAATCATGGAGATGGTAGGTCATGACTCTGCTATATGCAAATACACAACCATTTTGACTCTTCTTCCTTTTAAGCCAACCCAAACAGTACTCAGTACATAAAATAAACTGAACACCAACCATGTAGCCAGAAAACACATGCCCGTGAGAATGCTAAAACATATGTGCTTTTGTGCCACAAAGCTACTTAGAATGTGAATGAGCAAGACCGAAAAATTCCTATTATAAATTACAAAAGGCAAAATAATTAAAAGGTTTTGAATTATCAGCGACTTGTTCTAGAAGGCAAGCCAATTTCATGAACAATGGTCCTCCTATGACTGTATCATTGATCTCTAATTAAAAAAAAAATAAAAAATAAAAAGGCTAGAATGCTTGGACAAAAAACAGAACTTTAGCATATGTTTAGAAACATTAAGGAAACTCACTTATGCACACAACAGAACAAAGTGAATTGATAATTACCTAATGATGCTGCCGATCAAATACAAACAAGAGACTCGAAGTACTGATAGGCATCATGCCCTTCGTAATCCAATGCAGCACCAGCAACACCAGCAAATCTAGGTTTTGGATCTATATCGCATATCTTATTTGATGTCCCACTGTGAAAAGCATAGGACATGGCTCTGCCATCCACAAATAGCACAACTGTTGACTCCTCTTCCTCCATAGCCCGAACAACACCCAATACTGAAAATGCAGTGTACGTCCTCGTGCAATCCCAAACAAGTTCAGGAAATGCCATCCTCATAGAAAGAAGATTCACATGTTATCTCACAAACCATCTAGAATAATCCGATGCCATCTCCAAAACATCAAATTCTAAAGCAGAATGGTCATCGCTCATAACCATATGCAAATGACCCAAAGACTCTCCAAAATACATCACTTTTTGAACCCTTTTATCCCTCCTTACCACAGGAGGCATCCGCATTGTCTTCAAACTCTCACTATCAACATCAAAATACAGCGTGGTCTCGTCATGACTGTACCAATGAACAGCACCATTACAAAAAACCCCAGCACGTAAGTGCATTCCATTTGGCTTTCGAAAAGGGATTCGCAATAATCCCCACGATTCAGTCTCCGATGAATATACATCAAGTTCAAACTTGCCCATTTCAGAATTCACTTCTCGCATACAAATAACCTTGTAAAAAGGCGATTTTAAAGGATCAAAGACCAAACTAAGATAGGAATTAGAAGTATCAGGTGTTTCAATAGGAAAGAGAATTGCTTAGTAGTCGGATTACAAACAAAAAACCTATAGCCACTATCATCATCATCGACCACAGAAGTACAATAATCAGCAAAATAATCAAAGCTGGTGTCGGTTATGTACCTTTCCCATTCTTTGTTTTTGGGATTGACCAAGTAAGTCGAAGAGCAAATGAACAACCCATTACAAGATTGCTCTATCTTGACGCGAGGAACATTGAGATAATCCAAGAAAGGGATTTTTGTATCGTGTTTTAGAGGGACAAGCTGGAATTCAGGAGTTGGAGGGTAGTAGTTGTTGAGCATGAGAGAATTAGGTGTGGGGTTTCGGATTCGTTGGTGGCGAGCATGGGAGAATCGGAATTTGGGGTCGGAAATTAAAGATAGCCATTGTTTTGATACAGAGTTGAACTTGAGCAGTGATTTTGCAGGTAGTCGGAGGAGAATTTCGATTAGGAGGTCATGATTGGTGCCGATGGTTTCGCCTGATGAAGAAATGCCTGGTTTTAGTTTCGTGTTGATCATCCCTGAATTATGGAATTTTTTTTTCTCCGAATTGGAAACGAATGAATAATAATGAGTTGACAGCTTTTGTTTTGGATAAAACTCATATATATTCCTTTTCATTTGAGTCTTAAACCGATAATTTTATTAATTTGATTCCAAAAATTTCAGGAAAAAAATCTCAATTAGATCTTTTTATTAATAATGTTCATCAATATTTACGTCAAATTTTCTTCAATCTGATATTTGTTTAGTACATAAAATATGCGCATTAGATTGAAATTGTTTAATATTTATTTTTTTTTCCTTAAAATCAATGTCATTAATTATTAATAAAAGAAACTAAAAGAGATGAGCGTTTTGAACATTAATTTTTACTGTTCATCTCCTCCTGAATTATTATTCACACACCGTAGTCTAGCATGGTTTTTTTATATATATAATTTTCAAATTGTTTTTGGATATTAATATTCAAAATTTACATCATATTTAATTTTGGTCTCTTAAGTTTTACGAAAAAGTTTTAATCCCCTAACTGCAACATTGCATTGGGCTTGCTGTATTGGGTCTGCTTCTGCAGGCCCAGCCATGCAGGCTTGCCTTGGGCATGTTGAAGCTAGGCATGCAAGCCTGCTGTTTCTTTTTTCTTTTTTTCTTTTTTTCTTTTTTATTTTTTTCTTTGTTTTTATTCATCAATTTTTGTTTTTTTTTTAATTGGGTTTAAAAATTATGAAAAATCAATAGTTATTATTTTCTTCACACAAGTTGAAGATTATGTAATAGATAAAATATGTTTTTAGATTTTAGATGAATATATATTACTCTTATTATTTAAAATTATTATCTTCGATTTATTTTTTTTTATAAAAATTCTCGTGAAGTTAATTTTTATTCTTTTTTATATTTTTTTATTTATTAATAAATATAATTTATTTTCTCTATGTATGGATTTGAATATCTTTTTTTTATAGATGTTTTTATTTACTTAATTCTTTTATAAATCTAGTTTTAAAAATGAAATTCACGTATTTTATTTTCTTATTCTTTATATAATCAAATTTTATCGAAATTAAGTTTTTATTTTTTTTATTGCATTCAATTAACTTCAATATATTTTTTACAATTTAATTTTTTTAAAATATTTTTTAATTTATGCTATACATTTTCACTCATTGAGTATAGTCATGATGTATAAAAAATAATAATATTAGAGTCGTTGACTTTATTAGAAATCAACTATGCATCCACACACACAATATCAATCATTTGTTATTATTTTTTTATATAATTTAAAATTAAATTTTTAAATAAAAAATTTAAATAATATTTTAGAAGAACCGCCTAATAATTCAAACAAAATTTTTATACTAATATAATTCATTATTTTTAAATAAATATATATAAATCAAATTTACATATATATTTTTAAAAAATATTCTTCTCATCAATAAAAAAAGCTTCATTTATTAATTTTCATACATGTTTTTATATTAATTGATGTTTTATTTCTTCGATGTAATGTAATGAAAAAAATAAGATGTTTTTTTTTTAAATTTTATATTAATTTTAGTTTGTTATGAGTTTTATTTAAGAATAAATGCATAAGAAAGAAAAAATCGTGTTTTTTTTTAACTTCAAAATTTATTCAAATCATAAAAAAATAGATTACAATTTTGAAAATTAGATGAAATTTTATTTTTTATATTTAATTTAATATATTTTAATTAACTGATAGCATAATATATGTTATCAAACTGAAATAAATATATTTAATTTGGTCTACAATATAATGCGAGAATCCTACTACTTTTAGTCTATAAGATATGCACGATACACTTAAATCATTAAAAAAAAAACTAAACATTGTGAGATTCCGCGTTTTCTTGCATGTAGTTAGTCTTGTAAATGTTATATTTTGTAGAATCTCAAATTCCCAATAGCCTCCACTTTTCTCTCATTTAATGGAAAGTGAAAGAAATATCAAATAAGGATAAATAATATTTTTTTGTATAACAAGTTAAATTTCATAATGCAAATATATATATATATATATATATATATATATATATGATTTTTTTTTTTGAAATATTGATGTTCATAAAGAAAAAATTATTAAAAAAAAAAACGATTGAAAGGATTTCAAGAAAAATAAAGTTTTGTATGACTTGTGGCAACATTATAGAGCTATCGACTAGTATAATATAGCCACAAAAGGTAATGGTAAATAAATTCTCATAAGTTATAATTGAATAGTAACCTCATTATAAGAGCACACTAGGATGACTTTAGTTTTTCCTAGTGTCCCTAGTGATGTAATCAACCTTTTTAGCCAAAACTCTTAGAACTAGTTTGCTAGATTTTTCTTAATGATTACCTTGAAAAAAACTGAATGGTGACTCTACTTTCGAACATTTATTATTTTGACAATCATTGAAAGGTCATCGTGTGACAAAATGACAACTCTACAAAGAAATAAAGGGTTAGCTCATATTTTTATGCTTTGAGAAATATCTTTGATATTTTATGCTATGTCTTTATTAAATGACTTTTCTATTATGATTACTTTGCCTTACTTTTTGGTATAGTGTTTTATCTTGTTTTGCAAGTTCGGTGCGAGATTATTATTGTTCTCTCTCACGCACATCATTAACACATGATACCCACACATATTTATGAGCTCTAAACTTAAGTTCCAGCCAGGACTAAATAGGAAATATCTTAAGGTATGCGTGATTTTTGTCTCATAAGTATTTCTAAAGTCTTTTGCTTATACTGGAACTCGTCCTATGAGCACGAGCTCTTATAGAATTTAATATCCTCTATGGTTCAATGCATATAAGGTGGGACTAAGTTGTTTCACTAGTAACTCAAACAATTTGAAGATCTTCAAAAAGTTTTTTGGATTAGATAATTTCATCTATGTTGTACTTTCGACCTAGAGCTTATTTTATAGGTGTGCTCATCTAAGACAAAGAGAGATTTATGAATGCCCATACCGTTAAGATGTATCATGGTGAGGAAACAATTTTGGAGCATGAATTTGTGGGCTATGAGTTGAGTCAAAAGCAAGATAGAAATGGAAGGTTCCAAAGAATGGATTCTCATGGAAAAAACTAAATGAGTGTCACTTGTAACAATTTTTTGTTAACACATAATTGACTATATTCACACCAAATCAACCGGTATGTTGCCATTGATCAATAAAAATTATTATACTATTTACGGTGACATGTGTCATTCGAATATATCAAGTTAATTAATATTTTCATAAGCATTGGATTTAGGAAATAGTGATGTACTTTACACTATTTTATGTTTAATGAAAATGCTATATTCTACAAGGAAAAAAGAAAAAGAAAAAACCCACATGACACAAAACAAATATGAATAACAATAATTTGACGAAGATAGTAAAACATGGGAAGTTGGATTTTTTTTTTTCAAAAAGAATTAAGTTTTTTTTTTTTTTTGAAAAAAATTTGAGTCATTATTGTGGATTTTTTATGTCAACCTCTAAGAGGACTTCATAACAAAAAAAATGAATGATAATTGGACACGTTCACAGGACAACCAATCTCTCAATCTTGTAGATATATGAATCAAATTAAATTATAAATATAAATTACAACTACTCTTAATGATGTTTTTAGGTTTTATATATATATATATATATATATATATATATATATATAAATCTAGATTGAAATAAATTAAATAGGTTACAATAGGTTTTGGAAACCCTTCCTAGAAAACCATGACTTCCCAACCTCGGTTAGGTGACAGGATTGCAAGGACAATAACTTAAAATTAAAGATGATTTAATATAAAAGTTAAACTCTCTAATGTAGTATATATTCCAAACAAAAAAATTAAACCAAAAATAAGAAAGTAAACTATCAAAATACTAAGAACAATAGGATACAATATGAATAAAAACCCGACAATTATGAACTGAAAAATTTTATAATGCAATATTGTAGTGTTTACAAGACTGAATTTAATGAACTTGTAGTAAAAAAAAACAGTAAATATTCACAAATAAATGCACCAAACATAACATATGTTGAAAGAAATAGGGATGATGGTGAGTACAAACACGAACAGAGGATCAAGAACCAACTATAAGCTTACAAAATATCGTCTGCTGATCATTGTCTACAAACTATCACTTAAAAATGATCGCCTACCAGCTATATAAAAAGTTTCAAGTCTAAAGTTTGTAAAAGTACACTTTGAATTGTTGCAATTTACAAGAGTTTGCTTATGTTTGGTATTGTTGTGTGTTTTTCTCTTTGGTTGCAATCGGAATTCATAGACCTTTTGCTTTTCTATGATCTCCAGTTTTAGGCCACTCTCCTTTATGCATGTTATAGTGCTCCTTTTTTTTTTTTTTTTTTTTGGTGCTGCAATTTGCTGTGCTCTTCTTTTCTTGCTACAGTGTCCTGTTTTGTTATCTTTATGCTGCGATCTCTTACGTTTCTTTTAAATATCTGGATCGTGCTTTTATTGCTATTATAATTCTATTATTCTTTAACTACTTGTACGTCACTTTGATCCTCTTAAAAATGAAAAAAACTTCTCACGTTTTTATCCAGCTCTTGCTTGTTAAGTGTCCATCTTTTATTGGTTTCCAGGAAAGCTCTAGCAACTTTACCTAGACTAAATTGATTGGGGTTAATGTGTGTGTTGGACTTAGCCAGCTGGGATGGCTTTTCGTTGAGTGAAGCTCATCAAGAAAGGGTAAGAAGAATCTATTAAAAAACTAGATTGGTTTTTTTTTTTTTTTTGGTCCAATTTACTGGGCCCAGACCCAAAATAAATTTTGATGATAACGAAAGCGTTATTGCATTCTTGCCTAGAATATAGTGTTATTTATTAATGCAATTAACATCATCCAGATGGCTTCTATTTTTCAACTTTAGTCAAAATAAAAACGACGGCGTTGTTCGAAAAGATTAAAAATTTGAAATTCAATCATGTTTGCGCTTCCATTATTTCTTGTTCTTTTTTCTTTTCATGAGAATGCCCATTATTTCTTACTCCAGCTTTATAGTAGAATTTCCGTAGCTTTTAATCTTTAAATTTCCCTTTTAACTTTTCTTAAAAGTAAAAATATATATAACCGGCCTCTCCTAAGCAAAATCCAAGTTTCTAAAAAGATGTGGAAGGCCCAAAGACCGATAGACTAAGCTCTCTTACCAAAGTGCATTTGAATTGCGAAAGGTCTTGGGATTCGAAAAGCCTCGGGCAGTCCTTTTTTGGCTGCTGAGACAAACATCACCACCAATACTGCCACCACTAGCCGTTGAACCCTTGCCCTCGTAGACTGGGCATTTGACCCAAGCCAACAACTACTAGGAGGAAGAAACGGAGTTTCAATTAGAACGCTCCCTTTCTTCCTCATCACGTTCCCTGGTTGCAGCAATATAGCTTGTCTACCCCTTTTAAGCATGTTTCAAGGTGGCTATCTGATAGAGCAATAAGAAAAGCAGGCGTCTAAAAACAACCATGCCCCAGTTATCAAAAATTAAAACAAAAAAACACAAAAAACCAAAACCAAGTACCATGAAAATTTGTCAGTCAACAAATTCACCCTCGTCAAAAAGAAAAGCACGCTACAAATTTTTCACTGCTACATTGCTTTTGTAGTAGTACCAACTACCAAGCACCAGTTCTAATAATATAATTAGGATACAGACACTAGGCCTCGAAATTTAGTTCTAAACTAAAAATTAAATGGCCTTGCATAGGCAGAAGGTTATTCACATCACGGATTTATTTTCACAGTGAATGCAGAAGGCAAAAATGACAAAATTAATACTAATAATAATGATGATAACTCAAGCATCCTGATTGATCAAGTGGCTACAAGTAGTCAATGGAAAACTTCAACTGCGAACCTAACGTGATAAAGAAGACTACTTTTGATGACTGAATACTATGCAAATGGATTCCCTCCAACTGAAGCAACAGGCCCTTGTGTTTGAACATTCCTGTTACGGAGGCAAGTGAGGCAACCACAATAAATTCACTAAAACAAAAGGGCAACAGCAATGACAATGACAGAAAACTCTCAACCAACACCTAACACAGAAAAATGTCAAAAGAAAACTTACCCTAATTGAGGGCTGGGTGCTTGTCCTGCCATATATGCTAAGCCACCTACAGAGACAAAGAAAGGGATTGGATGAAATAAAAGCAAGTTTCATTGCCAGAGATGTATGGAATGCTTTCATAGTTGAGTAACACATTGGTTTGAATGTTTCAGCAGGTTAGTATCTAAGCATCCATGAAATGCTTCAGTGCGCTGTCTGGCCATAATAGTCCCCAAACAACAAAAGCTGAAAAAAAATAGAGTTTCTTGACAGAATCAACAAAAAAGCTTACCTTGTGGTGCAGCAGGTATACATGTCATCGCTGGGTCTTGAGGAAACCATGGTTGAGTCGCACCACCAAGGAAGCTGGATGGCAAATCAGCATTGGGCAGTGCAGCTTGCAAAGAGCTCATGTCCAAAAACTGCAATATGATACACCAAGATTAACTTCTAATACAAGGGGGAAAGTGATGTTAGACTTTGGCAGAATCAAGCATCCATAAGATCTTTTAGATTCTCTTCAGAAGACGACACAACAATTTCCTTCCCTTCATTATATTTCAGATAAGCATGTCTAAAATAAAGGTAAACTAAATATAGTCATGTAACATACAAGGGGAAAGATGCAAGCTGCATGATTACCAATCATTTTGTCTTTTTTTTTCCTTTGAGGTAGCATATACATCCTGATTTTGCCAACAATCACCTCATTAGATGCACGATGAAACCTCACAAAAGTCTTATGTCAACCCAAACAATGTTAGGACTCCAGAACTAGAATGCAAATCACAGTGCAACACAGAGTACGACAGTTACAGATCCAAGAAAGTAGACGAAAGACTACCCCAGCCAGATTATTAATGTCAGTTGGGATGTGTTTTGGAATGGACCAGCCAACATATAGTCCATAACTTAGAAACATGATTGCCAAAATATCTATTACCAGAAGTATTATTAACAGCCTAAAAGAACCAATAACACCCCATCTTTATTAGTGACATTTCTGTCTCAAAATACCCATTTGTAGCTAATGGTTAAAAAATGCCACAGAAGTTATACTTCAAAATGGTATTTGATAGTAGCATGATGAATACTCTTCAATGGAATAGCATTTGTATATCCTTCCTCCAACATTACTTAAAATGATATCCAAGGAGTCACTGCAGCACAATCTCATGCTAAAAAAGCAACTGTTGCTATTTCATAGGTTGTTGCATCTTATAATATATTGCAAGGCATAAGGCTAAAAAGCTTGGCAAGCAGCCCTCTCAATCCTATAAATGAATCACGTATCACATAAAAAGAGAGGTCAATGCAAACAACATACTCAAATCTGTGTTGCACCAGCATATCAAATGGGTGCCATGCAATTGCATCTGCATAAGCATAAAGATGTTTGTCCAGCAGTCTTTTGGATGTCATATTTGCAAGTGAACCTTGGTAGCTGAGGACACAAAAGTCATCTACAACTTGCATGCCCCACCACCAAAACACACACAGACACTCTCCTACTTCTTTTCAATTTGATGATTTTCAAAGTTTTGGTTTGCAATACACAACACATGTGCACAAACAACAGCATACATGAACTAACAAACTAAGGCTTGAACATCATAGGCTGCTCTTGGAGATTACATATGATGGATCTGCAACCATCACTTTGATTTTAATTTGTTCACCTGGATCGGACATGATAGAATTTCAATATGCTAACATTTGCCACTTTCAATTCTTCTGGGACATAAATGACAAGCCAACAGAGAGAATGGATCAAAATTTTGAGGGACTAAATCACGGAACTTCACAGAGAGCTAGTTACTGCTAATTATATTGATGAAACCACAAATTATTAAGAGTTATTGAACATTAGTCCATACTCAATAAACTAAACTTGACATATGGTTACACATAAAAAAGTAGTTATAAATTCAAATTTATTTGGAATAATAGTAAGCACTAGCTTAATGGTCAGCCTAGAGCAGCACAGACAGGAGGTAAAACCCTAAATTCAAGTTCATAAAAACAAACGATCTAAGACGGCCCTCTCCATCACCTAAATCTTTTCCCTTGAAAATGGTCAGTAGCACAAACTAGCAACATTAAAGGAGATATTTTACAAGCATGCAACAACACGATATGGATGACAAGAGAGCTAACAGAACTAAGGATATGATATGGATGATAGTATAGAAATTATTTCAGACAACATCTAGTCAAAGTACTTAATACAGTGTCAAGCACAAACCAGCAAATTTTTTAACTATTACATACCATATTGCTCGGCTCCAAATCAGATTCGTACGGTAGATCAAATGGGTTAATTGACCTATGATCTGCATGAGACTGTGTTTCTTCCTGTTGAAATAAATAAAGAAATAAAACACTGCAATATAGTTATTATGGCTAAGATCATATTTCATCAGACATAAAACTAGTGAATGTGAAGTTTACAAACCATCAAAGGATGTCCTGAAGGAGTATATGATGGCCCCACAACAATATCTGATGGTCCATTAGGACCAGGAAGTACTCCGTTACAGGCAGCTCTTTGAATCCCATCTTTGTTAAAGTCCTGCAAAACAAAGTTTATCAGTCTCAATCCAAAGAATCATAATACATTTAAGCATTGTCAGGTGGAAATAACCTCTGAAGCTCCAAAGCCAAAATACTGATCAGCAGTCGATGAAGGATTGTATAATGCTTGTGGTTCACTACTTTGCTTAATGCCTTCCAGGGGACCATCTGCCACTAAATTATCGAACTCAAAAGCATTCCAGTTCTGAAAAGCATAATTTAGCCATCAGCATATAGAAATAAAATTTAATGATACCAGACATGCATAAAGAAATACCATTTATTCAATATAGGATCACAAAACAGATTTAGAGTGGTCATATACAGCATACCTGAGAACTTGTTTTGCCAGTGGCTTGTACGCTGTGCAAACCGCCAAGCCAGGGATCAGCTACTGATGATGAACTATGATCAACAGAGTTTTGAAAAGGTGGCCATTGCATACTTGTATGTAATGATGAAACTTGGTCAAATTTTGCTGAAGAACCTACATTGGAAGGTCCTACTGAAGATGTAAGATTCTCAGACCCCGGGTTGGAAGCTGTAGGCTGAGGGACATCAAAAGTTGCCCATCCTTCATTTTTAGGCAGTGAAGAATCTGGTGATTTTTCATCCAAGGTAGAATCTGACTGCTGCTGAGCGCTACAACCAAAGAGGTCTGGAGTGGAAGGAAGAGAGGTTTGGGAAGGCTGATATAAATTAATAGATGAAGCTGGATTTGATCCGGGCACTTGAAACAAATCTACAGATGGAGCTGGTGATGTTGCTGGTAACTGAAATAAATTGATCGGTGGAGCCATAGGAGAGGCTGGTTCTGGAGCAGTTGGTTCCTTGAAAAGATCCAAGCTAGCATGACTAGAAACGGATGCCTGTGGAAAGGCAAGCATTTTTTCCCGGGGATACCCTGCAGCTTGCTCAGCTTCTGCAACAATATCCAGTAAACTTCCTGAATTGTATGACTTGATGGACACAGGATTGCCATCAAATGATCCCATGCTTCCTAATGAAGTAGCTCTCTGAATAGAGGGACAATTCAGTATCAGTTGATAAAAAAAATGAGACTAACATAATCCAGACAGAAAAAAATTGGTAGGAAAATAACGATGCCACCAATACAGACCAAATTTTTTTTCCTTAATGCATGCCATTAACAGAGTGCTCTATCAGAAGTAATCTATTGCTCCATTCTACATCAGTGATGCCTATTTTTTTCCTAAAAGAACAATAAAGGATACATCTCTCAGTTTCCAAACTATTAAGGATCCCAAAATATACAGGTGAAAGCAATCGGTGAATAATGGGTATGCCTCAAAGGGAAATAATCATCCCGAGGACCTGGAGTACATGGCATGAAAACCTTGCCAAGTTGCCAGTGGTTATTATACACTTGCAATTAATGACTTCTTGGCATTTGTGATTTGACCATATCTGCTTCCTTATTGAGTTATTAATTTAGAAGCACAAATGGAATTGACTCAAAGACTTATACATGCTGATATTCTTTGTAACTACAATTCTTCTTCTTAAACCTCCATACCCATTTTGTTACAGAATTGGATACCTCAAAGGGCATAAAAATTGGGTATGATCCTTCAAAATATATAAACAAATTTACAAGAACACGACTGCACCCATGTCTGACACATATGTATCCAAAACCTCTACCTAAGTCCAGATACCATAACTAATATTTTAAACTTATAAAAGAGAATAGACATTTTAAACATTTTTAGAGCAATAATCACCCTTACTGAATTGTTAAACTCCTGATATATGGTATATGGACTCCATGTGACATGTTTTTGGCTAACAAATCATTTTACCATTTCAGAATAACTTTGTAAGAAACAGGAAATAATGATTCCCATAAAAAACTACTGTTATTGTAATAACAAGGTGCTATCTCAATCTTAAAATTGACAAAAATTATAGGTATTTCATTTGTCTGAATATGTCTAATAGAAAAAAAGGGAAATACTATACTATTCAGAACTGTGTTGGAAAAAACTAAGCTGGCATGCCATGCTGTATTTGCTAATTAACTTATAAGTTTCACACCACTGTTAAAGCAATAATAAAAAAATTGGTGGCTCTAAGTTTCCAATTAACATTAAAACTACACTATGTTTTTACAATGTATTGATTGCTTGTTCTCCATATCCAAATAAAGCCATTTTTAAGCCAATCTGATAGTCAGAAAGGGGGATGTTTCCAGTAGGCAGTTCACTGCATTATTGTTGTTGATCTAAGAAGCTTGCTGGAATTGGGTTCAGCTTTCCCTGAAATAATATTGGAGGGAACACACACCCACACACATTAGGGCGCACGTGTAATACAAGAGCTGATCCATGATTCATAACATACAGCTATAATGCAACTATCCTACACAGGCTCCTACAATGCAACTATAATGCAAGTGTCATAGGGAAGTTAATTTGAAGCATATATACAACGATATTATACACGCACACCCCTATTCATGTAATGAGCTAATTCCAGGGTTCATGATGAAAAGCTCATAGATTAATGTGGCATCCCGCCAACTAATTAGTTTTGCAAGCTAGCAAAAGACTATTTCTTAATCAATTACTCATCAAAGCCAACAACATCCATGCCGGCTGCACAAACCTGCCAATAGGTGTATGTGCATTGACATGGATATAGGGTCAGAGTATCAAACAATAAAATAAGAATAAATGTAGGCTTAATGCTACCTTCTTTTAGATCAATAGGTTGACACAAGTAAAGTTTTCCAATTAGCATGATCTATGGCTTAATTAAACTGCAAAATAAATCAAAGGCACAGAACTACATTGTTTATGAAAATCACAACAATGCTCCAGTAGTAACTTTTATATGAAAATCACCAATCATATGTTGCCCAAACAAATCAGCATTATTAGCACAAAAACTAGGTGAAATATGACCTGTGGACGAGGAATCCCATCTGCATCTCTCTTAAAGCTTGCCTCTGGAAATGAATTTGTCTTTTGATGTTTAACATCACCTAAACCATCACTCGACGGCTGAATAGGTGGACTAAATGCGATATCCTTCTGAAAATTTGGTGATTCCGTGCCAGATCTTACTGGATCACCGCCACTAGACACAGAGTAGTCTGAAACCCGATAAACAGAACCCTCGTTTGCAAACCTGTCTTCAAACATCCTTTCATTTAAGTGGGTAGGACTGCAAATAAAACTAGCCATCTTTCCAACATAAAGACTTCGATCTGAACCAGGTTTGCGAGTAAGCGTGTTAGTTTGCTTTCCATAACGACGATCTTCATATTGAAAGTCGTAAGGAGGACTTTGAGAATAAGAATGATAAGAGCTTGCACGTCTTGTCTCGTCTTCATGGCTTCTGATCCTCTGTCAACATGATTAATGAATCACACCTATTAGGCTCTCATTCTAGGCTAAAAAAAGAGAATTTGCAAAGAAACATAACAACATGACATAGATAGTCAGAGTTTGTTTATTATATTTCTTGAAATGAGTTCTTAAAACATCCCTATATATCCAACAAAAAACAAATCATCTGCCCTTCCCAGAAGAGAAACAAAAAACATCATTCTGATGTTCCTGAAAGAAAAACAATTCTGAAAATCTTCATAATTTCTTGCCAAAAGAAAATTTCGAAAATAGTTTGTCACACAATTTCATTCTACTTTCTGAAAGACAAGAACTTATTTAAAACAAAAACTGGACAGTAAACTTCAATAAAATGTTACCATATAGAGATACTGGTTGTTTAATATGATATTACCTGCAAATCTCTTGGAGGCTTATCAGAGGTCTTTCCTCCAGCATATTTTTTATTCACATACACATCCTTTATAAATTCCCGCACTTTATCCACTTTACTGCAAGCAGAAAACACAATCAAAGAAATTTCATATTTATCAACTACAAGCTTAGTTGTAGTACCACAGAAAACTTTTCGCACCTGTTATCAGGCAATCTCTGGCTTTGTTGGTCCCAATCCTTCAAATATATTTCCCTTGCACGCTGGACACATTTAATGTCTCGTCAACATAACAATAAAAATCAAACCGTTCCCAAAGCTGACAAAAATTCACCACTAGCTATACCTGATTGCCACCATTTTGAAGAGCTTCAACTTCTTGGGATGTGAACTTCGACATAGATACCGACTTCACACGATGAGTAAACTCTCGACTGTATAGCACAAAACAGCATAAATAAATCAAAACAAGAAAATGAATAGACAACTCATGCTTAAATGTCGGTTTCAGCCTAAAAGGAAAGGCAAACTCACATTGACTACAGGCATTAATTTAAATCCAAACTATCAGACTTTACACACACACACACACACATATATACTATAACAAGCAGCAAGAAAATCAAGAAAGGAGAAGAAAATACTCACTGAATCCCACTGCAAGTAGTACAAATGAAAGTCCAGAAATTAGTACAAACATACTGTGGACCCTGCATTTTTTGAATACCAAAAAAATCATTTTTGAATTAAAAAAAAAACAAATTCAGCTAATTAAAACAAAGGAAGAAAATTAACATCTAAAATTATGCGGGTTACCAAGCTATTGCAGTTGATACAGCGACGATTGGGAGGAAGCTTCATGAGACCTCTAATGATCCTCTCGTTTCTTTCTTCTTCTTTTCTACTCCCCATTTCTCTACAAATTCAAAGCCAAACAAACCCTAAACGGAGAAAATCGAAACGTTTCTTTGATCTCGATGAATCCAAAGAGTCTATTTCTAGAGAGCTTAAGGAAATCAATCAATCAATCTGTGAAGAAAAATTGAGAGAATCTAGAGGTTTTTTTAAGTTAGAAGAAGGAAGAGGAGGAACTCGATTAGTCCTTTTCCTCTTTCGCCAAATAAAGAACTTAAATTTAAATTAAAATCAAATCGGCTTCACAACATTAACATAACAACAGTCCTCTATCTCTCCTGTGCCTTTCGTTTTTTTTTTTTTCCTTCGCCCTTTTTTTAAAGAATCATTTTATAATATTTTTTTCATAAATAAAATAGAAATATTCCATTAATGACGAATAAATAAAATGTTTCCACCCTTGTAATCCGTGTGTTAATTTATTAAGGAACAAATAAAATTAACAATGCATGTAGTTATATTTATACCAAAAAAAAAAAAAAAAGCTTTAGTTCTAGTTGATTTTGCATGATATGATTAATTTCATAACAAAGTTACTGTAATATGGTACCTTAAATACATGATATGATTTTTCATGGATGTTAATTATTGGGTTTTGGAAAGCATTAGTAGTTGCATAATTATTGTAACGTCTTTTTCGACAAAGGATGCCGCATGCTGGATTCTGGCTGCCTTGCTTAAGTCGGTTTTTCTTTTTCTTTTTCTTTTTCTTTTTTTCTTTTTTTGGCCCCGTCCAGAAATGGAGAGGTGACAGATTGCCAATCAGAAGCGGTTTCAAGGCATATTTAACCCCTGAACTATCTTGGTTGTGGCACAGTGGAGATTCTAATATGAATTTTATCAATTTTATCCTTTAACTATTATGCTATGGACAAATATAGTTCCTGCATTTGATTGAAGTGTTATCATTGACTAAAACCTCCTTTAAACAATATTTTTTTAGTTTTTTAAGTTGGGAATAATTATGAATGATTCTAAACTTTTTTAGAGCCCTCAAAAGATATTTTTTTATTTATTTAGTCTTATTATGATTCTCAAAATATTTTCATGATCATAAGCATCCCATTTATTCAAAACTTAAAATAGTTTAATTTTAAAAAGAAAAAAAAATTATTTTGAGAACTAAAGTATAAAAGAGCTCAAAGATTCAACAATTATATAGGGAGTTTGAGCTGAGAGCATGCATTGTTGTAAAAGAAAGTTAGAGAAATCTCTCAATATCGCTAATTCATACCTATCATAACAATATGAATTCTTACCCGGTTAACTACCAACTACTAACTGTTAACTTTCTTAATATCTTAACTAATAATTATGAGTTGAAGATTTTATCTATCAAACAATATATATATATATTGTAGTGATTATTCAATAAATTTAAACTATCTATTACTTAAACTATGAAATTCTAAATTATTTTTCAATTACTTGAATAGTGCACTTGTCAAATTTGTAAGTAAATGGCCAATAATCTTAAATTTATATTTTACATCTCATAATCTTGTATTACGTGAAATATGTTTCTACGCGTTATGTGTCGCTTAATAGAAAAAAAAAATAGTAAAGATGTAATGCTATTTGCCGACAATTCCAAGACTTTCTTATAATGAAGTTGAACATAAACAAAATAAAAAATCCCTTCGGCCTCTTTTTTTTTTTTTTTTGGCTTCATAATTTCCATCACCGCTAAGACTCGTCAATGGATTAGATTAAAGTAGATTTAAATTCAATATATTTAATAAAACGGATCGGATCAATAAATTCGAATTGAGTTTGGAAAATGAGAATTCGAATCCTAACGGATTCAAATTAGATTCGAAGTTCCATCGAATTTATCGCTTGTTTCATTTTTAGAACATTTATGCTTATTACATTTATTACATTATTTGAATACAAAAGATATTTCAACAACTACAAATATAGTAAAATATTTTAAAATAGTATTTCATCTATTAGTTTTCTAAAAAAATCAAAATGTCATACAATTCAAAAGTACAAAATCAAATAATTCTAATAAAAGTTTGTTTTGAACTAAATAAAAAGCAAGATAAAACTAAAAAAAATAAAATAAAAATAAATAATTTTTGTTTCTTGTTCACGTGATAGCAAAATCAATATTTGTTAATTCAAATTTCAAGATGAAAGTGCTAAAAATTAAGACTTACACATAAAAAAAGAAAAGAAAATTTATTAATATTATCATATATTTTTAAGAGGTTACTTTACAAAATTTATTAATACATGTTATTTTACTAATATTAGTAATATTGCATAACCAAATGATTACTAATATTGCTTCTTCCTTTTTAACTTTTTTAAATCTAATTTTGACCATTTCTTAATAATAATAAAATTTTATTATATCAAATTCTAATCTACAACTACTTATTTCTACGCTCCCTCTCAATAAGTGAACTAAAAAAAGAAAGATATAATTTAGAGATTTAAGTATCAAAAAAGAGTTCATACAAAACATTTTATTATCTATTTCTACTATCTCAATTAATTGAACTATATTTTTATGTCTAACATTAAAACACTAAAAGGCCTTCATTTGATAAGAAGTTAGTTTCACATGTTATGATTCTTACCACCAATTCGAGACAAATAGAACAATCACTTTTGAAAATATTCATTCCTCAACTCCACAACAACTCCTATCATAGAAAAAAATAAGCACATTAAAAAAAATAAATAATAATTTTAATAACTGGTTAATGCATAAATAAATGAATTATCATGTATTTTTTAAGAATTTGAATTTAAAAAATAAAAAAAAACTTATACGTGATTTTTAAAAATTACAATCATCAATGTAAAACAAGTATGCGTCATTTGAACTTTATAATAAATAAACTTTAAATTTTCAACCTAATATCATATTTATATTTTTTTAATATTTTAAAAATATTATGTTTATTAAAAACCCATTATTTTTAATTTCGAATCGAATTATTATCACTCGGATCAATATAGATTTAGATTTAATTTATTTAAAAAACGAATTAACGATTCAGATAATAATCAAACTCAAATTAAAAAAAAAATTATTTATAAAATTGATTTAGTTACATCGAATTCGGATCAATATCCGACCTATTTCCAGCATTAGTCACCACCTTGCATTTTAAGCATGACCTCCTTTTGTTTTAGAAACATTTTAAATGCGATTTAGTTTGCACCCAGTAGGTGTTTTCAAAACTTTATTTGGTACCCCTTTATTTTGTACACCCCGTGTTTTTTTTTTTTAAATAATAATAAGGTACGAAAGATTTTTTTGATTCATATAGCAGATAAACTTTCAAATACTAGAAAAAGCAAGGCAATGAATTTTTAAGCGTTTCCAACCAAAACCCAATTTTCAAAAAAAAAGAGACATATTAGTCTCAGACCGTGGAGCTAAAAGGAAAAATCCCTAAAGAGAAGTTGCGCCATTGTTACAAATTTACTGCCTTTTCTATTCAAATATTCTCTCCATTTCAAATAGTGTCTGCAACGCTGTGCATCGCCATTACAATGCACATAACAAGTTAAATAAATTCTGTTTCATAATACAATATAAAGAAAATATTTCAATGATCAACGAACGATACGTATTGATCAGATAAAAAAATGGAAGTGCATTTCGGGTCTATGTAATAATCTGTTTGTCAAGAGAGTGGGATTGAGGGAATAACGGATAAGGATGAGGGGTTGACGAAGAAGGGTTGACTGTACTTTTCATTTAATAAGAAGGATAAAGATCGAAGATAGAATTGGAGGGACCCCCTCCAATCCTTTCTTATTTATAATTTCCAGTCCTAATTTCGGTGGATTGGTTCTTATTCTTTCTTTCTTCTTCGTAATTTTTAAAGCTTTTAATTTGGGTAGATTACTCCTTATCTTTCTTCTTTTACTAGCCAAACAACTAGAGGGATGGTAAGTCATTCATGCTCTCTCCCATCCATCCCTCCACTTTACTCAATCCAAACGCTTTTCGATTTAAATGGGAAAGCCAAATCGAATTGAAAATTTCATTCTGGTTTATGTCGTTATTATTATTATTTTTTTAATTTGCTCTTTTAAATTCAAAGAGAATTTAATTTGATTTTTAGGTTTTTGTTTGGTTTATGTTGTTTTCTTTTTTCAATTTGCTTTTATAAATTAGTATAGGATTTAATTCGATCTTTAAATTTCAGTGTAGCTTTTAAAACCTTTTATTTGATTTTCATTGAAAAATTGAATTTATCAAAACCGAAACCAGACAACGGAATGCTCTCCTCACCCCAACCTTTTTCTATCCATCTCTCCTGGCAAAAATACCCTAAATCTCTGTTTGATATCCCCAACCCACTAGCAGTAGTTAAGTTCGTGAAATATTAAGCATATATGTCCTCCATCTACAATGCATGATTCTAATACCGACTGAAAATCTCCATCGTAAAGTGTACAAAACTCAAGCAAAAGCCTACTAAGTCTACGGGTAGTATTTGAATATATCCAAAAGTTGAGTGCCAAAACTGTCAAAGCAGCAATGCAGCATGCTATGATATGCCATCAGCAACAAACCAATGTAATACTTGAGTGCTAATAATAATGATTTATAGTATATAGAGGACAAGAAAAAGAGAAATCTGATATAAGGACTTAAGAAAGCCACAATGATTTTTTATTTTTATTTTATTTTTTAAATAAAATTCATTAATTAAAAAATTAACTAGCTGTGATTAATTTGGGATTTTTATATTTTAAAATATAATGAAACGTATTTTAAAACTAATGTTTTGTAATAAACGAAAAAAAAAAAGAATACCCAAACAAAAAACAGCAGTACAAACTTGAGTAAATTATAAATTAGTCCCTCTTGTTTTGAGAAACAAATTAATTAATCCTTATTTTAAAAACTAATTATTTAGTCCCTATATTTTGAAATCTACTTATAATTTAATTCTTTTTGTTATTTTTTAATTTATTTTGATTTTTTGTTTTAAGAAATAGAAAAAGAAAAAAATGAAAAGATTGATGAGAAAATAAGAGATTTTATAGAATAAAAATAATATTAAATTAAACATGATTAACACTAATTAAAAGACTAAATAATAATTTTTAAAATGTAAAGAACTAACTAATTTATCTTTGAAACTAGAGGGACTAATTTATAATTTACTCCTCAAACCTTTCAATATATAAAAAAAAGGTAAAAATATACAAATAGAAAAAATCAATAAGTATATGCACCGATATGATCATTATCTTTATCATTTCAAAAACTAAAAAATACAAGTGTCTGACATAAGGGCCTACTTTTCAGGGTCATGTGTCTATTTAAAGAACAAAATGCAAATAGTTAAGTAGAAAACATCCTTTCGATAGAAAATAAATAAAGAAGGACGCAAGAACTCATAAAAAACAAATCCCAAGTACAGGTACAAATTTTGCAGTTAACTCCATTTACAAATCACGGTTGCAGCGAGTGTCGACGGAATAGAAATGGAACTTTATTAGCTTCTGGCGGGTACCAATCAATTAATTGTTATCCAATTTTGGGAGATTCTATAGCCTATTTGATTAACTACAGAACTAATTGTGAGGGTTTAATCTTCTAATTTAAAATTGGGATTTGTAGCAAAAACAATTTATTCTACCGATCAGATTTGAATTTAAGTTCAGAGTCTAGTAGTGAGAAGAGAACTGAACTTCAGGATAAAATGAATTCCTGGGTTTGATAGATGCTAATTGTACAAAACTGGAGAACAAGACCCCTCCAAATTAGATAAAAAAGAACAATAGTGTAGTTCAGAATAAAAAATAAAAACCTTCTATTTGTATAATATATAAGAATATTTTGAAAATAAAAAATAATCATGTGCAAATTATGTAACCAATTCCTATGGTTTAAGCGTATCTTAAAAATAAAAATAATCATACACAAATTAAATGACTAATTTCAATAATTTCGTCTGAAAATTTTAGCTCAGTTAGAAATATAAAAATAAATTGACAAATTATTTTATTATATAATGATATATTGAACCATTAAGCATATAAAAGAAATAATAAATAAAATTACAAGTAAGAAAATTAACTTTTATTAAATAGACAAATGCTATTAATATACATTTGCACAAAATTAACTTTAAGATCACCCCATTAATCCCATAAAGGAAATATAAATAAATTATAAGAAAATGGCAAACATAAAACTAACTTTAAGATCACCCATGTCCTGCTAAAAGGCCACGACTTATTTACCTTGAGCGAAATTAATTTTTTGCGCCCGAACATGATAAATGCAATTGTAAAATTATAACTCCGTAACAAAACATACAGTTCAAGAATTGAATCCAAAAAATCAAAGAAAACAAACCTGATGAGAATGATTTGCAAGGTTGGAACTTGGGAACAGTTTGCTCCTCTATATAACGAAGACATGGAACTATGAAAGCATTATTTTCTTCTTTCTCTTTTAGTAACTGTTAAAAAAGGAAAAAAAAAAAAAAAAACACTACCGTCCCATAATCACCACACCTACAGCATCTGCCAAACAGAGCCCTTGAATCAGGACGGGAACTATTTCAAACTTGATGAGCATCAACATTAACCTGACTAGAACCCAACAGCAATAAAGTAAGCATGATTAGGGTGGAAAACTTGTCTTCCAATATACTAGATTAGTTTATAATACCTAAAACTACAGCTAAACCTTTTACAGTCCAGCTTCAACATACAGCTGGAGAGCCTCTAGGACCTCAGCACTGATTTCTGACAGATGCATCAGCATCACAACGGGTAATACAATAGAATGCCTCAACAGTTTAGACATGATGTACCTTCTGCGCAATTAATTTTATCTTTTTGACCCTTTCATCTACCAATTGCTGGAGTAGCTCTTCTTGATTTGTTTGGTTTTCATCCATCCGAACACTACCAGCTTCACCGTCCTGTGACCTGAACATTACAAATGACATCTCGGGATTATAATCACTTGGAACTTCAACCACTTGTTTCCCACTGCTCCCAGAATCTTTCCCTAGGATATCAGCCTTCACTCGACTTGAAATGATCGTGACAAAATCCTCCATGTACTTATCAACATTATCAAGGCCTAGAAAAATTAGAACTTCCCAACACTGAAGAAACTGTTTCCTATTGATTTTCAAGGTTTTCCTAACATCTTCAACTGCACTTAAAGGTGGGTTAAAACAAGGGACACGGGTTTTCTTTGACAGTTTTCCTTGTTTCAGATAAGAAACAGTTGACTTAACTGCATCTTGGACTGATGCAAAGAGAAGGAGACGTTTTATGTCAACACAGGTGCGCACGTGTTGGAAGTAATCTAATGGTTCTTCAACTGTCAAGTCATAAACATCTTCCGATATTGCAACATTGTAGAGTACTTCAACAAGGTGACCACCATAACCCTTGTGTTGGTAAGGAGGCAACACCAATATCTGCCATCAATAGAAGATATCAGTAAATTGCTATAGAAAGTCACATGATGTGTATTTGCCTTCTCCCCCCACTGAAGTATTAAAATAAAAGAAAATAAACCTGACTGAGCCGCAGACGTGTGCTATCAGGGTAATGATAAAAACGATACAATGCAGTAAAACCCAACAGTTTATGTTGAGTATCCCCCTGTTCATCACTTTTCTTCTGAATCAGGGCATATAATTCCCATCCTGGATCATCAACATCAATAGGATTGCTACCTGAATCAGAAAATACAACTTTTCAGAACCAAACACCTGGACAGCAAGAAAGGAAACAATAAAAATAGCATATTGCCTTGACAAACCAACACCAGTAAAGAATTACCATCGATAAGAAGAAGAACAAGAGGAACCAGGCGGCTGTATAGGTGTCCAGCAGCTGTATTTCCGATAACCATGCGCAAAACCTGACAGAGTAGGAAAGAAAATTAACCACGGCCATCTCTTTCAAGCAAACCTCTACTAGGAAAAAGAAGGAAATAGAAGAACTAGAAACTGTTTATTCCAATGTCAGCATCTGGCCCCATGAACACCCTCTTTCCCCACCAAATAAATAGAACAGAGAAAAAGGAAGTGAAAACAAAGGACCTTCTTCCTTTTTTCTTTTTTGTCAGAATAGAAAGCTTTTATATATCTCTTGGTTCCTAATCATAAAAGCACTGTACTTTCAATATAAATGCCAAAGACAGGGAACAATCTAGGAACTGCAACAACTTCGGGAATGATGGTTGTATATGGGCACTCGCCTTGAGTGCCAAACCATACTGCATTTAGAGCATATTGTTACGCTCCGCCTAAAAGAGAGATTTTTCTAGAGATTCTAAAGAACACTAGATAAGTCTAGAAGCTTCTAAAAGAGTATGGAACAATGGAGAAGCCTCTAGATAAGTCCGAAAGCTTCTAGAAGAGCATGGAGCAAAGGAGAAGCCTTTAGATAAAGCCGGAAGCTTCTAGAAGAATATGAAGCATTGGAGAAGTCTCTAAGATGATCTAGAGAATTCTGAGAGTCCCTCACTAATCTAGCATGTGTATATCTAGATAGTTCCTTGTAAATATCTAGATAGGATATTTCTAGAGAACCAATTGTAACCATTAGATTAAATAGATCCTAGCCATCCATTGAGAAGGTGGAAGGCTATAAATAGGTGAGGTCCTCACTTGGCCAAGACACCTAGACATTCATAAACTTAAGAGAGTGTGTCTTTAGAGTTGTAAGCTTTTAGAAACCAATACAAAGAGTATTTATATCTCTTGTGTGTGTCTTTCTTGCTTAGCAACTTTGTGTGAGAAAGGCTGACTTGGTTTGTCTTAGAGAAGAAGAGAGCCAAGTGCCGCACGTGAGCTTGGGAAAGGCCAAGTCCGTGACAAGTGGTATCAAAGCCAAGTTTTATCGAGTGTGAGTAAGCTTACCGCTAGCTAAAGTGTTCAAGAGAGTAAGAATGTCTAGCTTGGGCATGGAGGATGTTGTCTGGGAATGCTAGGAATGAGACCCTACCTTCTCAACCTAAGAAAGGAAAGGGAAGTCTCGTGATGTATTAGTCTCCTTGGAGGAGCGACTCATGAGGGCGGAGGAACACCTTGCCGATTTCAAGGAGAGACTCGAGGAGCTAGAAGGAGATGATGAGGGGGAGACATTAGGCATGGTAGGCCTACGTGAGGTGCTCTCCAATCTCCAAGCTCGAGTAGAAACGGTTGAGAGGTGTTCCAAAGAGAGCGCCGCCGAAAAGGATGCCTTTATGGAATGGACGAAGGAGAGGTTCAAACAACATCAAGAGTATATGACCAAGTATGAGCAAACTCTTGAACAACTTAGAAAAGATTGGGAAAATTGTCAAGAAGCTATCTTGAATGGTGTAGTCTTAAGGGACACGCCAAAAGTTGAAGTGCCAAGACCAAGGCACTATACCGGCAAGCGAGATGCCAAGGAAGTGGATAACTTCTTTTGGCAAGCAGAGCAATATTTCGAGGCAATGGGCTTGACCGAGGATAGAAGTCGTGTCAAGACCGCTACCCTCTATCTTTCGGAGGATGCTCGCTTTATTGTGGCGTATGAAGTACCAAGAGCTCAAAGAGGGGAATCTAGAGTCGCCTAGTTGGGATGAATTCAAAGAAGCCATGTATGCTCAATTCTACCCCAAGGAAGCCGATTGGGAAGCACGGGACAAGCTACGAATATTGAAGCATACGAGAACTATTCATGAGTATGTTCGAGAATATCTTTCTCTTAAACTTCAAGTACGTGGCATACCCGACTATGATCATATGTATGATTTTATTAAGGGACTTCAATCATGGGCACAACAAGAGGTGCGAGGTCGACGGCCTAAGACTTTCGTCGAAGCCGTGGCCATAGCCGAATCCCTAATTGAATATAACAAAAGGGCGTAACCCTCCAAGCCTAAGAAAGACTTCAAGGGCAAAAGTGGGGGAGCCTATGAAAGGAAGGGGTATAGAGATGAGCAAGACAAAGCACATAAGTCCAAGAGCTTTGTCAAAGAACATAATAAGAGAGAATTCAAGCCCAAAGCTTGCTACTTTTGTAATGGGTCACATCGAGTGGAGAGAGTGCCCGAAGCGACAAGCCCTCGATGCCTTGGTGGAGGAGAGGGAATGTGCCTCCGAGCCCGAGAAGCATATGGGATCGTTGCGGCTTCTCAATACCTTGAATGTCAAGCCCTCACCTAAGGTGCTACCAAAGGATGGGCTTATGTACGTGGAGGTGGACGTGAATGGCAAGGCCGCGCTTGCCATGCTAGACACGGGAGCCACACATAATTTCATGGCCGAGGAGGAGGCCAAAAGACTTGGCTTGGTGGTGACCAAGTCATCAAGTAGCATGAAGACAGTGAATACTTCCCCTAAGCCTACTTATGACGTAGCGTATGGGGTAAGGCTTGGCATAAGCGCATGGAAAGGGACGTTAGATTTCACCATTATCACAATGGACGACTTCAAGGTTGTGCTAGGCATGGAGTTCTTTAAACAAGCGAAAGCTATGCCTACACCTCACTTGAAGCAAATGGTGATCATGAAAGAAGAAATGTCATGCATGGTGCCGGCCAAGGTGCACGCAAGATCGGACTTGAAGCATGTCTCGACTACGCAAGTAAAGAAGGGCTTCGAAAAAGGGAAGACACCTACATAGCAACATTGAAAGAAGACGAGATAGTGAATGATGAGGGTACAAAAGTACTCGAAAAGATCGCTAACGTGCTCGAGTAAATTTGATGATGTTATACCACCGAGTTGCCTAATAAGTCGCCACCCAAAAGAGAAATTGATCACCAAATAGAGTTGGTGTCGGGTGCTAAGTCGTCAACCATGGCACCTTATCGGATGAGCCGTCCTGCGCTGGAGGAATTGAAAAAACAGCCGAGGCAAGACCAATGTGGTGGCCGATACACTTAGTAAAAAGGCCGAGTTGCATCACATATCGAAGGTGGATGGGGAGATCGTAGCGGAATCAAGGAAGGAGTGAAGCATGATCCCATCGTCAAGAGTTTGTTGAGCCTTGCAAAGGAGGGCAAAACTCAAAAATTTTGAGAGGAGAATGGCATTCTCTACACAAAAGGGAGGAGGATTTATGTACCTAAATGGGGAAACCTTCGACGAGATTTGATGAAGGAATGCCATGATCGGATGTGGGTCGGACATCCGGGACAACAACGCACTAGAGCCTTGCTTGAAGGGAGCATACTTTTGGCCACGGTTGCGTGATGATGTGAAGTCCTATGTGAGAACATGTCCGGTGTGCCGGCAAGATAAAGTTGAAAAACGAGCACCCGAAGGTCTATTGCAACCTTTGCCTATCGCGAAAAGACCATGGGAGACAATCACCATGGACTACATAGTGGCTTTGTCGAAATCGAAGAACTTTGAGAGCATTATCGTAGTCGTGGATAAGTTCTTCAAGTATGCCACTTTCATACCAGCCCCGACGAGATGTGACGGCCGAGAACACCGCTAAGCTACTCTTAAAATATGTGGTGAAGTATTGGGGTATGCCACGACATATAATCGGTGATCGAGATCCTCGATTAACCGAGAAGTTATGGACGGAGTTATTTGAGTTGCTAAGCTCGAAGCTCCATTACTCCATAAGTTTTCACCCTCGGACGGATGGACGGACCGAGAGGGTTAACACCTTACTTGGAGACATAATTGAGGCACTTTGTGAGTGCCAACCAGCGAGATTGGGCTAAGTTGTAGATGTTGCCCAATTCTCCTATAACTTGCAAAAGAGTGAGTCCACCGGCAAGAGTCCATTTGAGATTGTGACGAGCCAGCAATCACTCACTCCACATACAATGGTGCTTGGTGACAAGTACCAAAGAAGCGACCAAGTGCATATTCGTTGGCCAAAGAATGGCAGGAGCGGACGGACTTGACGCGAATGTATTTAAACAAAGTCGCCAAGAAGATGAAGAAGTGGGTCGACAAGAGACGAAAAGATGTCACCTTCCAACCCGATGACAAGGTGATGCTGAAGTTGCTACCACAAGCAACATAAGGCATTTCGAAAGGTGCACAAAGGCCTCATACGACGATATGAAGGACCATTTGAGGTAGTGCACAAGGTGGGAGAGGTGTCCTATCGCCTAGAGTTGCCACCGAAGCCGAAGATCCATCCGATATTCCATGTTAGTATGCTAAAACCATACCATGCGGACGAGGAGGATCCAAGCCGAGGAGTTTCTTATAGGGCGCCTATAGCAATGGTTAACTCGTATGACAAAGAAGTTGATGTCATACTTGATGACCGAATAGTTAGATGCCGTGAAGTGCCACCAAGGAAGGAGTATTACGTAAAATGAAAGGGATTACCCGATAGCGAGGCTAGTTGGGAACCCGCCAAAGCGTTGTGACGAGTTCGCACGGAAGGTCGAAGAGTATAATAAATGCGCGCCGAGGACGTCGCCGAATTAGGTTGGGGAGTGTGTTACGCTCCGCCTAAAAGAGAGATTTTTCTAGAGATTCTAAAGAACACTAGATAAGTCTAGAAGCTTCTAAAAGAGTATGGAATAATGGAGAAGCCTCTAGATAAGTCCGAAAGCTTCTAGAAGAGCATGGAGCAAAGGAGAAGCCTCTAGATAAAGCCGAAAGCTTCTAGAAGAATATGGAGCATTGGAGAAGTCTCTAAGATGATCTAGAGAATTCTAGAGAGTCTCTCACTAATCTAGCATGTGTATATCTAGATAGTTCCTTGTAAATATCTAGATAGGATATTTCTAGAGAACCAATTGTAACCATTAGATTAAATAGATCCTAGCCATCCATTGAGGAGGTGGAAGGCTATAAATAGGTGAGGCCCTCACTTGGCCAAGACACCTAGACATTCATAAACTTAAGAGAGTGTGTCTTTAGAGTTGTAAGCTTTTAGAAACCAATACAAAGAGTATTTATATCTCTTATGTGTGTCTTTCTTGCTTAGCAACTTTGTGTGAGAAAGGCTGACTTGGTTTGTCTTCGAGAAAAAGAGAGCCAAGTGCCGTACGTGAGCTTGGGAAAGGCCAAGTCCGTGACAATGTGGTTAGCAATTATGTTTTATTGAGACATAGTGCCTTTGGTTCTCTCCTTTGTTTAATCTTTCCTAATCTACATCATTCCCATTCTTTCTGAATTGAGCACACAATCAACTTCAAATCAGATCTAAAACTAAGCAAGCATGGTAATGTTCTAGCCACTTTTCATTCCTAATTCGCTAAAATCAAACAGCAATCATTCGCTGATATTATCCAAATCAAACACTATTAACTCCCTAGTTCCCCAATAAATCACCCAAGACTGAAGTCTAGGGTTCTTCTGCACCCCCACTCAACATAAGAGATTCCAGACGAGCTACTCAAATCATACACAAAACTGTAATAGCCGAATATGAAATTAAGTACCTCAAGATCCGAAGTAGCTGTCCCTAAACGATTATTATAATCAACAGCATGTCCGTTGGAAGCTTTGTGTTGCAATATCTCTCCATCTGAGATAATGGATCTGAGAACATGTACAATAAATCAAACTGCACTGTAAGGACTAAATAAAAGCTTAAGAGTTAGATGCGTGCAATATAAACATAACAAAGCACCTAACAAAATGACGCTCTGTTGAAAATGTCTGAAGGAAGTCATCTTTGTTGTCAACAAGAGTATCAGCGAAAATTCTCTGTGGGTAACGACAAACCAATCAGCAGACCCCGATGATATAGGAAATGAAGAAAAGCAGTAGCATGACAGTCATTGTATACCTGAAGAGATGATTTGAGATCTGTGATGCCTTTTCCCCCTTAACAACATACAAACAAAGCACTAAGTAAAATGGCATTTAAGGACCTAAAGCTAGAACCACTCTCAAAACTAAACCGATTGACAACATAAGTTACTCAATATATTGAATAACAAGAACGTCATTACTCACATCAGATGTGCTCTGAAACGTAATATCAGCAAATGCATGGAATGATATGCTGCTAACCCAGATGGTTATCTGTATACAAAGATATTGAACAAAATTGGAATAAAAAAAATGCCAGCATAGAGAATTAATATTGTATTGAAACTTTAGGTGGTGGGGGAGAGTGTACAGATGGTAAATGGTTAACATAAATAACATGCTCAACAAGCAAAACCCTAGTAAGCAGTAATCTAGTGAAAATATGCATTACCTTCAACTCATTGTAACCATATATTTTCCCATCCTCATCGAAAAAGCTATTCAAGTCAACTGGACTAATACGAAAACTGTCTGAAGCACCCACTTCTTCTTTGCTAGAAACTAAGATATCCGTCATCAAGTACACAAGAAAATCAAAATAAGGCTCAATAAATAATAAATTACTACATCCAAAATTTCAGAGAGTGCAATAACCTAATGCAAATACACAGAAAACGAGTCATCACAAGCATAACTCTTCAAGTATGCAGCCGTCTCAAAGTCATGCATGTTTATTTATCAAACAAGCAAAAAGCCTCTCCAAGTCTCTGCTTGATATCATTTTGACTAGTACTAATATACCCTAGATAGAGCAACGCTGAATGGTAGCTTAGTAATGCATGAACAAGAACAAAGCTTCTTCCCAAAGTTTTCGTAAAGAGAAAGGACAAAAGAAAAAAAAACTCCAGATAGTTGCATTCTTTTCCTAAAATTAATAAAAGAAAAGGAAAATTCCATCCATGCTCTTACATTTTCCCGGTAAACAAAGGGCAAAAACAAGCTTGAGCCAATAATAAATACCATGACAGCAGCCAAACAGATGATCAGTTATCCTGCAGCAAGTAGATTTAAATTCCAAAAAAACCTAAAAGTTTATTATGACATACCCAGGTAAATTTGGATGCACTGATTGGCTTCGATTCCAGCATCTGCATCAAAGATCAACACAAATATCACGAAAGTAAGCAAAAACCAAAATCAAATTTGACAAAAAAAAACAAGAAACGAAAGAAAAATCACTGGAAATAGTAGTAAAACAGTGAGCAAAATAGTAGTAAAATAGTGAGCAGAGTTAATGGGAAATTGACAGACCGATTTTGGAGAAGCCAACCCGACGGCGTTTCTTAGGCTCAGAGATTGGATCTGCAGTGGGTAGTTGCTTCTGCCCCATTTCTTCTGATAGATTGAAAGCGGGAAATGAGAGAGACTGAGAGAGAGAGGCGGGAAATTATGTTATATAGTACAAATGACAAGAGTCTTGATTAGGGCTATGTGTATGCGTTCCTAAATTACTGCTGACGTAGCGGCTTTGTGCGTGTGTGGTTTTCGTGTGAGATAACCATACAAGGAGACAGTGAACTTGGAAGAGAGCTGGGTCAGCGGTTCACTGGTTGAACCACTGCTGGTTTGCTGTCGTAGTTAACCATAAAAGAAATATGACGATTTGTATCGAAAGGTTCATTATTGCGAGCACGAGAAGCGTGAAATATAATAAACAGTAATTCAACTTATATTAGTATTGTAATAATATTATAGCATCTAAAACTTACAACATAACAAATAATTTCCAAGTGTCACGTTCATCCACTATTCATTGTTTCTTCTCTCTCTCTCTCTCTCTTAATTCGAAACTTTTAAAAAAACTAATATCAACTGGTATTTAAGAAAAAAATAAAAATACTAATATCAATTGAATTATTATTTATTTATACACACAAACACATCTATGTATATATTTTTATTTTTGTTAAAAATATCATGTTAAAATTGTAAAGTTAAAATTATCACGTATATAACATTAATATATTCGAGCAACGGTGCTTATTAAACAATCTTATTCTATTCAACACTTAATTTTCGGTAAATATCAAATAGTTGCCGACAAAGGTGTTGTTTGATAAAACTAAAAATTAAATATTGAATATATTAAGTTATGAATTTTAAATACTGAATAATTAAGTAATAAATATGTTATCGACAAACTGTTTAGTATTTATTAAAAATTATGGTGGTGTTTGATAAAGCTGAAAATTAAATGTCGAATCCGTTAAGTGCTGAATAATTAAGCACCGAATATGTTTCGAAAAACTGTTTGGTATTTATTAAAAATTAAGTGTTGAATATAATAAGATTGTTTGATAAGTGTTGTTGCTCGAATATATTAAGGTTATATACGTTATAATTTTAACTTTATAATTGTAACATGATATTTTTTTACACAAATAAAAATATATACATAGATGTGCTTGATAACAATCTCCTCGTCTTCTCTCTCTATACGGGACTTGTTGATCGGATAATATAACAACACGAATTAAAATTCTATCAAGGGCACCTATAACACCTTGTAAATAAATAAATAAAATTAGTTAATTTTAAAATACACAAACCAATAAAATTAGAAATAAAAAGTTAAAAATAACTCGAAATACTTGACGAAATCGATGATGATGTTGAACTTGACTTAAATCCGGATAAAATGTAACCCATTTCTCTTGCAAACTTTAACATTGCTTGACTAATAAATTAGATTACTTGATACTCATACAAATCAATACAATGCCTAATTCAACCAGTATGCACACACACACACACACATATATATATATTAAAGTACAATTGTACAACAAATTCTTGGTATTTGCATCATCGTTATTGAATATCATATTTAGAGTATCATGTTTCCATCTCTAATTTTTTAAATTACCAACCTACCATAATTTGCAGCATTTTATTCATAGTTTCATTATCATTATGAAAGCAAACACTTCAAAACTCTCGTAGAATGGTATTGGGAAAGAGAATTATGCTTCTCAAGATATGGTTTTAGTTATTTTACCCGGGTACATAAATGCAAAAGAAAATATCAAGAGCTTCCAGCAATTTGCTCGATTTTCATCCTATAATAGGAAAAGAGGAGATAAATTGTTAGCCACTATGAATGTAAACACAAAGATAAATAGAAAATAACATAATGTTATGCAATAGGAGAGACTCTAACCAATGTATAACCTTTATGTGTTTTAGCAAACTCCGACGAGTGAAACACCTTTACTCGGGGTCTTTTATAAAATTTGCTACCCAAGAATAAAAAGAACCAAATCTCCTTCAAAAGGTTAATAAAATAATTATTAAAAGTTTTAATAAAATACAAATCTTTATGCGAAGTTATACACTCGCGAGTCTTCATCTTCTAGGTATAATAGAGATTGTTTTTCAATTGATTTGTATAGTTAGGGTTACAAGAATATATGAGTATTATATATTTATATTTAAAAAGTTTTAAAAATCTTTTAATTGAAGGCTGAAGGTGTTAATAAAAAAGTTTTAAATGAAAAATTTTAACTTATTTAATTAAGTAGATTTTGACTCAATTTAAATTTTAAATATAAGATTATTTAGATTATCATATAAATTTTTTATATTAAGTACTAAAAATTATTTTTTTAAACTACTTAAATAGGTTATTAAATACACCATTTCTTAATAATATATTAAATATTTAAAATTTAATACTTAACAAATTTAATATTTAATTTTTAATTTTATCGAATATCGGCTTAGTAGCCGAAGAAAACGGAGACTTGTATAATCCGTTACGTGAATTAGCCACGGCGGCAGCTCCAATGGCGCGAGTGATCTGTGACATCTGTTGTCGATGGACTGGTACAGAAGAAATAATGTGTTTTTGAAGAATGCACTCAATCTCATACGCAAACAGATCATGAATCAATTCATCAGTTCCAACCACCACAATGTCACCAAATTCACCCCCATCAGCAATCTTATCAAATTCTATAAATTTCCTTATACTTCTCTTTTAACTGACAAGGATGGTTAAACTGACGCTGCTTTGTTGGTGAAGTAAAAACACATCGGTTAGAACTGAAAAAATCCAGAAATCCACTATCACCCACATTGGCGTAGCGCAAACGGGTTGCGTTGAGGGATACAACGCAAGCAGTGGAAGACCCTTTTGATCTAGTGTTGAAATGAGCTTATTTCAACACCCGTTTTGGATTAACAACACCATTAGATTCGCGAAGGATCCTTGAGTTCTCCAGAATCATTTTTTGACTTGCGCCACTACCGCAAACACCGTCTGCCACACCAAAAGGTCTTGTATGTTTTTTTATCTTGCCCAAATGGCCTTGTCATGATTTTCTTAGGTTTACAGGAACAAGTCATCACCAGTTTGAGTTCGTTAGTCGCTTTTGCTTCTTCTTGATCATCAACAACTGCACAGTACTCATCTCCTTCTTCACCAACTCTTTGCCTTTTGGATGCCATTATTGAGACTCTAAAGAGTTAGAAGATAGAGAATGAGACAATCACAATTCACAAGGGAGACTCTCTCTTCCTTGCTGGCTGCCGCTTTCGATTCAATTTATGACACGGTTTTTTTTTTTTTTTTTTTTTTCAATAGGACATGCACGGTTTGTGGGTTAAGCGGAGGTCGGTTCTTACATGGGCCGGAACGGGCCAGCCTTTTTTATTGTTTACAAGAAAAATGGTTGAAACAAAAGGAGGCCGTCCGATTCAAATACTAAGAATCCATCCAACGGCTGTCATAAAATTCAAAGGCTTTTGATAATCCTCCTCCTTAAACCCTCACTCTATCTATCCACTTTACCTCTTCTACTTCTTTCTTTCAATTTCACCACTCTTATCTATTCCTCCCTCTCTGTCTGATCCAAAATGGCCACTATGATCAAAACGCCGTCGTTCAGTGCACCACGTATTATCAACAACAGCAGCATCATTTCCTTAAAATCTGCAAACCCCTTTTGTCTTTCTTTTGGGCACAACAACAACAACAAAAGCATTTCCGATTTTTCTCTTACAAAAAATTCTCTCCGTTTCCCCACCAAACCTTCCCTCCGCTTCTTAAAGTTCGTTCCTTTTGTTTCACAAGGAGAAACTGAAACTACCGAGACCGAGCAGACAATTCAAGAACCAGAAATTGAGGTATTATTACTATTATTTTTGTTTTGTTTTGGTAATTTGCTGCTTTGCTTGTATTATATTGGTGACAATTGAAATTTGACTGAGAAAAAGCAGTGAATTGTAGTTTTGTAAAATTGGTAAGAATTCATATTTTGGGAGAAAGTTGGGATTTTACTTACTGGGCATTTTCCCTTTTATAAAAATTGAAGACCTTGAATAGGGATATCAAGTGTTTTAGGGGTTATCATGAAAGATTTCTTTATCAGATTTTGAGGATCAGAAAAGTTGACTGATGGAAGCACACTGGAAGTTGAGAGTTTGAGGAGTTTGGCATTGCAAAATAAAGAGTGAATATGACGTTTGTGTTGAAATTAAAAACCATCAGATAGCTAACCGGCGTTCAATTTTTGCATTCATTTGTTGGAGAGTGAAGAAGGGTAGATAGGATCCCAGTGGAATTTGTTTTGGGTGATTAGGATTATATATATATATATATATGGATATTTTTCTGCTAGCTATATTCGAGTCTTTTTATTCAACAAGAAGTAAAGATTTCTATGGTTGTTGATGGTCTCAACTCGTAGACTTGTTGTGGCTTCTCACTGTCTGTGGTTGCAACTAACCTCTTCATACAATGTCTTGGAAATTTCTCATTTTGAAGCACAAATGTGACGTTTTGGTGCACTTAAAATGCCAAAGAGTAATAGACTTCTGTTTAACTGTTGTTTCGGAGGCTAATTTCCTATGTACATCAGCTGAAAGTATATGAAAATGTTCACGCTTTTCTGTAAAGCTCCACCATTGTGAGAAGTTACAGATCTCTTTTGTAGTGTGGAGGAGGATCATTTAATCGAGAAACATTTCAGGGATTTAATTCTCAAACCTCATCTGCTTCACTACACCCTTTTTCAGCAAATTTATGTTTCAAATTCTCCAATATTTCCCAACGAGAACCTCTTTTGATTCTTTAAGGTCTACAAGTGATTAAACTAGAGGCAAGGAATAAAGACTAACTAAATGAGGAGATGAACAAAATACTTTTATTAAAGTGACCATCTCACATAATGTGGATGATTTCATTTTTCCACAAATTGACCTTCAGGTTGGAGATGGTTGTAATATTGTACAGCAAATATGAACTTTATTCAAGGACAGAACTCAAATAACTTTTCCTTGGAGCGAATTATATTATCATTTTTGCTTAAACTAACCTTCAGGGGTACTAGGATATGTCTGCAAACTCATGTTGATGGCCAAAGCTACCCACTTATTCTCCTAAATCAATACCATTCTTCACCACTTTAAAAGTGAAATTTAATTTAGATTTAGCGAGCCCTGTGTTAACTTTGAAAGATTTAGTTTTTCTTTCCCCGTGTATTAGAAACCCTGTGTAACTTTTTGAGTTTTTGGCTACACCAAGTGAGCATAAATTTCAATTTTACTGCTTCCTAAACGGGCACTAGCCAGTAAATAATCTCAAATAAGAACTTCAGAATGCAAAAGATCCCATAATACTGCAGAATACTATGCTTAATTTGGATTGGTGGTTTCTTTAAAGAGTGGTTTGGGTGAGGATTTAGTAAATTTGTAGGTTTTGTGAGTATATTATGCATAATGAAAATTATTGGAACCCATGCTTGAATGGACTTAACTTCTTAGTATGTGGTTCGTTGTGTGAAAAACTCTTCAACAATACTGTAAATGCAAGCCTTTCTCTTGCAAAATATTAAATTAATATTTTGCAAAAAAAAAAAAAAAAGGCTTGTACGGTATCACCATTACAAGTTTAATAAATCTGCCATTTGATATCATGATTTGGACTAGATCCTGTCATCTACTTGTACTTTTCTTAATGCCCTTTATGGTTGACATGGCTGCATTTGGAATGAGGATTCAATCCATGATCTCAATTTTGTATGTAAAATGAAGTTTACAGATCTTACAAAAACACAAACCATTTAATATGGGTATACCTTCACATGGCTGAATTTCTCTAGATAGATCATATTGGCATAGAGGATCCAATTCCATGGAGCGGCCGTTGTAGGAATTAAGTAAACAGTTTGCTTAGACTAATTGAGATGCTGTAAATCTTTTCACTTCTGGAAAAAATATTTAGCAAGCATGCTTGTTTTTTCACAATTACCCATTTGCCAGGCATATGCACCACAATCTAAGGAGACATTTCATAGATTGTATCTTGAGAATTTTCATATGCACCACACTAGAAGGAGTTGCTGATAGACTTTATTTTGAGAGCTTTCAAATGTTTGGAGGAGAATTTTTCAGGAATAGAAGGCATATGATGTCATCCGTTGAAGCAATTTCGATCATAGTCTGTTGTCAGTGGTGTTGTTTAGTTGTTTTCCTCCTTTACAATGACCTTGGCCTTTTTCAAAATTGATTTGGGTTCATCTTCACTATTATTGCTGCTGTTAGAAGACTTTTATGCATTTAATTCAAAGTATTATTGGGATATGGAAGGAATGATCTGTAATTTTCTCTCTCTGTTCTTTGGCAATCCTTTATTCCTTCTTTTTGTTTGTCAAGGAAAGAGTTCTAATTCATTTATATGCCTTCAAAATAATTGTGATTCTCTAGCTGGCTTGCAAGATGTTGGCAATGCCAACACTTTTTGCCTGGGACATTTTTAACTGTACCACACAAAATAATGATTGATTGTTGCTTGAACAATGATGCTGTGTAAGCTCAACTTTATGGATGCTGTGATTATATAGGTTTTTTTTTTTATATATCTATATTTGATAAATTATCTTTGGATTGGTTGGTATTTTGATGTTCTAGATCAGGTTTGAGAGTACATATTATTGTTTTGTGCAAACTTTTTTGCATATATTATGTTTGTGTTGTTTGAAGAGATGGTTTCTTTGCTTGCATTCTCTAGCTGATAAATTTATGTAGCAGGACTCATCTGATGGTGCTGTGGGGCTGGAAGATGCTGCTGGTGAGGTGGAAGATGCTGCAAGCAGTGAAGACGTTGCTGATGCTGAGGACACATCTTCAGTCATCATGGCTTCCCTCCGGTCTTACAAAGAAGCTTTGGCAAGTAATGATGAATCAAGAATTGCTGAAATAGAAGCATTTTTGAAATCCATTGAAGATGAGAAAACTGACATTGAAAGGAAAGTGGCCGGTTTGACTGAAGAATTATCAGTAGAAAAGGAACGGGTTCTTAGGATTAGTGCAGACTTTGATAATTTTCGGAAGCGGACAGAGAGAGAACGCCTCTCACTAATAACAAATGCCCAAGGGGAAGTTGTGGAGAATTTGTTGTCTGTTTTGGATAATTTTGAAAGAGCTAAGACCCAGATTAATACAGCGACGGAAGGAGAGGAGAAGATCAAAAACAGCTACCAGAGCATATATAAGCAATTCATGGAAATTCTAGGTTCACTTGGCGTTGTTCCTGTGGAGACGATTGGGAAGCCCTTTGATCCAATGGTGAGTTGCTTAGCTTAACTCATCTCAACTTCAGTATACATGACAATGGAAATTGCTGAGGTTTGGGGAAAAAAATGCTAAAAATGATGCATGTAAATTCAATAAAAACTTGTCACTGTCATATTTGTGAAGTATATGTCCGCCTTGATAATTAAATGGTCTTGTTGAAATGGGAACCCTTAAGTAAAATTATTGCCCTTTTATTGATTGGCATAATGATTGGTCCAATGGATCATTGGCTTAATGCAGGCGCAGTACCGAGTTGGCTCGAAATTCAGTCAAGTACTTGATGATCTTTTTCGAAAATTTGATCAAGTTTGTTCTGGTTTTATGAAGGCTTGGATACGCTTTTAACTCAAACCAAGTCTTTACTTATTTCGAGCCAACTCGGTGAGTTTGCTATGTAGCAATATACATATGAATGATCTTCAGATTGTACTTATAGCATGAATTTGCATCTAAAGAGGTAGGCAAGAAGCAAACTTTTCCTAAATTTTGTTATAATTCTCATGTTTTTGGTGGTATAATAAGCTTGTGGTTCAAGGAAGTTTCTGCATATTCCTAGGACTTTAGCTGGTTTTCTTTTTGTTAGATTATTGAAGATTTTGGGCAATTTTCTGACAAATCAAAATTTTCCTCTATTGTGATAGTTGCATGAGGCAATTATGCGTGAGGATTCAGCTGAATTTGAAGAAGGTATTATACTTGAAGAATATCGCAAGGGGTTCAAACTTGGTGACAGGCTCTTGCGTCCATCAATGGTGAAAGTATCAGCTGGTCCAGGGCCTGTGAAGTCGGAACAAGTAGAGGAATCTCTGGAAAAAGCTGAGGCTACTAGTGGAACTAGTGAAGAGACAAGGACAGAAGAGGAGTCTGCTTGAAAGACAGGATACTCAGCCTAGACTCAGTTTTGCAAGCATAAGCTGTAATGCTGTGGTTAGTTTTGTCCTTAGGACCCCAGTTTTGGTGGGATGTGAATCTTAAAAGATGAAATATTACTTCTGCCATTTGTTTCCTTTTAATAGAGTAGTTGATACTGGCCAAAAGGAAACACCATTTTGTTGGGGTCATTTTCTCTCTGCACGTGCAATACTCCCTGATGTACTGTAAAATAACAGCATGATATCAAGTTTTATGGTTTTTTATCCCCTTTGATTGAATGAATTGTAGTTAAGGTTGGTTACAGCCTTTTGAAGTATAAGCTGTTTGCATGTTTCTTGTGCCTCAAGGCTTACTTTTTCGAGTGTTTGCTTTTTTCTTTTTTCCTGCTTTTATGTTTTTCTGTAAAACCCATTAAGGTTTTGCTGTTTCTCAAAGCTTGAATTACAGCCCCCCTTGTACCGTTGTAGAAAAGACCTACTGTTGTTTCTTGTCTCTCTAGTTTCCTGCTAGTGAATACACTTAATGGCACCTGTAATATAACTCTTCCTATAGCTGCCATGACAACGTTTCCGGTTATGGGAGCACATCGATAAGGATGCAAGTCCTCGGAGTTAATTAGAAAGAGAAATCATAGATCTATAACTTTTGACGCTCCTGTCGAATCCTTCAATTATTGCCATAATGTTCATTGCAAACTCATCACGAATCTTGAATTAATGCAGTCCAAGAGCAATTGTGGCGAACTCTTGAAATCTGAAGACGGGATATTGGAGGGTACCAAAACTGTTGCTTTAGGGGAAAGTGAGTTTATGCATATGGTCGTTTGGCTTCCTCCAACTCTCACCTCCAAGTTCTGCGTAAAACAACAACATTCTGGAGAAGAGTAATTGGTTCTTGAATCTTGATTGGATCCATTGTAAGTTTCCATTTTCTAATGTTTTACAATAGCTTAATCTGGAGTGAAAATTAGTCAGTGTCCACGTTAATTGCCCTCAGAACCAAATCAAAAGGAATTTTTCATCTGATAAGCATTTGGTACTCGGTTAGTGCTGTCAAAGAAAATGGATAACTGTGAACTTCATAAACATAAGATACAACCAGTGTCATCACAATTGTGCATACAACCTGTTTATACATTTGCATTAAAGCAAAATACAAACATTATACAATTTCACATCATCTAAAACAAGTAAAAAGGGCTGCAGTAGGAGGTTACATGCATGTTTTTAACACCATTCTCTGTTGGTGGAATTGTCTGTAATGTTCTTAAGTATCAGTATATCTCATATATTTTGACTCAACATAATCTCAAAACTATTTGGCATTAGACGACTATATTTATTGGCTGTGGTAAGTGCTTTGTTCCTCAGTGATTACAGAAGAGGCAAACCACTCTATGAACAAGAAATATGAACTAGAAGGAGATATAAATATGTCAGTATGCGTGTAACAGAAATGAAAGAATTGAGAGGAACAAAATGAGAATTTTAGATCCGATGGAGGGAACTTCTGTATCATAATATGATTAAACAACATAAAAAAAATGCAAATTACTAATATCATAATCATTGAAAGAAGCATTAAATTCATCATCACAAAGTTAGTGATGGTTGTCAATTGCATGACAAAATCAATCAAAACTCAGTAACAGGAAACCAAATCGCAACCTTGCCTGTCACTAACACCCCCTTCTAACCATTTACACCTGCAAGCATCTTCAATTAATCTAGGGCATATAAAAAGAAAAATCTAATAAAACTTAAACATCTTCCTGAAAGGTAATAGTACCACTTTCATCATCATCAGAAGTTGGCTCCATATCTTCATTCAAATCTCCAGACTTGCCATTCCTTCCACTGCCAGCACAGATAGCAGTATGAGTATCATCATCTCTAGTAGAAAGTGCAAAGTAGAGCGCCCCATTCCAGGTAAAGGACCAAATCTCGACGGTGGAATTAAGACGGAGACTGTTTTTCCTGTTTCTGATCACAGAATTCCAGCCTTTATTCAAGACGTAAATGCCAGTCCTGTTCATGATCCATTTCTTCAAATGCATTGGCTTTTCTTCAAGGCATGGCTGGATGAGCGTAACATCAATGGCTTCACGATTATCCAGTCTCCTTCTGTCTTCTGGCGAGAGAAAGTCCCTGTCAATAACTTGATTTACAGGGATTGAGAAGCGACAATGTTGGGGGTTCAAATCGGTGTCATACAGTTGCTTGATTATGACCAACTTTGGGTCATTGACACCGTTCTTTGTTGCCAAATAGTTGCTTAATTGAATTGGCAGTGATTGGGTCACCCTCCTCCTCTTATTGGAATTTCAGCTTTGGCTTTCTTCTGCTTCTTTCTGAGAGGTTTTAATTTCGGCAAAACCGCGCTTGGTACCTACAATGACTGCGGTCGCAACATGTTGGAACCCCCTGTTTGGTCTCCCCTTTGAAGTTGATCACTTTTTGGTGGGTATGGTATTGGCACATAATGCAAATGTTTTGGTTTCCTCCAATCTTTGGAGAAAAATGATTGGCTCTTCATTTCCCTCCATTGTTTTCTCCAAATTTACACTGCCAATGTAAGGTTGGTAAAAATTTTATATTGTTTTATAAAGTTCTGCAATAGCTCTGGAGTGAAAAAAAAAAAAAAAAATCCTTGTGCTTGTTATGCGCACTCTCAGAATGAAATCAACTAGAATGATGCATAGCACCACGTTTAAAAAGGAATAATGCCGCTATTTTTTCCTTAGGTTTATTACAATTCAACCTGTTTAGGTAAAAGATCAACTGAACATGTACATTTGCATCCAAGCAAGACTGCCGTCGATAAGGAATATCATTCAATTTCACAGCATCTAAAAGAAGAAAAAAGGTCTGGGGTGGGAGGGTGCATATACGTTTTTTAATGTTGTTCTTATCGTGATATATATTTTGACTCTTCATATGTAATCTCAGAACTATTTGGCATTAGATGACTACATTAATTGATTGTGATAAGAGCTTTTCATTAGTCAGTGCTTCAAGAGGTTTATGAACAAAAAAATAAGATATGAAAGATTTTATGTTCTCCATCTTCGGTTGTAGAAGGAGTTGGGTGTTTGGTTATAAATATGAGGAAAAACCTCATTCCTTAAGTTAGCTTTTGAGGTTGAGAAAGACCAATAGCACTCAACAATCACTTGTTTATAAGTGTGTTGATGGTTGCTAATTGGGAGGATTAGAAATAATACCGATTTTGTTAATCTTCTTGAGATTGTTGTGACCCTTCAAAGAATTGGAAAGAGAGGAGTTTTAGGTGAACGAATTACGGAAAGTTGAAGTTTTAGGCAGGGGCTTGTGATTGTGAGAGAGGAGGAGTTAATTGCTTGAAGACCAAGCAAGGGAAAACGAGATAAAACGAGATATTCGACGGGGATTTCCCCTCCTTTCCAACGGCTATATTTTGACAATTGGATTTTTCAGTTTTATTTTATAATGTGTTTACCGACATACTCTTCCATTTTATTTTAATTTTAATTTTATTGAAAAGTATGCATAATATCTTGGATCGCATCGACTTTCTATATATATATATATATATCATCATCATCATCATCATCATCGCGGTGGCCGATCACCTCAACCGATGAAATTGCATAAAAATAAAAGAAAAGTTTTTTGAAAGACTAGAACGGATATGAAAGACAACCAAACTTAGAAGTTTTGATAAGCTATGTCTTAAGCGCAAGATATATAGTCAAACACATAGAGTCTTGTTGTATTGTTTACATCCAAAATAAATATCTTCTAATTAATTACGTGTAATAATTAGATCAAATTGCAAGACTTTTGTTATTAGAGATCGAGTTAGACATTTTAAGAAGTAACAAGGACTACAAAAACGAAGACAAACTGTGCAATGTAAGGGAAGATTGATTTGTGGCGATCTCATTGGTTATTGCACAGAATATATAGGATATTGGCAAGAATATATTGATATTAATTAGTGTCTTAGTTATCTATCTAGGAAATTAAATATATTTGAGTATGATTCGTATTTGTAATTAGATAAGTTTACTTTGTTTTTAACTCTATCTTAATCTTACGTGTTTGTTTATAAATAGTCAAGTCCTGCCCTAAACCATATAAATTTCAATTCAATATTCATACAAACTTCTTTACAACCTAATTTAATCATCTTCATGTTCTTGCTGTTTCTAAACCCTAACTGGGTTTGAAACCAACTTATATTTGTTGACAACACTGGCTAGCTAGCATTTAGCACCCAAGGGAAGAAAATTTTATTTTCCTTCTGTTACTGTTTTATGAAATTTAGACATAATGGGCGACAGGATGAAAGCGAAATTTAGACATATTATAGAAACAATAGGCAGCAATCAAGAACTTCTAACCGAAATCTTGCTCCGTTTGCCGGCTAAATCACTCGTTAAGTTTCAGTCTGTGTCTAAGCAATGGCTCTCTCTTATTTCTGACCCTAAATTCCGATTTTCTCACTCTCGCCTTCAAAAATTCCTGAAGGCCCACTTCTGTCCTTTTCATAAAGGATTCCTCTCCGGCTCTTGAATTCGACATTATCCCTCTCAAACACTCTAAAGATGCCATATCCCCCCGAAGTTGGATTGTTTGATTTTCTCAATGTTCCTCATCTTCCAATAGATTATTTCACAATAAATGATTCTCGTGATGGCTTGTTTCTTTGCAGTGGCTGTGAATCCCCGAGGAGGTTTTACGTTTGCAATCCCATCACTAAGCAGTTCAAGATTATTTATGTCCCTTATGATGAATATGATGCTGCTGGTGCTGTTGATGTGAGTGTTAGTTTGGCCTTTGATGGCTGTGAATTTGATGTTCCCGAAATGACATCTGATTATTCAGGATGGTCTTTAAGGTATCATGTGAATCTTCAATCAATGAGACAGGTCTTTCCGGAACTCACAGATACGCATTTTGGATTTAGTGTAGTGACAATGATTAAAGATGGAATAGAGGAAGAGGAGTTGATGGCTGTGATAGTTGTGGATCATAAAGACATACCCTATAGAGCCATATCCTATGATCTTCATGATGGGATAGCAACCAAGATTTGTGATTTGCAGCCTACACGTTGTGCTAGATCAACACCAATAATTTTTTTCTGTGGTAAAATTTACGATGCCTATCCATATTTCCAGTCCCTCATTTGTTTATGAGCGAAAGAGACACCCACAGCAGCAGCAGGAGCAGGTAACTAGTGAAAATTGGAAGATTATTTAATTATACCAATATATAGTACTCAGTTGAAGCCTTTAGTTGTTCCCTTGTATTCTCTGTTTATCGTCTACTGCGCCATATTGTTACAGCATTGGGAAGTTTAATTACTGAAATTTAATATTGTTGTTGTATTGTATGTTTATTATATATAAAAATTAATTGCTTTTTTTTTTTTTGTTGATTTATATATAAGCAGGTTGAAGGAGCATGCATGGGGCTATTTGATGCGTGGGTTCCTCTAATACTCCATTGGATATTGGGTAGATGCAGGAGGAATGAGCAATGTATATTTATTATATGTCATCTCCATCTAATTAATTTAAGATAGTCTGTACTATTATAACCTACAAGAGCCAGACTTTTAAAGCTTTCTTCTATGACTTATCAGTTTGTTTATGTTCTCAATTTCAAAGTCTTTCTTTCCTGGTTTGATGATTTATCTGATTCTCTGTTATGTTAGAGAGGAATTTAGCTTGGTGCTATAAATATTAGTGATTGGTTCTATTATGCGGTGGCAAACATGATTTTCAATAAACAATTTTGATGCTGATATATAGATGATAGGATCAACTATTTAATTCCTCCTGTTGATTTATTGATGCACTATGGATTTGTTACGTGATCGGGGATTCTGAATTAAGATGTTTAGAGTACTCGACTACAAAAGCTGCGTGTCCAAGTAACCTGCAGCAGCATATATGCACCATTTGGCACTCATTAGATGACTACATTTATTCCTCAGAGCTTAAAGGCAAAACCACTTTCTATGAACAAGAAATAAGAGCTACAAGGTGATACCAATATGTTCAGAATTAGGATGATCCTGATTTCTTCCTAAAACGAAATGCTACCTCACCTCATCAGTTTTCCAATTTTGTTGTCTGCAACTTTGTTGTCTGTCACCATCAGAAATTACATACTTACAGTGAAGTGCATCTTGCAGTATTACAGAAACAAAAGAATTGAGAGGAGCTTGGATAAAAAGAAAGAACTAAATTGCATATAAAAAGATTTGCAAATAACTAAATTCATCATCACAAAGTGGGTGATAGTTGTTAATTGGTACGATTACACAGGGAATCGACGAATGAAAATATCAAAACAAAACTTGGTGGGTAACAGGAAACCAATTCACAGTCTTAATTGCCTGTTACTACCACCTCCGATCCTAACCATTACACCTAGCTACATGTGTATCTACAAGTAATCTAGGTAATATGAACAAAAATAAAGTCTTTCTTAATAAAATTTAAACATCCTCCTGAATGGTAATAGTACTCTCATCATCATCATCACAAGTTGGCTCCAAATCTCCGGACTTGCCACTCCTTCCACTGTCAGCACAGATAGCAGTACGAATATCATCATCTCTAGCAGAAAGTGCAAAGTAGAGGTCCCCATTGGAGGTGAAGGACCAAATCTCTACCTTGGAATTTAGACGGAGACCATTCTTCCTGTTTCTGATCACAGAATTCCAGCCTTTATTCAAGACGTAAATCCCAGTCCCGTTCATCATCCATTTCTTCAAATGCATTGGCTTCTCTTCAAAGCATGGCTGGATGAGTGTAACGTCAATGGCTTCACGATTATCTAGTCTTCCCCTGTCTTCTGGCGTCAGAAAGTCCCTGTCAATAACTTGATTGACAGGGATTGATAAGCGACAATGTTGGGGGTTCAAATCGGTGTCATACAGTTGCTTGATTATGACCAACTTTGCGTCACTGACTCCATTCTTTGTTGCCAAATAGTTGCTTAATTTTATTGGCAGTGATTGGGTCACCCTCCTTCTCTTGTTGGAAGAATTTTGGCTTTGGCATTCTTCTGCTTCTTTTTCAACAAAACCTCGTTTAGTACCTGCAATGGGTGTTGTCGGAACATATTTGGCACTCATGTTCGGTCTCCTGCTGCAAGTTGATCTCCTTTTGGTGGGTATGGTGTTGTCACATAATGCCCACAAATTAGAGGTTTTGTAGGCAAAAGCAACTTGTTCTAACAGATCAATGGCGTGGCAGGAGAAAGAGGGATTTGATGATGTTTGAGTAGAAGGAACAAGGGTGTCGTTGTTTTTCTTGAAATAAAGCTTCAGGTTAGAGTTGCTAACCTGTAAAGACCAAGAAGTAGATTCAACAGAGGATTTGGGTCTGGGCTTCATCGGGTTCTTGTTCTTCTTAGCATTGTAAGTTGTGTTGTAGTCCCAATCATCAAGAAGAGAAGAAGAAGCGGCAGTCGCATCAGGCAAAAGATTCAAATCGTTAAATTTGTAGGCTACTTGATCAAGTGGGAAACAATTTCTTCCCTTTGCTGATAATTCAGAAACCAGTACATCTGGAAATTCGGTATCCCGCTTCTTCTTCTTCTTAGTAGAACCATCATCATCATTGCGATCATCAAAATCTTGATTTCTATGCGTGATCATGTGTAATTGATAATCAGCAATGGCAACATCTGCCAGGAGATGTAAGCCCTCCATTTTCATTGAAGTAATTTACCACACAAATTAAGGAAGGAGATGAAAACCAAAGGCAGAGAAAGAGAAAGAATTGAAGAGAGTTTTACTATGTTTGTTTCTTGGGACTGCTTGAGAGATTCAGAAAGTTTAGGGTTTGAGCGACTAAGAAGTTGCTTGATTTCCAAGCAAGACAACAAGAGGGAGAGAGAGAGAGAGTTTGAGTAGCGATGAAAGTGAGAGAAATTGGGAGGAAGAGTCCGTCACTTATAAGGAAGAAACGCGGGTTCTCTTCCTTTCCAACGGCTATATAAAATTGACGGTTGAATTTTGCTTTGTAAATTTACCCCCACCCTTCCTTTCAAAATTCTCGCATCGCAATCCGTATTGACTGAGGAATGAGGATTTGGGTTTGGGAATAACGGAGCGGTTCCGACGAGGCCCAGTTTCCCAATATGAATGTAGGGTTTTGATTTGCATTTTGTGGAAATGGAAACGCTACTTTCAACTTGTAAGGAGTGAAGTGGAGAGAGAGCATGGAATGAGCGAGTCGAGTGACTACTGCTTTGAATGTTGAAATTGTACAACTCTAAGAAGAAGAAGGAAGATTACGTTACATGAATCACTGAGACTCACAGGAAGATGTGTTGGGAGGTGAAGAAGTAGCTAGCATCAACAATGCAACTACAAAATGGTATGATGCTTCTCTCTTGGTCTTTTCTTTCTGTCTTATTCTCATCCATCTGGGTGGGTTTTAGGCTTTTAGGGTTTAATTAATTAACATATTTCCATCTAATCTTTTAATTGAAAGTTGCCCATTTCTATAAAATATGCCCTTAATGAGTTGGTACTCGTACACGGTAGATGCATGCTAAAATTTCACCATCTTTTTGCATTTTACTTATTGTTGCTCACTGTTTTCATGGGGTTTTAATTTTCCTAATTTAATTATTTAGATCTTAATTATACCTTCCTCATCCTGTAACCCTTTTTGTTTATGCTGTGTTCTGTGTAATGCCAGAGGAAACGGAGGAACATAATATATTGCATTTTCTTGACTGGTAAGGAATGTAGTGGAAGGATTATTGGTGATAAGAGGGGAAGGAGCATGTGTTTTTTTGGAAAGAACAGGGGCAGTGTATAGTATTTTCAAGTGACGTATTGAGTGGTACCTATCTGGCATTCAGCCTGGGTAATTGGGTTTTCTTCTTATTCATCTGGGTCTCATGTTCTTGTCATGTCTAATTGGGTTTTATCTTATATCCCAGTCCCTTTGGCTAGTTGGGAATTCTTCTTGCATCAGTAGACTTGCAATTTGTCCTTTAAAGGCTTTCAATACTTATCCTATTGGCATTTTGTTTATTAGAGCTTTTATATTTAAGTCTGAATTGACAGTTCTACTCAACGAAAAATGATATATATATATATATATATAAAGTCTAGTCTACAAACTGTCAATGGTCAATGGTTCTGTAAAATCATATGAAAACATTCTGAGTGTGCAGGTGCATGTAGCTTAATTATTTGATCCGTGGATGGGATTGCTATGATGTTGGTTGGCCATGGTCTGGATCATATCTCTGGTATTCGTTAACATACTTAAGGTTGCCTCTTGGGATTATTTCTCTATATGTTCAATGAGGGTTGCAATTAGGAATTCGGTTGGCTTGACAATTGAGGAAAGAAAGAGGAAACTATGTCTTTACTAATTGTTTTTTAAAATCTGAATGAGAATGTATGTTTGAGTCATAAAAATTTTCACTTTCTTAGCTTTTACAGCAACCAGCACGAACTAATATGCTCACAGGCCTCATGGTATACTGTTTTCTGTGAATAACATTTTCTATACATTGAAATTAGTTTATGGAAGAAATTAAACTTTGATTCTATTTGTTGAAAGAGAAATACATTATTGTTTTTTTTTATTCCGTTTTAGTGATTGAATGATCCTAATGTAATGTGTCAACTAACTGAGAGAAAATGACACAATTCCTCTTGTACTTACCTTCCTCTAATCAGTTTGGTACTTCTTCTCTGCACAGGTCTTGGCATCATGTTCATTTTGTTGGGAAGCTGAAGTCGAGAGGCTGGAAGAGTTTTGAATTATCATGAAGAGAGCTCATGGAAGGTCTCTTTGCGATCACAATTTTCGGGGCAGAATGGTAACAGCCTTGTTGTTAATCGTGTCTTTCCATTGTTAGCTAAATCAGTTTTCATAATGTCTTTGTTCAGTAACTTTTTTTTTTTTTTTAACATGTTTTGTTCAAATGTTTTCAAATCTCCAAATTGATAGAAATTTGATAGACTTCATCAGTTCATCCCTTCTTCTCAGTCAAATCGTTCATTTATGCCCTTGTTTTTTTCTTTTTTTTTCTTGATTGTTTGTTTTCACATGCTTCCCCTTACTCTGACAGATAGTCAGATCAAATAAGATGGATTTACTACCATTTGCAAAGACACAAAACACTGAGATGCTAATGTCAATACCAAAATATTCTTGTTACCATCTGACTAGTATTAATTTGAGGTAGGGTCAACAAATATTGAATGTTTCAATAAGCTGGCGATTGCCTGGTGACAAGCTTATTTGGAGACTATCCCTCATGGCTCTTTCACTCTAAAGAAAGCTTACCATTCTAGTCTTGTCCACGAGTATCAATCTAACATGGGAATTTTTAGTTGGAACGTAGATTAATGGTGCAATAGACTATAATACTCTGTTAACATTCATCAAAAAGTTTAGGAATTAGGGTTTAGCTCTACCCATAAGGGTTAACTTGGTGCAGCAAATATGATGCTGAAACCGAATCTAACTATAATGGTAGAATTCAGAAAGTAATAGCGCAGTTACAGTTACTGGAGTATCGGGCAAATGAAATGGGGCTAGGAGTGGTTGTAAAATAATTGCAAATCAGTACCAGGTGGATTGTTGGTGAGGCCATGATAGCTAGAGCTGGCTTGATGCTCGCACTATTCAGATGGAGTATTCTTTGTACTATCACTTAATGGATGGCAAGCGAGTCACTGATTCACTTAATCGAAAATCGTAGTTAAGAATGCTGGCTGCAGATATTTTAGAACTTTAGTCAGTGCACTACGAGCAAGGTGGCTTTCTACTTTGTAAAATTTAACAGCTTTGTTAATAGAGTTTAAGTTGAGGATGGTATGTGAAATTTTTCAAAGGATGGGTAGGAAAGTGAAACTAGGGCTAAAACACAGGATGATATTGTGATATTTACTCTAAAAAGTAAAAACTAACTGGTCTTGCTATTGTTTCACTTACAAGAATTGCCGTTAAAACCATGTTCAGGTTAATTTAGAAGAAATCAAATGATAAGATAAAATAAAATAAAATTAGCATTTATATAATTATCATCATCTAATTAATTAATATACTTAAATAATAAGGTGTCCTCTCCTTTTTTTTCTGGCAATGTTGATTTATTAAATGTCATAATATTGCCACCGGTAAAATAAATATAAGCTATAGATAAGATGTAAATAGAGATCTTAATTACTAACATTAAATATATAAGTCGTGCATCTCACATCACCATCGAAGTATTATTATAAATAATTATAATTTGAAACAGAATGAAAAAATTCACAATTGAGGATCAAATACTAAATCTATATCTTATGTCAATATCACACCTCCACATATTTGAAATCAATAGTATTTTAATACTCCATAAATGCTAAGAGTTGATTTTATAGCATATGAACTATTGAATATTTCGAATAAGACTTCTTGTCATTATTCATCATCTTCATTACTTTCACGACTCCCTGTTTCACTGTTCGTTACGGATTTTCATCATTTTAACCATCACATTACTCCAAAAAAAAAAACCACCAAAACATTTCTTTTAACATCCCAAATAACATTTCGAAATAAAAAATCATTTTAAAACTCAAATCAAACACAATTTTAGATATTAGTTCCTAAATTTAAAATTTTCAATTCTTTAAACACAAAGTCCAGGATTTTTGTGTGAATAAACCAGTCTTTCATTTGATAGTGGTCTCGTCATCAGTAATGAGGATCCTAATACAAGAAGCTCCAATTCAAACATTTAATAATTTTGTATTAAAATCAAAAGGAGAAAAAAAGATATACAGAGAATAGGAAACAAAACGAGCAATAATTCAAGGAGTCCTCGTACAGAGCGGCCCCTTTTTCAAGCACAGATTGACATATTCCATGACTTCATTTTGTCTGAGCAGACCCAACACCTCGTATTCATTTATCAGGTCTTGTCTACTTTTTTATATATGTAATTGTAATGAGATAAATTTGGACCCTTTCAAATTACCACTAATCATTCATAAAACTTGAGACTTAACAATTGTATCAATTCAAGCATGGAATACCGTCATCAACAATTGTACCAATCTGAAATAAGCTTTAAAAACCTATATGGCCTAACATGGACGCAACGATCCTGTGCTTCTATGGACATATTTTGAAATGGTTAACCACTAAACTAAAATTAAAGAAAAGGCTGTTTGTATGTACATTATTCGAACTGTACAATTCTCTATCCCATCTGATGCACCCTTTGGGTTGAAATTTTTTGATATCCTTCATCTGTGTCAGGCTCTCATACCAACCACTAATGCCATCTTCTTCCCCGGCCTCCCACATCGATCAAGCATATAGGAGAACCAAAAAAACTACCGGGAAAGAAAAATGGCAAAAATAAGGAGAAAATATGCTACGGTTAAATGCCAAAATTTTTTTTTCCCTAACTCAACCATAATATATACGCTTTGTACACTGGATCAGAAGCTGGGGTTCAGCCATTAAGCTTGGCCAAAAACTGGGATAGATTGTACTCTTCAGTATACTGTGATTGATCCCAGAGGTCCTCCAGTCCACCAAGTATGGCTTTTAACCCCTTCCCAGTGCCCATTAATTTTGGATCTCCATCAAAGTTGCCATCTGCATGCTTTGATGCAGTAGCTCCCTGGAAATAAAACCATGAAGAATTGTCACAACGCATTCTCTCACACACATTGGTTACAACTTTTATTAGCAATACCTTAGCACTGGTTTCAGCTGATCCAAACAAATCGAGCAATTGATCTGTATTCATTGTTTTGAGACTGGCATTCTCTGCATTAATAACCGCATTGGCAACCGACAATTTGAACTTTTGGAGACTCATAACTTTCTCTTCCAGAGTGCCACGCATAATAAGCCGATGGACATTCACAACTTTCTTTTGCCCCAACCTGTGTGCCCTGTCCATCGCCTGCAAGTACATCATGTGACATAATTAACTAGATAAGCCATTTAAAAACATGCTTGAAGTTGAAGAAACATGAATTCAAATCAAAGAGAGGCAGGGAGATACACCTCTTGACAGCAATTCAAGCATGTACAAATACAGAGTTACAAAGGAAATTATTGGGGTCCAACCACTAAGTACTAATGAAAGGCCACATTTAATTTCATCATCAAAATTGCTTGTTGCATCTATATGTTTTATATTATGATCTGGGTACAAATCACCCGCAATGTCCCAACTGCTGAAATTTCAGCATTGCTTACAAAGGATGGAGGCGGGTTTGGATGGCAGCATGTAGATTAAAGCTGACATTTCATTGACATATCAATTGTGCCGTCAAATCTCACTTCTGATGATATATTCATAAATTTAGAAATGTACGTAAAATCAGATAGGGCCATTGAAATTTCATAAGGTATTGAAAGTTGCCTAGCTTCCAACTAGTAGAATAATTGTTGGAAGGTGTATTGGTAAAGTCCCTAACAAGTTACATGACAGGCAACACATGGTGCAAAGATTACAGATACCTTTTTGGACAAAATGAGGATGGGAAGATATCTCAGAAAGAGAGAAATTTATTACCTGAAGATCTCGCATTGGATTCCAATCGTGCTCCATAAAAATAAGGGTGTCAGCAGATGTAAGATTCAATCCAAGCCCACCAACTGCCAAGAGACCCATAAGTTAAATAAACTAGGTAACTTAAAACAAATGTGGAGAAAGAATTACTTACCATGTGTCATAAGCAACAGGGCATCTTAAAACAACTGTGGATAAAGAATGACTTACCATGCGTTGTAAGCAACAGAGCATCAATAGTAGGATCTGAATTAAAAGCTTTTACAATATCAAATCTTTTTCCTGCCTCAACAGATCCATCCAGCCGCAGGTATGTGACACTACTTCAAAGCAAAGTAAAAATATCAGAAACATGAAATTTTACTGCTATTTAATAAAGAAAACCAAAAGATCACTGTAAGTTATGATAAGTGTACTAAATGCTGGCCAGAGCATCTGCTCCTCAGCAGCGAAACATAGGTGGAATGGAAAGTCAATTGACAACAGAAGCAATATTCACTATCCATTTGCGGTCTAGCATTGACATACTCAAATCCTAAAAATCATCCTAATAAAAGAATTTTGGAGGTATAACCGAGTATGGTAACAAAACACAGGAGGGCAGGATTTGAAGGGTTATAGGGTTAATGTTATTCTACCAATAATGGCAGATTTCCTGAGAACACATGTACATCATAAGTGCGTTGCTCGTGCATGTGATGCCTCGCTTCGGTGCTTTGAGCCTTAATGAAGCAATTAGATTGTGTGTTTTAATTTAGAGAAATCACATCCCATTGGCAACTTGATGATAAAATATATTTTTTGTTCCTGCTGTGACAACTTCTTTTCCTCAGTTCTGGAGGATAATTCATACTGCGATGCCTTTAATACGACCATGCAAATGCAACAACGAGAAAATGCAGTTACCTCTGAAGGAACCTTTCTGAATGCAAGCAATGAAATAGATAAACAAATGACTGAACAAGTAAAGTGAAACCACGAGACTTCAAAGACAGAACCAACTATGAACACAACGAGATATAATTTGCAAAATTTTAAATTATAAGATATAAAAGGGTAGTGAAAACAAATTCCAAGAATGGGCCAAGACAATAGAATTACACACAGAAAGAAGACATTAATACAAGTAGGAAGCACAAAAGGTCAGGAAATGGGGAACTTACCTCTTCATATGGGAATGAAACAAGTCCCTTTCAATAATGTCAAGAAAGGCCTACATGAAATTTGATTATTAAGCAACAAATCATAGAAGGGCAAGCAAGATGAACATTGTAAAGATGTAAATTAATTGAAGAAAATCTATTACTTTGTGCTGCGCAAATATCAAAACTCTGTGCTGCCCGACACTCACAGCATTATCAGAACTTGAAGCATCCACACCTATTCCACACTCTTCCAGAATCTCCTGGAGAGCAACTAATTTCGGAGAGTGGTGGAGCTTATGAAGTTCCAAAAGTATGTCACAACTTGGAGGGAAGAGTTCAGATAACTGGGATACAAGTGATTCGGGCATTTTTTCACCACCAACAAGCAATGGATGACTACAAAGTTTTAACAAGTATTGAAGTGCCTGAAAGATTAAAAAAAGTGGCACGTCAGTTTGTTCAAAACTATTGAATCGTAGAAAAAAAAAAGGCAACACACTGCCAACAAAAACACACATCACCTGAAAAACGTGTGAAGAAGCTTTTGGCGAAGCACTATTTCCTCCTTCTGGATGTGCTGACTCATCCAGCTTTACCATGCTTGAAATCTCCTGTCTAACATGGGAACTGGAGAACTGTTCATAAAGTTTTAACTGGACAGGGCTCAAGTCACAATATCTGTCTTGAATAATTTTCTCTGGCAAGTCAGATAATACTTCATCTTTTGTCCTCCGTAGGAGAAAAGGCATGACCTATTGTACAAACAACATCCAACGAGAACCTATAAGAGCTGCAACACTCCAACAAAGTAACTTCCCCTCTTCCCTCCAAATAAGGAAAAAGAGAAAAGCAAGAACAAAAGGGAAAACGATATCACCTGCTTGTGCAATGCTTCCATAGCAAGTACCCCAGCTTCAGCATCCTTGGCAGAACATTTAGGATCTCTAGCAGCCAGCAAAGGTTTCCCATAAGTGGCTTGAAACTGCCAAAATTTCATCAAATCAATACAAGAACATGAATCACACAAAATAAGATTGGAGTTGAATCACTCGATAACATCAAAGTTTTATAGGACCAAGCAGAAGATTCCAGTGCACCATTAAGTTTGATTAGTCTACCAGAAACCATAGGAAATAGGTATGGAGGTTTAGTGGTTACATCTTTTTCTATTTATAAGTAAATTCGTTTGTTACTTATTTTTAACTATCTTACATTTAATTAGCATGATATTTTATTTGATGACCACATAAAAATAAAACTCAATATGAGGATTTTGGTAAAACAAAAACATGTCTATAAGATAAAAAGGCTTGAAATGAAAACAAAACAAATACCAACAACCACCACCATAATCAAAAGACAATCAAATGAAAAAATTTTCCAACAAATGTTTTAAGTGTTGCTATTTTATATATATATAAAATAGCAACACTTAAAACATTTGTTGGAAAAATTTTTTCATTTGATTGTGTAAGTTCCCAAACTCCTAAACATGTGATAATATCCCAATAATAATTATTGAAAAACTCAAAAATATAATTAAAAAATTGGATAGCTGTTTGTTTCATTAGCTGTTCAAAAAGTGCTAATTCACAATAACCAGTGTTTGTTTTCATAACAGAATAGTAATTTCGACCAAGTTGTGCCAAAGGAAAACGATTAGAATGGAGATGACTAGATGAGTGATTATGCTTTAATAGACAAGTACTGCACAAGAAGCTAGTGCTATAGCATGGCTGAAGGTTCTCAAAGAAGTTATAGTGCCACAAAAAGAAATCATATTTTTGGGAAACGGAGAAAAGATGGGTAACTACATGGCATCATCATGAAAAGCAGGTGCAATCCACTACTGCATTTTATGGTAGCTAGAACCATCAAATACTGGAACCACATGGAAAATAATTAAATCCATTAAAGTCACATAAAAACCAACAACTAACATGCTTCTGTGCTTTCATCTCCAGGTTCTCTCTTCTAATATTCACATACAAAAAGTCGTCATCTAAATGATAAATCCAAGAAACAACATAAGACGAACTCAACAATCAGAATCAGTTCATAAAACAAACAGCTTTCTAAGAACCAAGACATAGGAAACTTACTTGTCTGTCAGTTCCAAGGAACCCGGGCATCAAAAAGTCAAATAGGGACCATAAATCCATGATGTTGTTCTGTGAGAGAAAGCAAGACATTTGTCAGGAAAAGAAAAATGTCACGTTCAGTGTGTTTTTTGCACTAGTGTCTGACCTGAATTGGTGTTCCACTAAGAATTAGGCGATGCTGGGCTTTCAACTGCTTCACAGCAGCTGTAATTTTGGATTTTGCATTCTTGATTATATGTCCTTCATCTAAAATACAGTAATTCCACAGGAACCGTCCAAGATAATCACTATCTTTGCGAACCATGTCATACGATGTTATGATGACATTGTGCTTATGAAATTTTTCTCGAAGACAAATGCGCTCTTGAGCAGAACCAATATACTGTAGAGTACTAATTAGAGAAGCATCAATGTACTTCTCTATCTCAAAGGCCCAGTGTCCCACAAGTGTCGATGGGCAAACAATTAAAGATGGTTGAACATCCTCATTGTTATTCAAAGCACAACACTCTGCCACATCAGATGCCAAAATTGCCGATGCTTGCAGTGTCTTACCAAGTCCCATATCATCACATAGAATTCCGTGAAGCTTGAAACGCTTTAAGAAAGCCAGCCAATTTATACCTTCTTGTTGATACCTGGAAGCACCAAGCATATTATTAGAACAACTTCAACGCATTAAAATGTTAGAAGAGCAACAATAGAATTAAAAGATGGGATAGAAGATAGAAACCCATGGAAGACGGAAGGCACAAATTTTGAAAAAATCCAAAGCAAGAGTCATTGGAGCCATGCAAATCAAGAGGACATATTGGTCAAAACAAAATGTCCCCGTTGACTTTTGTCTTTGATAGGTTAGTTAGAGTCATTTAGTGTTGCTGAATTATTGTCCACATTAAGGCAAAATTAGCTACTATTCTTTTTTAGCTCCTACAACATGGAATTTATACCAACATGGAAGACCTAAACACAAACAAGGAACACAATAGCTAGTTGTTTTCGTGTCAAAATCAATTCTGCTGCTAAATTTTAAAAGATATGGACAGAATATATACCTCCTCAATGTCACTTTTAATTCAGTGCAGAGCTTGTAATCATCAATATGGGAATTGTCAAGTAGTTGCTCCAAAAATTGTGCATCCTCTGCATTTCTTGCTAACCCTTCATTCAGTCCACTAGGAGGGGCTAGGCCTCGAGCTAATGGAAGAAGAGGAACAAGAGCAGCAAAACTACGTGTTACACTCTGTCTGACAGCATGGTCACAATCACTCATGCAACGTAGAAGAGGAACAACCAGTAACCGAGCATAGGGTACCAGCTCCACACCCAATCCCTGAACAAGTGAACTAATAAGCATGCCAGCACCTTGTCTGGCATGGACAGATGTGACATCCCCTAGCATAGGAATGGCATCATCAATTACAGCTGCCATGACATTTGTTGTCATTGATTTGGCCATTGAGGTAATACACCTTGAGGCAGCTAATCTAACTGCAACATGAGAATGGCGCACACATTTGAAAATGCAAGGGAGAAGTGCGAGCAATTTAGGTTGCAATGCCTTGTCCAGTAATGGAGCAATAGATCGTACCACCTGCAATTCATAAATTCAAAGAAAATAATAAGCCAACAAACATTCCCATCAAAAGGAATAAGGAAAAAAATATAGCTTTTATAGCAATCAACTCATCAGTTGCCCTATCCAGTAATGGAGCAATTTCACTTTTATAAAAATCTAACCTCCCTCTCCCTCTCAACCTCCTTGATCACTCAAAAGCTTCCTAAAGTGCACTCGCTCAACATTTGTAACATTAACGCGTTCTTCTACTTAACCATAGAAAAAACCCAGACAAAGGAGCATAGCCTTCTTATTCTTCTTTTGATCTGATATTAGAGTCCCTTTTGAAAGACCCCATTTATGCAGTAGCATCCATAAGGTAGTCATGTTCTGTCGATATGGGTAACTTGCCTTGTAGATAGAGCAGAGAACCAATTATAGGTCCATTTCCCAAAAAAAAAAAAAATTGTCTAAATGATAAATCAGGATGGTAATCACCTGGATATTATTTATAAGGATTTGAGGATCCTTAATGGATTCGATAGTTTTGTCAAATTGTTGTTCATCTGCAGGACTTCCAGGCTTGAGAACTTCAGTGAGGCAATCCCATAGTTTTGGTAGCTTATCAAATAAAGAAGCACCAAACTTCTCACATAAATGTTTCAAAGCATGTTCAGAACCTCGTCTGCTAATAAAGCCCTCAACTCTTGACCGGTCTTCACCACCAGCTAGCATGTGAACCTTTGACTTTTGTTTCCCTGTACTAATCCCAAAGGAAAGGAAATCTTGATCATCAACAATCTCCGTGGACCCAATGACTCCAGCCTGGGGCGTCTCACAAGGATCCATGCATGTCAAACTACAAATATTCTTGATCAATTTATCATTTGGGCCAGGCTTACGTGCAATACAACGAGAAATTAGCTCTGCAAGTGCTTCAGCAGCCTTCTGTTGCAATATCTCCTCCTGAAAGTGGCATGCAATATAAACTAGAATCCAGAAACAACTGTACTTTGTGTGATCAAAACTGAATCAAGTTTAAAATAACCACAAGAGGTTGTACAATAATAAAAATAGGGAGAAAAAAGACCTGCTCTCTTTTGATTGAGGCCATCAGAGGCAAAATCATCGGATTCAGCCGTGCAGGAAGCTCTGACATCCAGACAACTGCAGCAGCAACTAATGCCGAGACAGTAACATGCAAATTACTCTGCAGAATGCAAATTGTAACAATTAAGAACAATTTAATCAAATGAGAGAAAATGGGATACTTAGAACAAAAATCAAGTCAGAACTCAGGAAGTGAAGCAGACAGGGTCCATGTCGACATCTAAATATCAGCCAATTTTCAGATAGAGGAGAAAAGGATAGATCAGGTGATATCGAGTTCTCCAACTTCAAGGATACAAAATGCTCAATAGGCCAGCGTTAGACAAACACAACTTCACACCTGAAACATACCTGAACACATTTTAAATAGCCTGAAGTTGTCAGAAGTCGTTGTTTTAATGAATCAATATCATCAACAATGTTGTGTCCAGGAGATTCATCGCCAGCACCGTCATTGCATGATAATGGTAATTTTGATGCAAAATTGATTGCCTCATCAGGAGTCAATTTTTCCACATCTATTTTAATAGTTGGCAATGTGTTCTCGAACATGACAGATGACTCAGTGGCACGTAATAACTGGCTGGCCTCATTCCGCATCTTTGTATATGTCCTTGAGAGCTCAGAATATGGAAGAACTGAATCTTTTGTTGGAAGTGCAGGGTCAGAACAAGATAACAAATCGAACAGCAACTTCTCGACATAATTGGGAAAAGCAGGCATAACCACATGGGTTTCAGAGGATTCCTTGCTTTTAATCTCTTTGAACAATGATATAAGAACCATTGATGCCACCTGATAAAGTTGAACAATTATTAAGGGGGAGAGAGAGAGAGAAAGTGGTTAATTAAATTTAAATATGAAAGCTACCTGCCGCTGAACCCCTGATAAAGAGGTGAGAGCATTCCACAGCGGATCTATCACGTGCTGCATAGAACTCCCACGCAACTTAGAAGCAAATATTCCCAAAGCTGATGCCGTAATCACTCGAGTATTAGTTACTGACATTTCAACATCAGCACCTACAATTATCTTTACCGTGCTAGCAGAAGCATCCCCATTTCTTTCCTGTGGAATAGTTTCTTTCACATAATCTAAGCCAATGTTACTGCAAGACTCATTTTCAAGCCTTACAGCTCTCATTTTTGCAGCTGCTTTAAAATGAGACGTTCGAGGTGGAGCCACAGGCCAAAACATCTTCGTAGAATCTAATGGCGAGCCGTAAGGAGTAGTTGTAAGTTCTATCCAAGAAGCCATGTATGAACTTGCAGCAGCTTCCAAGTCCTCTGCTGGGCACTAATGTCAATGAAGAAATTTGAAAAAGAAAAATAAAATTAGCAAGTCCTTGTAGAAAAAGCGAGAAACAAAGGAACTAGCTGAAAATGATAACATTAGAGAACAATTCCCAGCAATATTCAGAGTTAGCAAATAGATAAACTTATGCCTCTAGTTTTGCCATTGTCCTCTGAAATATATGAACACAGAGAGTGTCTTGTTCTTGGCAACAGACAAAATTATGATTATGCCTTAAAAATGAAAATGCTATGCTGTTGTTTGCAGTGTACAAGAAATTTGTGGAGTCGCATACTTAGTTTAAGTAACAGAAAGCCACGATAGAAACAGTGTATGAACAAAACATGGAGAGAGACACATGGAGCTCTGTCATTGCCCCAGAATACAGATTTTAAGATATTAGCATTTATCAAGTAGAATAAGCTTAACTTGGCAAACAATCCAACAACAAAATGAAAAATTCAAAATATCTGATGCACATCAATTCATGAATGCTAGTTAAAAAGGAAACCTGGACAAGAAGCCTCCAAACCCTCTCTGAACACTGCAAAATTTCCTCATTTGATTCCAGCAGCAGATTCTGAAAAACAATCCTCAAGGTATCTCCCAAGATAAAAGAGGGCCAAAATGACGTACTGGATGGCTCAGAAATGTTCCTCTTATAACCAGCTTCAAGCAATCGCTCCTGAAAATCACATTGTTAATTGAAACATGATAGAATAGAATCCTCAGCATATAGAACACCAATACTAGCCTATGCTTCATGACATTAAAGGATACATATCTAAATGCAATGATAACATTTGTTGATGAAGTGGTCAAATGAAATAGATATGCAAGAATCCTAGTTTCAGTGAAAAAAATACTTATGAGTTGCTCATAAATAAGTGCCATTGCCATAATGATTAGGCTTGGTAATTATAACAAATTGAGATACTGACAAGGAAGCATATGTAAAAAGGGATTTAAAAGACTTACCAAAGTTCGAATTGCTGAATGTCGGACGGATGTGATACTATGCCTCATAAATGGCCATAACCGTGGTGCCAATGTCGATAACATGTATGGATTTTCTTGTGAGTCTCGTCCTTCTCCAACATCATCAACATGTACCACTTCATTTAAATCCAACTCTTGTTTCTCTTTTGATGCCATCTTGGGAATCATCTCTTCCTGGGAATAGATTTCTGCCAAGAGATTCATCACACTGCAACAAAATAATTGATGTTCAAACATAAACTCTTTTATAATATGTGATTGATTCAGACTACCACAACATGCAAATAGTCACACTTGGAAGATTAATCCAAGTTTCAACATATAACCAAAGTCCAATGGATTGGTACCTCGCCATTTTTCAAAAGGTTGTAATTTTAAACACAAACCAAAGATCTTCATCCTCAGCAGAAAGAAGGAAGGAAATGACTTTGTTCCAGGAAAGGGAACGATGCTGGCACCAATTCCAAGAAAAAAACGTGCATAAATAAAGCCTAATGCTAACAAGAATAAACCGAGCTTAAAGTTAAAAAGTCATATTGTATGTGTCCCTGTAAATGTTCCCAATGCCAACAACAATAGATGACATAGTAATTTGCCTCTTAAAACCCAAGTCCCTATGCTTCTGAAGGTCACGAATACAAATGTTTTTGAGAACTCATGTTTCAAGGTTAACAATGGATCATGTAAATGTTGCTTTTGGTAGGAGGGCACAAGAAAAGGAGATACAGACCTAGTGCAACTTCTGTTAGTTGATTTATAGAAAAAGACTTAAGTTGGAAAAGGATGAGGCTAATGGAACCCAAAAGGATCAGTCAGTTCAATGATAATCGCTATACCACAGAAATGGTGTAAAGTCGGAAGAAATGAAAGTCTTAAGCACCATATCAACAATCTTAACTTTGCACGATCTTCAATGGGGAGAAAAGTGATAATAAATCAATGTTTATGTGTAAATCAGGTGCTGAAACTGTATAGACGAGTGGGCCAGAGATTTACAGGGCAGGCATATGCAAAATGGATTTTTATGTTAAGCATCATCCAATTTTTTGTGTTTTAGGGCATCCTTTGACAAGGCGCCACATCTGCGTAATCCTTAAGCTGGATGGGGGGCTGGGATTTTACCTTCTTGTTTTCCTTCTGGAAGTTAACCCAGTTAATCTAGAATCTAGTATTAGTAGATATATGGTGCTGTGGGAATTGTGGGCTATGATGGGTGGTTCCAGGTTCAATTGATGACATTTCTTTGATGCTTTGGGAAGGCTTTGGGAATGGAAGCAACTTTTGTGGGATAAGAGTAGGTTTTTACTTCATAGGTTCTTCAGCTCAAGAGGCCTTTGAGTCTATGCAGCAGACATCCAAAAAGACTAGAAAGCCCTGTTGTGAGTTTTATTACCTTCAGGATATCTTCATCTTTTGGAGGATGCCCATGGTGTAGAACCACCAACAAGAGAACCATCTCTCCGAGAGAAAACATAATCGGTTTTCCAAGTTAGAAAAAATGAATATAGGGTGCTTATTTATAGGCACCAAATAATATAAAATAGGAAAACCACAAGGAAACTACAATATCAAAATAAAACTTTCATTCTAAATATGTAGTCCAAAAAAATTTATCGCAGTCCTGCATAACCCATCCTCCTTCCATACTTATGACTATTCACTTCTGATGTAATTGATGAATGATTCCAGATGTGGCATTATATCATTGATGGCAGAAAAAAAAAATTCTTTGCTGGCTAATCCTTATATAATTAGGATTTGAAAATTACCATTGGCTTGTGGTTTGAGATGTTGAATGCATGTTTTTTTTTTTTTAAAGTATTCAGTAATCTCCCGTATAGTGTAGTTGTTATGGATTCATATGAAGGGTTTCACGAGAAGGTATTTCAGGATTTTATGAAATTTTGACCAGAAGAAATAACAGAAGTTCAAGAATCAATTCTTACCCATGCAGCAGTTCTGATATCGTAGATCTTTTTTATTTGCATCTTTATGTTTTACCAGTGTAGCGTTTCTATAACTTTTTAGGAAGGTCTCCTTTACCTGACGTTAAATAGGACTGAAAAGTCCTCATCTTTAAATAAGTTTTCTTGTATCCAGAAAAATAAAATCATAAATAGTGAACGCAAATGAGATATCAAGAACCAAAATGAAGAATGGAAACCGAAAGAAAAAAAAAACATAGTGGGCAGTGATGGCATCAAGATGGTATGTGCCATGGGCATGCTATATATTCATCATATTTTCCAAACATGCAAACAAGTGTGTGCATAAAGCTTATATTTACTAGCCATATTGCTAGTCACAAAAACAAAATTTGAAAAAGCAAATACCAAGTCACCCGGTGTGTGGAAGTACCTGCTAGTGGAAGGACTTAGATCATCCAAATCAAGCAAGATATCCCAAAGTAGCATAATAATGGAATGCAATGTCCGACCCTTCATAGAAACAATAGCAGCAGCAGTAGGTATTAGAGCATCTGCAGCAACTGCCCTGACATCATCGTCAGGGTCCTCCAGTCCAGCTTTACAAGCAGGTAGAACATAGCCAAGCAAATCAGGCAGCATCTCCTAGTGTAAATGAAGAGCAGAGATGCATGATGAAGAAGAATATAAATGACAATATATATATATATATATAATTACAACTTTAACGAGTCTGTAAATGAAAGAAGTGTATGCATGAAGACAAAAATGCTTAAAATATTAAGGATCATTTGTTTCTTCTGTCTTCTCTCCATTTGCTGGGTGTTCTCTCCCTCCTTAATACACCTTCCCTCTTTGATACACCAGAACCTTGCTTCGATATTTTTGCTGCATTTTTTTCCAGGTACGTGGCTAGATATCACTCTCCCTCAAAACCCCACACCATTGATGCAAACAAGATCCGAAAGCAAGCCCTCAAGTTCAAAGCCAAAAGACTTCCTAGCAAAGCTACCTAGACCCATGGGCAACAGTCTGCTTAGCATATTCTTTACAAGGAAAAACGCAATAAATTTTAGGCCACTGCAAATTTATCGTTCCCACTTTCCAAACTCTGTTAGCATGTGCCTTCTCTAGCTTTCTTTCCCATCTATCCGAAAAATACTAATTAGAGTTTGCAGAAATCAAGAAATCATGCTAAATGACCATGAAACCGTCAAAAAGAAAACAAGGTCAATTTACCACGATATTTTCCAGAGTAGATGAAAAGAAAAGCCAAGTAGTGCAGAGGCTGAATGGAAAATAAAGGCGGCAAATTCATTTGTAGTATAGATAATTAGTTGGTTTTGGAAACTGAGAAAATTAAAGAAGTATTTGCATTGTAAAAGATGAACATCTTCTTATAAAGGACTCGAAAAACAGAATCTGAAATTTCCACTAATCAAGAGACCAACTCCCATCACACCACAACGTGGGTAAAGGATGCAATCCATTATCTAGCCTAGAGTGGAACCGAAAAGGCTAAAAAGAACATCTGGACTTCAGATTTAGTTTCCATTTTCCAAAATAAATATGCATCAAATATGGCTCAAACTCTTTATGAACTTGTTTTTTTCCTCCATTTCCTACAGAATCAAAGATTTAATAGGAATAGGAAAAATTGTAGACACATAGGGGAGAGGGAAGAGCGAGTGGTTTAAAAGTAGCATGACCCCAAATTCCAGTTTCAGAAACAAGATGCTCCAGTCAGGACAGCTAAAACCTGAATGTCACACTCAAGACAAGGTTGTTGAAGTCTTGATTGAGCCTGGCAAAACCCACCAAGTGATCAGTTATAGTACAAAATTCTGCATAGCCCATTCTGTAAAGTTCAAGGCACGAGTTCTTTCAGTTATAGTTATAGACTGTGCTGTTTTTTCTAGCCTCATTACTGCATGACATGTGCAATGAACACATCAGGGAGTTGGTCTCTCTATATCACATTCAAGGGGAATGGAGGGATCCCTTTTCTTATCATTCCTTCTCGATCTTTCCTGGGTTTCTTTTTTCTTTTTTCCCCCTACATCTGTCCTTTTGGGGGATGACCAATTCTCCCTAATGCAAAGATTTTCTGTACATGTTTCATTCAATATTCTGATAAAAGAAAAATAAATAAATGAAAAGTTGGAAATAAATTGCATAAGGTCTAGAGTAAACACTCAAGAAACAAAGAGAAAACTTTCACCTGTCGAACAGCAACCAAATACTTGATGCCCAAAAGGCTTCCATGACGAATTTCCCATTCTGGTCTACGCTGAATAAGGAGGAATGACAGAAAAATAAAAATCATAGAAAAATCACCAGGTGTACATCATACCCAGCATTTCCAACAACATAGAGACTAAAAGCACGTTGTTATATGATATCTACCTGCATTTGAAGCAGAATATTCAATGTTTCATAAACTAAAGTGCGATGCATATACTTAAATGCAGCACCTAATGCTTGCGCACAAGTTTCCCGTACTGGAGCAACAACCTGGTCAGATACATAGTCTCCAAAACTGCACAACAGAAGTATAGTAAACAAAGAGGGAGGATCAATTTGAATATAGACCTAGAAAGAAAATTCAATAGCATCACATGTATACCATCTGAGGACGTAGAAATGTAGCTCATCCATAATCTTAAAATCAATATTTCTAGTTCCCAGTCAAATAATGGGTGAAAAGCTGAAACTTAAGAAACATCAGCTTATAGGTCAACTAAAAGAATCTGCACCCTTACCGATCTAGTGATAATATGCATAAGAAACGAATTGCACAATCTTCAAGAAATTCGTTATTTTTTATAGAAGAATGCCTGGCCAATTTAACCAAGTTCATCAGCTCGTGATTTTCAGGAAAACTGTTCTGCATATTTGACTTCAGAAAATGACCCTGATGTTGAGGGTAACCCTTTGACTCTACCATGCCAACAGTCCTTTCAGCTGGATAAGATGCAACGTTGGGGTAAGATTCGGGCTCCATCTTAACAGAACTAATAACATCAACTTGGCCATTAACCTGCCCATCAGACAAATTCCATCCACTATCCTCAACCTTTACACTAATGTCACTACTACCAAGATTGCTAGTAGAGACCATCATATCCATAGTTTGAGATGACACATCTTCAGATTTCTGTCTTTTTGGATTTGGCTCTGAGTCATCTGCTGAAACTTGCAAATTCAAATCAATTTCTCTCTCCCTTTTAATGGCATTTGAATAATCTATCTCTCTGAGATCATCAAGAGCACCATCCAAGCTCAAGTCAGGCACAACCAATCCAGCAGAACCACCATGATGAGTTAAGATTTCTCTCAAAGCCATGACACTGCCATGGCGAACCTCCCAAACTGCCAATGAATTCTCACACAAACTATCATTAGACAATGAAACCACAGTACAATCCTAATCTAGCAAAATAAAAATAAAAAACTCACCAGGGTCAAACATATCAACAATAAGTTGTTCAACGAAACCATAGAAAGGCCACCTCCCATCTCCACTGTGCTCCAAGTTGTCTTCTTCATCAGCATCTGCCTGCATTAAAAGAAAGCATCAAAGTTGCTGCTTGATACTGATATCACGGAACAGGTAAAAGCAAAGAAGGTATAAGAAATATAACTTTACAGAAGTAAAGAAAGATAAAGATAAGTAAACCATGATGGATATTTCCTCAGTGGTGTCTTATCAGTTAATCATACCATTTGGCATGTCCCGAATTGCTTGTCCACTTTCCAGAATAACACTAAAATCCAGTTAGCTTCCAATTTTGAATTACTCTTTTATAAAACAAGTATTAAATTGATTCCATTGACCAAAGCATAGAAGGGTAGTTTGCAAATATATGCCTTCCTTAAAACTTAGGATTCGCAATGACAGAGAAGTTATTAAGTATCGATCTCTGTCTCCTACAAATGTTTCCACCTCCACTCACTTGATGCTCTCATCTGTCGCATAAACTAGCTAAAGAACAGAATAAAATATATTGATCTCATAAATGGCTTTTGCAATGGAAAAATGGTCATAAAAGAACAAAAATAGGACTCTTGGTGAGGTCAAAAAATGAATTATTGTAATCCCAAGAAGGATTACAATTTACAAACCCAAAGGGTTTCTGGTGCATGCCCTTATTCATTGTACTCTAAGATACTGTTTTTATAGCTTGGTCATCTATGACCCTTTGAGTCTCTCCCATTTTACCCTCCTTTAACATATAAGAAATTCCATTCAATGAGAAAGAAATGAATACCGTAAGGAGAATAAGACATTTGTCAACTAAATAGCTCCAAACACCTTTGAAATGCAGCCAAGAGGCTCCAGACACGAAAAATCATAATGAGGCCATAAAAAAAAACACCACTTAATATTTTATTCTAGTGCATATATTTCCAGGTTTGACAGCTTAAAAGATATCTTGCTCATGCCCTTGGGCTTGGCAAAAATCTGGAGTAAGTGGGTAAACATCAACAGACAAGAGGTTCCAGACACATCCCGATGAAGCCAAAAAAAGAAACCCACTTAATAGTTTATTCTGGTACATATATTTTCAGGTTTGTCAGCTTCAATTCATGCCCTTGGGCTCGGACAATTCAGGAATAAGTAGGTACGCATAGGAATTATATTGATCTCTGTCTCTCAAAAACATCTTCCTACTTGAAAAACTAAACAGGATGCCCCTAAGCTAAACCAATCAGTATTAAAGACTTTAAATCTGCATCGTGTAAGATGATGAAAGCAAATAATATGCTCCCTCAAGAAAGAAAACCAATCAAATGCCCGAAGGAAACATGCATAGTGGGAGCACATCATTTGCTTCTCAATGTCTGTACATGCAAGAACAGCTTTACATTAGCTGTGATAAGTGACAGCCAGCGATAAATTGAGGAAGAGATATATTCTGTTACCTTTTTAAAGCTCAACGAGTCTGCATTTGAACCCTTTGGAGTTGTACTCTGTGCACAGGCCACCTCTGTATCCCCATCCTCTGACCAACTTTTCGCTTGGTCTTTAGAGTTTATTTTTGCTTTTCGCTTTAAGAGATTCAGCTCCCTTGCACTTGGTCTTTTGGATATGACACTCGGCACCATACTTGCAACAAGTTGCTGGATGTTATGTACTGACGGGTGTTTGTAAAATCTATGATCTAAACCATTTCCTTGAGACTGTGATTTGTGGACAACAAGGTCTTCATCTTTAATCACATCATTGACATCCATAAACTGCTCACAGACATCTAAACCTGCCACAAAATTCCATGGAGTCTGAGCAAATTAACAAACACTTCAGACAGTGAGAGACTACCAAACATCAGTGCTTTTCTTTTCTATTCTTTTCTTTTCTTTTTTTCTATGTATGTATGCACGTGCGCGCATGCGAGCTGGGGGAAACAAAACGTTAGAGAATATGCATCCTCCCTTCCCTAAAAAATGAAAAGCCAGAACTACAACTTGCAGAGAACAGCTGAAAGTGTTAGTATATTCACTGAGGACACTCCTCTACAAACCTGATCCAAAGCAGCATCAATAGGCAAAGAAAATACTATTTTGTCGCAAAGGAAGAAAGCATTTATAATGCCATCAATTACTAACCCAAACGGCGTCGCAGGTTTTGTTTCTGACGAGCCAATCGCTCCTGTGGATTCTTAGAATTCTCATTTGCAATGTCATATTCCTGGATCAAAACTGATGTCAGATCTTGACATAGATACACATACTTACAATTAGAACATGGACATTTGAAAGGAAAAGGAGCTAGCCATGCTAGCACCAAGTAGTAAAGCGTCATGCAAATTCCTTGCCCAACCAGAAAGAAAGTGAAGCACCCCCATTGCTAATAAAGGGGCCTGTACACGGAAAGGGGATGGGTGCTAATTTCCATTCTGTACCCCAATGGTTTATGGAGATAAAAAATTGTTACAACTCAGAGGTGCAAGTTTGAATGATACATGATGAAACTTCAATTTTGTTTATAAATTTTCACAACATATGAAAGAGTCCAATGGCCATCACCATCAGAGACCATTATCGTCCTAATAATACCAATGCATATGCAAGGTGTAGATACCAGCATTGTTCATTAATAAAAGAATTCTTTAAAAGTAATGATGAAATTGATGACCGCCAAAAAAAAAAAACTCTCATTTATTGAAGTTAACATAACCTAAGAATTCACAAATAAAAAAGAAATATTCATCAGCTGAGCATTTGGATCTTCCCTACAATAAGTTGAATCCTACTAAAAACACTGCTTTTCCGTGGGATATACCCAAGCACCACTCTACCCATCATTCCATAGAGCCAAGTTTTCCAAACCCAAATGACATGCTCAATTTGTACTGCCAATTCCTCATATACGGCACCCCACTCAGCTAAAGAAATAACTTGAAGGTGGGAAAAACAATCTGTAAACCTATCCAATCACTTTATGACATTAAGGGTGTGGGTTCAGAATGCTAACCATCCCAACTGGAAAGAATATTGATGGTTGACCAATCTATGTAGAAAGCCTCTCCTTGATACAGATGCATTAGATAGACTTGATGTTGGTTGAACACATCATCATAAACACTGAAGACTGAGTTCTTTATTGTTTCCTCACAAGGACTTCTCTAACCTCTCACATCTTTATCAGATTCCAACACTCATTTTTGGAGGAAAAAAAGATGTGGGGGGGGTTGGGTTGTTGTGGGGTTGTGTGTGGGGTGGAGAGGCTGGAGTCCCATTCCCTAAGTTCAACAGTTAGTAACGTAACCCATTCAATCGGTTCAGTTAAAAGAGCAAACTTTGCATAATAACCAGATTCACTACGTAGGAAGCCAGGGCTTAATATCTTCCTTCTTTTCTTAAATATAACGTGTAATCAAAAGAGAAGATTAAATGGTTGAAATTGAATCAAATGTAGTCATTCCAAGAGAGAAAAGCTATTGGCAAATCAGTGCTATCTTTTCACAAATGCTGCAAAACAAGTGAATCACTGTTATTACACTGTTTTCAGGCCAAAGCACCAAGGGAGTGGGATTATGGAGCCGTGGTTGTCACTTAGGACATTCCAAGCTCTTTAGAATATGAACTGTGAAAGCATTAAAGGGCAAAGTTCTTTAGGGGGATATCAAAAGATATGGGGCTGTATTCCACTTCCACCAACCCTTTTTTTGGTTGAAATGCGTGGAAAACAACATGAAAACACTTGACAGAGAAGAGACTTTCTCCCCTATCTTGGTCTTTAATTGGATTACGATTTTATATTTCTGATATACGATGGAATCTTTTTTCAAGTGTAGATGATGCTATACAGTCTGGTCATTCATTATTCTCATGAAACTTCATTTGATAATCAAGAAAAAATCCAAAGAGCTATGGAATTTCCTGACAGCGCAAGAAATAGCATTACCTGACCTCCAGACGCCAGCAAAGCACCAAACTCCAACACCTTGTTCATATCAAAGCTGTTAAATATTTGAGGAAAAAATAAATATTAGTGTAATTCTTTTTTTTTTTTTTTTTGCATGTATACTAAATAAAACCAAATCCACAGACAATAAATACAAAAGTGTGTGCAAAATCAACCAATCAACAACCTTCTAAATGAACCGTTTGCTATTATTTGAGAATGAAAATTAGGGCACGCCACCAAATCTTCGACAAGACCTGAAACCCCAATCTCAGACATCTTTGTTTGGACAGAAGCAAATAATTCAGTCAAAGAAGTGTGCTTGACATTCTGAGAAATAGCCCCAATCGCATGAGCAGCTGCGACTCTTGTATCCCAGTTTTTACTATGGAGATACTGAGAAACCTATTTTCACAAGACACTGATATTAAGTCTTGACGACAATAATAGCATTTTTGCAACAAACATTAATAAATTCTTATGGCCAACATTTCCATTATAATTATACTGATACATTATACTGACAAGAACCATTCAGTAAAAGTTCAAGAGAAAAAGGTTACCGCATGCATGTTAAAAATAAAATAGCGTTATCTGGAAAACTCCCCTGGAGCTTAATGTTAATCATATAAAATTAGCAGAATACAGCAAACCCATCCTTTTCATCAGATACAACAAAAAAAAATCCAAAAAACATGTTTACATGCTTTCTCAATGTCCGTTCATTGCAATTACAACCCAAACAATAATTTTTCCCCCAAAAATAATGCTTCACGTAAAAAAAATGCCAAACATAGTTTTAGGTCCACCCAATCAGACCTTAGTAATTAATTATAAATCCACTCCCTCCCAAGTTAAATAAATAGGCCATTTTTATATATAGTCCAGTCCAATAGGTGTGCAGAAAAGAAGGGTGCACACCAACGAATGAGATGCATGCAAGAAAAGAACAGCCTAACTAAAAGTTTCCCTCCATTGTCTGCTAAAAAGAAAAAAGAATGAATACATCACTAGCCCTTTTACAAATCTATAAGTCCAAAAAACTTAAGGGGATAACAGCACAAGAACACAATGAGAGCAAAGTTTCATTTTTTTTAAAGCATCTCCTACCTAAAGTGAAAAGAAATAACAGAAACGAATAAACTTTTAAACCCTAGAACTTAAATTCCCAGAAAAGCCAAAAATTCGTGAAATGTCTTATAATGCTGCAAAGATACGTAGAGAAACACTATCAAATATAAAACTCTTTCTTTCAACCAAATTTTTTGCCTTAGGAATGTGGTAAGAGCCGCTCCCAACTGTCCAGAAAAAAAACCTCCTCCACGGTAATATGCTTACCGCTGGCTAAAAACAGTAGTAAAGCTCAAAATGTCAATTTTCCTTTGAATGAATCGCATTTTATCATCACCCATGTCAGAACAAAATGTGCTACAACAGTAAATAAAGAGCTCATTTGGGCATTCCAGATTAAAAGCTCCATCCTACACATTTCTAATTAATCTCTCATTCAACTCTTAGCGGGCATAATTATTTCACTCTCAAATTGTAACTTTTGCCAAGTAAGTCATGTTAAACAACTTTAACCTTTGAAAAAACCAACTCATCTGCATAAATGATAGAGAGCAAAAGCTAGCATCTCAATCATTAAAATCAAGCACAGCCCCAGCAATGAAATATAAATGGAGCTGGTGTCAACCAAAGCTCGTCAATCAACTTTCGAGAATCCTATATATAAAATTCAGGACACAATAAAACAGGAAGGAAAAAAAAACCTTCTTCAGAAGAGAATGCAAGTCTTGAGGATGCGATTTCGCAATCTCCCCAATCTGCTTCGCAGCAGTCAATCTTGTTGCTTGTGTCGAACCAGCTTCAAAAAGAAACAAAAAATATTATAGTTTCTGTCCATATTATTAAACATGCAAACCTAAACAAAATCAAATCAGATCCAAAAATGTCGATTAGAAAACAAAAACTTACTGTCTAATAAAGTGAGTAGCCGATTGAGACGAGAAGATTGTTGTTGAGCCATAACAAAAACTTAAAAACCTCTAACACGTCGAATTCAACTACAAAACCGCATCGTTATTATCCAAAATTCACTCACTCGCTCACCCCTGCTTCCAATTAATCCATAAAAAAACACAGACACGTTAAATTTAAAAAATAAATGTGTTCTTTTGATGAGACAAAGTCTTCAATTCAGTATTTTCGAAATGAGAAGGGAGAATTCAAATGATGGATGATGCATGGATAAATGCATGAGTCTATGTATAGAAACGGAGATAGAGATTAGGGTTACCAGAAGAAAAGGAGAAGCAAAACGGCAGCGTGTGACGGTTGCAACGGAGTGGGATGACGAAGCTACTTTTTACACATTTTCACGGACAGTCTGTTTGTTAATAAATATAAATTTATAATGCAAGAAAATATGATGGATAATGATTAAACTTCAATTTTATCCCTACGATTGATCAATATTCCAATTGTATCCTATACCATTTTCAAAAATCACGCTTCTAGTGATCAAAAAAGTCTCAATCTTTACCTTAATGCCTCCTTTTTTTATAATTTGGTTTGAGTTTCTTTTTTCAGATAAGTGTTTCCATGAGCTATTACAACTTTCCCAGGGAGTTGAGAGGAAAAATAAGAGAAATTTAAGAAAGTTTAGAATAAAATTTAAAAAAAAAACAATTATTGTTGCCAATAGAATAAAATAGTGTTTGGTAAATGAAAAACGTTGAAAATTGTTAAGAATTATATATAATGAAAAGATGGATGAATTTTAAAAAATTAAGATAGAAGAGGATTGTTGATGAACCTATAAGGATAATACTATAGTTTATCTTACTTGTTTTCTCAGTTTTAATTGATATCTTATTGATTATTTTTTTTTCTTTCAAATTAATGAGTTCAACCGTACTTGAACCTTTTTTTTTTTCAATGATGCCGTATAAGAAATATTTTTTAATGAAGCACTTCTAATTTAGGTCTATTCATGCAATTAGTCCCTCCATAATTAAGAGTCTCATTTGATTGTTGACTTTAGAATATCTTTTTTATATAAAAAAAGTCATAAAAAATAAGAAATTTTAAAAAGTAAAGGAAAAAAAAACTTACTTTCCCCACACATAAACTTAATCGTAATTGATTTCACATTTTAGAGATTAAAGAAAAAATTAAACTAATAGGAGCATAAAATTAATGATACAGATCAATTCAAATTAAAAAATGAAAAAAAAAAGTAAAAAACGAACCAAAACTAAAAATAAAAAGAAAATCATATCCACATTTGCTTTCTTTTTTTCCATCAAAATCCAAGTATTGCAAACTACAATTATAAATTTGTATGTATTTTATTTAAAAGAATCAATTTTATTATGTGATTTTAACTTTTCTTACTATTTGGCCTTTTTATGCGTACCGTAATTCAATGATGGAGTTGTTTACGACGATGGTGAAATCGTAACTTTGATCATACTAATTTTATTTTATAAAATAAAAATGATATATTTTATGGAGATTGGATGATATAATGAAGGTGTTCGCCATGACTATGATATGGTAAGTTTGTGATGATAGGTAATAATGGTTGGAGAAGTGATGTTTTTATACAAGCTATGTGGTGGCGATTTTTTTTTTAATATTATTTAGCTAGGTTATTTGTTTTTTATTTTCATTTCATTCGCTTTTATATTTTGTAATTGATAAATGTGTACTTATGAATCAAGGAAGATAAATTTAGATAGAATTGTTTTTTTAATTTTATTTTGTTGTTCTTTTTAAAATCTTTAACTTTTTTTATATGCTTTTTGTTCAAACATAAAAGTATATATTCTAAAGTTAATAGTCGGTAACATCTTTAGCAAGGGAGGGACTAACTATATGAACAAATCTAAAGTACAAGGATCCGTGTAAAGAATTTTTTTTCGTGAGAGACCATTTAAAAATAATCGAAAGTATAAGAACCGCCAAGCTCATCAACTATGATCTTTTAATTGTGGATTTCTAATACATACAAATTCATACACGAAACCAACAATCGGACACCGATATTAATAAAATTGCAATTTAAGCATCCAATTTTTATTTTTATTTTTTTTGAGTGTGCACTTAGTAAATCCTTCAATTCGAGTGCCCAAAATTTGATTTATATATATATATTTGAGCATCCATAATTACTTGAGACTTAAAAATATTAATGTGTTCAAGATGAACTCGTCGCGTGGTGAGAAGTGGATCCTACGTATATTGTTCATAAAAAATATAACTTGAGCGCCCAACCTTTCTTTCTTTCTTTTTAGTACCCAATATTTGATTTTTTTTTCTATTTGATTTTTCTCCATTGCTTGAAATTCAAAAATATCGATGTGACTCGAAAGCACTAAGACGTGGTAAAAAGTGAGTCCCACTCATATTTATTGAGAAATAAATTTTAAAAAATATAAAGTTTATAAAATAAATTAATTTCTAAGAATTAAAAAATAATAAATCAAAATCAATTATTATTAGTCAAGTGAACTCGAATTGTTTGGATTATCCAATGTTAAAATTATTTGTAACGCCCCGCCCCGTCGTATTTCTACTACCCAAGTAGGATATCTGGACGAAGCGCGTTACACCGACATACCCTAAACTCTAAGTAGTTTTCTTATGATGTTCTTAGAACTTTAACGAGTACATTACGTATATAACTCCTTGAGATAAAATTTACATAACACAATTAAATACATTAATAAAACATTACGAGCAATATTCAATTTCTCACGAACTCCATACCTCAAATATACGGACAAAATAAAAACTAATATATGGTGCCTCACATGAGCCGATTAGGAGGAGCCGACCGCATCCGTACCAACTTGTCATTTTTCCGTCAAGACATAAAAAAAATAACAACATGGTGAGCCGAAGCTCGGTAAGCGAGGTGATGCACGTGATATGCAATGTTTTTTGACTTCCCACCATACTCATAAATTTTAATATCGGGTACCCCGAGTATTAGCCAGTCTACTCTATTTATCATCCGGGTGGTCCGCGGATCACCTTCTGCTATAACGGAATTATCCTTCGTTGTAACTACCGTTAACGGGAATCCATCATCTAACGGTGCAAGCACACAACTTGATTTCATCCGGATGATCCTCGGATCATCTTCTGTTACAACGAAATTATCCCTCGTTGTAACTACTATTAGCGGAAATCCATCGTCTAATAGTGCGAGCACACGACCTAGAGTACTTGGACTACTAATACTCATTTATTCCAATTAGGTTATCAAACCTAGATGTATAAACCATTTTTCAATCAATTAACTTGTCTTAAACCACCCACTATGCACATAATGCACGTGATGACATATTTAATCACATTCAACCAATTTCGAGTACCAACCCTTCATTCTCATGTCATACTCACGATCCAACTCACACTTGAAATTTATCCATTGCTCACATACCGATCATGATACTCACAGTGGAACACAATCTCCGCTCATTAATATTGTTCATTAGGTTCATTAATATTTAAAAGAAGGTCCAAGTCCATTTAATGCAATCCAAGCCCATTAACTTTATCCTAGGTTCATTGACTCTATTTAATTCCATTTTATTTAGTCCAAGCTCATTTATTTTATTCCAAACCTATTAATTTTGTCAAAGTCTAATTTTTTTGGTTTTAGGATTTATTACCGAGCAACTCCTAATCGAGTAAATAATTTTCTAATTTCAGAATATAATTAAATCTTACTCATTTATTTTAGATACTAGACATATTTATTTATAACATATCCAAAAAGTAGGTCTAAATACCAAGTACACAATTAATTACAAATTTTTGAAACTTAGGGAGCAATTTGCCTAATAGTAGTTTATCTAGAGCTATCCATACTAAATCGGGTGTAACTCTTTGTACACTAATCCAATTACCAAGAAATTTTAAAGGAAGTTAGTTGAAACATAGATGAACAACTTTTATCCTTTAAGTTTCACCTAGAAATCGATCTAAAATCCTTGAATAGACACCCCAAAATTCGGACAGAATTTACTCCTTATTAACGCTAATTTATTAGTTCATTCCAAGCCAATTTTAAACATGTTTTAGTTCACTTAAATTTAGTCCAAGTTCAATCCAAACCATCACCACATACTTGGAAATTTTTCAAAAAATCATAACATCATAAATCATCATAACAAGACATCTATACATAGATTTATTCCAAGCATCAAGCATATAACCATTGAAAATTATTACAACCCATGAAATAAACACTAACAAAATAACTTTAAAAAAATAATTTAAGACATTAATCAGCAAAAAAAATGAAACCTACTTACCTCTTTTTGGTTTGATTATAGTTTTCTTAGCTCTTTTTTTTTTCCTTTTTCCCTTCCTCTTTTTCTTTCGTTTCCTTTCTCTCCTCACGTTTTTCTTTCTCTATTTTCTTTCTTGCCTTTTCTCTCTCAATTTACGGTACCTACGGTTTACTAAAGTTTTTCTCCTATTTTAACACTTGATATATATATATATATATATATATATATATATATCACTTATTTTCATTCAGCTACAAGTGTTAGAAATTAATGGGATAAGGTGTAAAGGTTATGGGTGAGTCATGAGGAAAGTTGGTCGCTTTGGAATCCATAATGGGTCGAGTTGGCATTAAATTCATTTATTGCATTTGCTTAGGTGTCTATATAAAATTTAGACTAATTAAAATCATTAATTAACTTAATTCAAGTAACTAAAACTGCGTTCTTTCATAAAAATTCGAAAATTTCCATTTTTAAAAATTCGGAATTTCTTTTCCCCCAAAATTCCAGCAGTGTTTCCTCCTAACCCATCTATACTAAATGTGCATAACTCTTTCTATATGTATCCAAAATTTATGAAATTTTATAGAGAGCTAGTATACATATAGACAAACAACTTTTATTCTTTACGTTTTTCTCAAAAATCAATCTAACAGCATCAAATAAATCTCACAAGATTCAGGCAGATTCTTCTCCCAAAATTTCAGCGAGAATGCATTTCGAAACAACCCTCACTATAATTGGTATAACTCTTAATGTATAGGTCCAAATATTATTAAATTTTATAAAGGCTTATTAAACACATAGATGAACGACTTTCATTCTTTAAGGTTGACCCAAAAAGTACTCTAAAGGCCTCAAATAATTCACACAAAACTCGAGCAGAATATAGTCCTTAAAACACCGATTTTGCATGTTTAATTTCTTTAATAATTAAACCATTAATCTTAAGCACAATAACTTTAATTTAACATAAATCACATATTTCAAGCATTAGTTTCTCATGATGAAATGATAATTACACTTTCTTTTAATATACATATATGTAGAATTATTCTAATACAAGTCGCGTTACGGATAAGGGTTTTTACAGGGGTTACATTATTAAATTAGCTAAAAGAGATACTTAGATGCTGATATCTTAACGGTGTTTTAAGAAATTGATTATCAAACTTGTTGAGTTTATTCGACCAGTGATAATTGATTTTGATTTTTAAAAATTATTACCACCTATTGTTTTATTTTTATTTTTTTATTATTCTTCTTAATAAATCTTGATGGGATCCAGTTTTTATCATGTGTTAGTGTTGTAGCTTTCGATCACATCAATATTTTTCAAGCTTGGGTTATTAAAGGAATTCAAATAAAATAAAATCCAATATTGGACACTTGAGCAAAAACATAATCCAAAGTTAGGCACTCAAATTGCAATTTTCTAAAAAAATTGATTTTTTTTTCCATAATAATTCAAGTGGGATCCATTTTTTTGCCAAATAGCAGTTTATCATGAATATATAAATATTTTTCAATCTCGAGTGATTGTGGGTACTCAAATACAAAAAATTAAGAATTAAAACTTGGGCTTTCAAGTACAAAGATTTATTGACCGACAACTCAAATAGGATAAAAAAAGACAAAAAATTGGATACTCGAAAAGTTTTCTCCACCGATATCTACGAGCATTCTCGTTTATCGACGATAAAGAATTTAAATCTCTATACTTGACTTCTCGAGCTTTGAATATCTACTACTCGAACATTGTTTATCATTGAACATGAAACTAAAACTATAGATATTATACATATGTGTATGTTTATGTCGTAGTAATATACATTTGGGTCATGTATTGAGTTGGGATTGGCAATGTCCATGACTTGTCCGTTACTTGATTAGTAAAGATTTTGGATATTCATTCCTTCACCAAAGTACTCGACCATAATAAAACAATTAAAAAAAAAACCATCGAGGTCAATTCACTTAAATAGCCATAGAGTTCAAGACAAAACATTAATATACATTTTCAAATTGGGTTTGATTGGTTCATTACCCAACAAGAAATTATTTGATAGGTCCATGTCCGACTTGAAACGAAACTATTGAATTTTTTATTTTATTTTTTTGCATGCTTGGTTTGATCGAGTAGCTAGCTATCAAGTCCAAGTTAGATCATCATCCAAGTATGACATGATAGAATTATAATGCAAGAAAATATGATGGATAGTGATTAAACTTCATTTTTTATCCCTTCAAACCGATCAATATTCCAATTCTATCCTGTACCTTTTTCAAAAAAATCACCTTTCTAGTTTTCAAAAAGTTTCAATCTTACCTTAATGCCTCATTTTTCTGTTTTTTTTCTAATTTGGTTTGAGTTTCTTTTTTCATATAAGTGTTTCCATGAGATATTGTAACTTTCCCGGGGAATTGAGAGGAAAAAGAAGAGAAATTTAAGAAAGTTTAGAATAAAATTTTGAAAAAAAAAATCAATTTTTGTTACCAATAGAATAGAATAGTATTTAGTAAATGAAAAACATTGAAAATTGCTAAGAATTATATATAATGAAAAGATGGATGAATTTTAAAAAATCAAGATAGAAAAGGATTGTTGATGAACCTATAACGATAATAATATAGTTTATCTTACTTATTTTCTTAATTTTAATTAATACCTTATTGGTTTTCTTTCAAGTGAATGAGCTCGAGTGTGTTTGAACCTTTAAGTATTATTTTTAAATAATCCCTTATAAGAAATATTTTTTAATGAAGTACTTCTACTTTGGGTCCGTTCATATGGTTAGTCCCTCCATCATCAAGAGTCTTATTTGATTGTTGACTTTGGAATGTATCTTTTTTTATATATTAAAAAAAAGTCATAAAAATAAGAAATAGATAAATTATTAAAAAAAAGAAATTAAAAAAAACTTACTTCCCCACGCATAAACTTAATCTTAATTGATTTCACATTTTAGAGATTAAAAAGAAAATTAAACTAATAAGAACATAAAATTAATGGTATAGTCAATTCAAATTAAAAATGAAAATAAAAGTAAAAAACAAACCAGAACCAAAACTAAAAATAAAAAGAAAATCATATCCACATTTTCTTTCTTCTTCTTTTTTTTTTTTCCATCAAAATCCAAGCATTGCAAACTACAAATATAAATTTGTATGTATTTTATTTTAAAAAATCAATTTTATTATGTGATTTTAACCTTTCTTACTATTTGGTCTTTTTATGTAAATCGTGATTCAATGATGGAGTTGTTTTACCACGACGGTGAAATAGTAACCTTGATCATACTTGTTTTTATTTTTATTTATTTATTTATTTTTTAAAATAAAAATTATATATTTTATGGAGATTAAATGATATAATGAAGGTATTTACAATGACTATGATATGGCTTTGTGATGACAAGTAATAGTGGTTGTAGAAGTGATGTTTTTGTACCAACTATGCGGTGGCGATTTTTTTTAATATTATTTAGCTAGGTTATTTGTTTTTTTTTTTTAATTTTCATTTCATTCGTTTTTATATCTTGTAATTGATAAACGTGCACTTATGAATTAAGGAAGATAAAATTAGACGGACTTGTTTTTTTTTTTAATTTCATTTTGTTGTTCTTTTTAAAATCTTCCAATATTTTTTTTTAATATACTTTTTGTTCAAACATAAAAGCATATATTCTAAAGTTAATAGTCCGTAACATCTTTAGCAAATGAGCGACTAACGATATGAACAAATCTAAAATACAAAGATCTATTTAAAGATTCTTTTTTTTCATGAGAGACCATTTGAAAAGAATCGAAAGTATAAGAAACCTCAAGCTCATTAACTAGCATCTTTTAATCGCGGATTTCTAATACACACAAATTCATACATGAAACAAAGAATCCAATACTAGTATCAAGAAAATTGCAATCTAAGCATCCATTTTTTTTTCGAGTGTGCTAGAGAGAAAATAAAGTAGGGAGACGAGATTAAGATTAAAATAAAAAAAGTTAAAACCGTTAGTCTGAAAGTTAATAAATAGATAAAATTAAAACAAAAATAAAAAAAATAGAGATGAATTTAAGATGAAAAAGAGTGGAGAGATACTACTAGAAGAATTTTTTTTAAAAAAAAAAGAGTAAGAGACATATGCAACGATTAACGAGTCCATTAAAATTATTTTGCAAAATCCGAATTTAATCCCTAACCTATATACTCATTCTCAATTGAGTTCCAAATCTATAAATTTTATCAACTAGATTCCAACCTTTCAATAATTCATAATCAAGTCTTTCCGTTGATGTTCATCGATTTTTTTTTTGTCAATTTTTTTAAAAATCTATGTCGTTTTAATGCATAAAATATGGACATGAGAACAAAAATGTTAATATTTATTAACTTTTGCATCAAGTTTTTTTCCCTTCAAATTGATGTTGTTTTAGTGAATTGAATTAGATATGCATATTAGGCATTATATATACATACATACATACATACATACATACATATATATATATAAAAGAAACGACGAAAGGATCTAATTAAGAAGCAGGAAACTTTTGGGATATGATTGATCAAATTTATATGTTTGGGATGTAATTTAGAATGAGTATAAAGATTTGGGATTAAATTGTGGTCTCCTCATTCTTTTTTGTTTCCGCCTAAAATCGAGAGTTCGAAGGTTGAACTCGAAAACTGGGGGAAAGGGGAGAGGGAGACCACCAGCAAAAAAAAAAAAAAAATGGAGGCGAAAAGTCCATTTCAATGTCCAAGCACAGTCACCGTCCGGCGAAACCCTCACCGAAGAGCGAGGCCTACACCTTCCGCTTCCACTATCCCTAATCCCAAAATTCAAAATTCAAATATTATGAAAGAAATTTCTTCATTCCCAATTCAAGACATTCTTGCAATTGAAATCCCTCAAAACGACCCACCCTCACTACCACCACTACAACCACCACCACCAGAACGAAAACCATCGGCACCTGCTCCCTCGGAAAACCTTAAAGTTTATCTTAGAATTCGACCGATTGTTACGATTAAGCCAAACACCAAAGACAAAAAAATTCTAGGCAAAGGCAGAAAAACGCTTGGCCTCAAAACCCTTTATCCAAAAACATTATCGCAAGCGAGAAGAATCTAAAGAAAAATTGTAGTAGTAGTAGTAATGAGGTTTATATAGATGTCAATGATTCTCATTCGGTTACTCTATCCCCACCTGCATCCTTACAAGAGTCTAAAAGAATCAAATCCGAGGTTTATGAAGGGTTTTCGCATGTTTTTGCCTCCGATTCCACTCAGGTAAACCTTCTTTCCCAAAATATTCATTATTTGCGGAAAATTTTCAAAATTTCAGGATCGTTATTCGTGGGGTTGGAGTTAATTTTATTGTGTGTGTGTGTGTGTGTAGAATGAGGTGTTTGAGAAGATGGTGAAACCATTAGTGGATGATTTGCTTAATGGAAAAAACGGATTGTTAGCTGCATTAGGTCCAAGTGGTTCAGGCAAGACTCATACAGTTTTTGGGACTCCTAGGGAACCTGGGATGGTTCCACTAGCACTTCAACAGATTTTTAAGCAGGACCAGCCGAGTGGGTCTAAGTTAGCAAGGTAATTGGTTGTGTTTCACTGCTGCTGATTCTTTCCTACTCATGTTGGCTATCATTCGAGGATTTCTCGATTTTGTTAGAGGTTATTACATTGTTATGTGTGATTATTATTTGCGATAAGGGAATTATTGTTATTGTAAGAGGATAACATTTAGAGGGGACTAAAAAGTGTTGGTTTATTTATTGATTCATTGTTAGGATTGTTCACTACATGGTGTAATTTCAGGGCATTCAAAATATCTGTTTTCGAAATATATTCAGATCGAGGTAAGGCGGAGAGAATCTCTGACTTATCCCCAGATGGAGGTGATTTGTCTATGCAACAGGCTACCATTAAAGGCCTCCAAGAGGTTGATAACCTTTTTTATTTAATCTGACATTAGTGTTATTTTTGTTGTTATGTGCACGTGCCTGCCAGTTTTCACATCTATGTAACTTGATTGGTGCAAACAGGTTGCCATTTCTAGTGCTGCACAAGCAGAGTCCTTGATAGCTTGTGCAATGTTGAAACGCACAACAGCCATGACCAACTCAAATAGCCAATCAAGGTGCATTGCAACCAAACTTTGCTTTTTCTTCATGGAATTTTATAGATTGATAGAAAGAAATTTTGGATTGAATTTTTGCAAGTGCTTTATGGATAGGAGAATCAAGAGCTTGGATTACTGGACAAGCCTTGTCCATTCCTTGTTGTTTTACACAAGAAAAATGGAGTGGCAACTTCTTTGAAATTTGCTAGTAATTTCGGTTGTTAATACGCATGTAACTAATGTCAATTTGTAGAGAAGAAAATTATTTAGTGCTTACATTTGGTCATATGTCCCATTGCTTTTACATCTACAATTTATTAGATTTTATTCCAGCATGATAGTTAATCTATTTATCTATTTCCATTTAATCATGCACCTGTCTATCCATTGAGGATGGACATATTTTTTCCTATTTTATTGCCTTCTCTTTATAAAAATGTGCTTTTCAGTGACATAAATTTCTAGTTCAACGATGAGTAATATTATTGTAATTTACTTGCAATGTTGTTAATGAACTTCATTAGCCTTAATTCTTAAAATAAAATTTTAGCAAATTTATGACTTTCCTCTTTTTAACATACTTGCAGCCGATCACAGTGTATCATTAACATCCACAGTTTTGTTGGGGATCCAGATGTTGAACCAAACAACGCTGTCCTTACCATTGTTGATCTTGCTGGAGCAGAGCGAGAAAAGAGAACTGGCAATCAGGTTTTGTAATTCTACAAACCATCCTTTAGTATGAATGCACTATCAGTTGATAGTATTTTAAATATATGCAGCTTTAGTTTTGAAACACACTATGGAATATTATCAGATCACAAATTGTTTTCTTTCTTTCTTTCTTTCTTTCTTTTTTTTTTTTTGTGAAAAAAATTGTTTATGGAGATGGCTTATAGCTGTATGAGGCCCATTAATATATCAAAGAGAACAAACTTTTCAAAATGACAGAGAATTTCGATTTTTTGGTCTGATATTGAATATTTTCAGGAGTTTCTAACTCGTCAATACATCACACCCAGGAGTTTCTAACTTCTTTAATAATCTAAGTGTTGGAGTTTCAGGTGATAATATATATTTATTGGAATTTTAGGAAACTGTGGCAATGATATGGTTCTCTGATGGTGTAAGCATGCTTGGAAAAAAATACACTATGATTATACCAGTAGAATTCAAATGAGTTCATTGGAGACTCCTAATGTTAATGTCATGTGCAACATTGACAATCACAGAGAAGCTCTGAAATATATTTTTGTAACCCTTCAACTTTGCTTTATCATTTGCAGGGGTCAAGATTGATTGAAAGTAATTTCATCAATAATACATCGATGGTTTTTGGCCTGTGTCTTAGGGTACGTGATCTTAGTCCTTTTGGATTTCCAAGGCATCCTCACAGTGCTTGTTTTTTATGCAATGTCTTGATGCCTTTATCTGCCCACCTGCACAAACTATTCAAGAGCTTCTATTTCCTTTATCTGTGTGCTCTTTCTCTCCATGCATGTTATTATGTGCTATAATTGTGTTTTTCTTTCAGTCACTATTGGAGCACCAGAGTAATCCCAAGAAACCATTGCAGAAGCACTTCAAGAACTCTTTGGTAAAGCCTCTTTTTAATGAATATCTTGGTTATCTTTCCTCATTAATCCTTCCTCATGATAGTTGCACTTATTTTTATTTATTTTTCATTGCCTCTGAATTATTGGTTAGCACTGTCTTTGAAGCTATCTTAACTTAGTTGCTTATGATGGTTCCTATTCTACACAATTTGACTTCGTCTCTGTGTACAGTTGACTCGGTATCTACGTGAGTATCTAGAAGGCAAAAGAAGGATGGCTTTGGTATGCAATTTTTCATTCTATCATTAGATTCCTGAAGTTAAATTATATATATATATATGTATGTATGTATGTATGTATGTATGTATATCTAAATGTTCCTCATTTCCTTCAATTATCTTCTCAAAAAGTCTCATGCCTTTTCTTTTTTGTTACATTTTTGTAGATGTTAACAGTAAAGCCTGGAGAAGATGACTATTCTGATACATCCTACTTATTAAGACAAGCCTCTCCCTTTATGAAAATCAAGTAAATTTTTTGCATCTGTCTCATTTAAAATTAAGCTATTTTTCTGTTTTACTTATCTTTTTCATCTATTTCATTCAGTCTTAAGGTTTATTTATTTATTTATTGAAGTTACTTGGTTTTGACAATTGCAATTTATTAGGTTCACTAGTGTTGAGGAACCAGCTATGGTTCATAAAAAGAGGCACATTGAAATGTTGCCTAGAGTTGAACAAGGGAAAAAAATGAAATGCAGTGGACGTTATGCAACCGTGGTACTGTATTTTTGTTTCTTTCAAACTCTTTTAAGTGTCTTTTCATAATGGTTCATATTAAATTTAGGAAATGTACTTTAAGTTGTTTTGTATCTATTGACACTGCAATTAATGATGTTTTCTTGAAAGCTTCATTCCGATAAGAAACATGTTCCCTTGAAAAGAAGGGGACTACCCTGAATAGATCATTTTGGATTGTAGATAGAGACTGAGTCAATGGTTTTTGCAGTATCCTTCTTAATATAGGACATTATTTTATGAAGGATACAACACGTTGGCCAGTTGATACAAACTAAAGTTCAAGGTTTTAATTGTTTGTTTAAGAAACAGAGTTTAAAATCTGGTTGAGGGCTTTGTATTTACGTACATTTACCATCCATGGACACATTGCTTAAGATTAATTATGATGTTCTAGGTTCCAAGCGTCATGAATGTAGTTACTCAAGTAATCTGTTCTTGCTTTGCAAACTTTTATTCTTGCCTGAGACTCTGTTCTGCTATAACTTTCTGCCTAATGAGTTTTAATATCTGGAGGAGTCTAATGTCTGTACAGAAAAAAATAAATATTAAAACACTACGGGAGTCTATTGCCCATAACAGATTGAACAACTTGCTCAAACTATGCCCATATATAAGTCATTCATTATTTTTTCCATGACAGAAATCCTTTCCAAGAACAGAGATGAATCCAAAGTTTGTCATATTTTTATGGATCATAATTTGACACCTGCGGGTTTGAGTGAACATAATTTTCAGTTTTTTCATTGCAATATTTTTGTTTTGCTTTCAGACTGAGGAAGGAAAAAGTGTCAGAGACGAACACCCACTTTTGCCCGAAGGTTGTACCAGTCTACTATGGACTAACCGACTAATATAGCTACTTGTATAAATTTCTTCATTTACTTGATTGCTCGACTTCTTTACGTTTCCCTAGAATGACATGATTGCTTGGCCACAGCTGGCAAAAAAATCTACACATCGGAATCTGTTTCTGCTGCTCCAGTTAAGCCTGACTCTGTTGATTTGCCAAGGGAGAGAAACCATCAAGTCATGCAAAATTTTGCTAAAGCTTTATGGAATGTCTTGAAGCAATATAAAGAAAAACTCATGGTAAAGTTATGCATAGTATCTTGTGCTAAAGTTTTGATTTTCATTATTTTGCCAAGCTGTTTTCTCAAAGTTAACCAAAGATACTTGGCGATTAAATGCAATTTTGGACAAACTAACTTGCAATCTGCTTGACAAACGTCATAATTAGGTGGCAGAAAGGGAAATCCAGAGTCTCAACGAGGTTATTGGAAATGAAAAGACAAGATATCTTGAGCTAGAAAAGGAGCTCGAAGATTTTAAATCATGCTGTTCTTGTTCTGAGGAAAACTCATCGGTGTTCGCCTTAGTTAACATAGATACCAAGTTTGAAGCCCCAGTAAGCAAAATAATGCCATTATCTCATCTTTTCCCATTTTTTTGGGTGATATTTAAGTTGCATCGTCTTTTCTTGCTTAGCTATCAAGTTTTATTGCGGCGAACTTGCATCACTTTAGTTACACACCTGTGCAGTCATGCGATCTGAAACTTTTGCTTTGAATTCAGACGCGAAATACGAGGGATCCCAGGTGTCAAAATGACTCTGGACAAGGAAACGATCAAGATGTATTTGCTGAGGTGTGTAGAACACTAATTTTCTCTCTACTTTCATGTATTACTTGGAAATCTTTGGATGAATAGAACCATTTGCTCTCCCATCCTGTAGGCATTTGAATGCAATACAACTCCTCAAAAATGCAACTCAACCCCAGTACAGAATCAAAATGTAATTTTTGAGGTACATAGTCCTGTTGATCTTTTATCCTCATATCATCTCTATCCCCGTTAAATTGGAAAATATCAAGCTGTTCGCTGAGATATTACATATGCATTTATGCTCAAAGAAAGGAATTACTATGTGAGGCTTCTGTATTCAGATAGAGGAGAATGTTCATTTTTTGAACCTTAAGGCACCTGAAGGCGATTGTTCTCCAAGAAAGGATCTGGATAAAACTACTCAAAAATGCCACTCCACCCCAAGACAGGATCAAAATGTAATTTCTGAGGTATGTAGCCTTGTTGATTTTTTATCCTAATATCATCTCTATCCCCATTAAATTTGAAAATGCCATGCTAGTCGCTGAGATATTACATGGCACTTATGCTCCAAGAAAGAAATTACCATGTGAGGCTTCTGTATTCAGGTGGAGGAGAATGTTCATTTTCTGAACCTTAAGGCATCTGAATGTGATGGTTCTCCACCAAAGGATTGGGATTCAACTACTCAAAAGTGCCACTCCACCCCGAGACAGGATCAAAATGTAATTTCTGAGGTATGTAGCCCTGCTGATTTTTTATCCCAATATCATCTCTTTCTCCATTAAATCGGAAAATGTCATGCTGTTCACTGAGATATTACATGTGCACTTATGCTCCAAGAAAGGAATTACTATGTGAGGCTTCTGTATTCAGATGGAGGAGAATGTTCATTTTCTGAACCTTAAGGCATCTGAATGTGATGGTTCTCCACCAAAGGATCAGGATGCAACTAGTCAAAAGTGCCACTCTACCCCGAGACAGGATCAAAATGTAATTTCTGAGGTATGTAGCCCTGCTGATTTTTTATCCAATATCATCTCTATCCCCATCAAATGTTGCGCTATTACTATGTGAGGCTTCTGTATTCAGATAGAGGAGAATGTTCATTTTTTGAACCTTAAGGCACCTGAAGGCGATTGTTCTCCAAGAAAGGATCAAAATGTAATTTCTGAGGTATGTAGCCTTGTTGAATTTTTATCCTAATATTATCTCTATCCCCATTAAATTGGAAAATGTCACACTGTTCACTGAGATATTACATGTGCACTTCTGCTCCAAGAAAGGAATTACCATGTGAGGCTTCTGTATTCAGATGGAGGAGAATGTTCATTTTCTGAACCTTAAGGCATCTGAATGTGATGGTTCTTTACGAACGGATTGGGATGCAACTCCTCAAAAATGCCACTCCACTCCGAGACAGGATCAAAATGTAATTTCTGAGGTATGTAGCCCTGTTGATTTTTTATCCTGATGTCATCTATAGGACAGGACGGGCATGTATTTTCTCTGGTATATAGACCTGTTGATTTTTTATCTAATGTCGTATCTATCCTTATTTTCTTATGTATAATGCAACTATGAACATGTGAGAAAGTATTAGGACTTTTCACATATTTTTTTTTTCATTTCAGAAATCATTGGATCCATCAATATCACCCAAAGATGTTGCATTCACTCTACAGTGCAACCTTAATGCGCCAGACAGTGAATTACAGACTGATAGTTGTTGCAAACCATTAACTGTTTTGAAACCAAAAAGGTCAGTTTTCTGTCTTGCCTTAAATTACATATTCAAAAAACTATTTGAGTTTGTTTACAAGATAAATTAATTTCAGTTTTTTCGCAAATTCCTCAACTTTTGTTGTAGGAGACTGCTGCCTGCCTCTTCTATATTGCTTAGGGATATCACTTTGGGCATTGAGGATGAACCTGAGAAACCAAAAGTGAGTGAATTGTCTCTCTTCTTCCTTTGCTCTTTCCAGAAAAATAGCATGCTTGGATTACTGAAATCCTCTTGCCTTTGTTGATTCGTACTTAGAATTCTTAAAGAAACTAACAAAGCAAGGTTGGCATGCCAGTATTGGTATTGGTGGAAATTTTGAAGGTGCGAACCAATGCTAATAATTTGTAGTCGCGGTCTGGTTCCAATATATACACTACATGATAGAAGGAATGGATTGGCGAATGGGAACTGAAAGGAGAAAATGTCATGTACTTTTACCATTGGTTTAGTGGTTCAGACAGATTCCATATTTGTTTGCTATGCAGGGAAATAGAGGTGCGAAGAAATCGGCAGCAGATGAAACAAAAAGAACTCAGGGCAGCATCTCTCTCTTACGTTTGCTTCAAAGCAATCTTCATGTCTAGCACTAGCTGCTTCATCTGGGAAGATTGCCTTTTGGTCATTTTGTTTTTTGTTTTGGGCTCCAACAAAAAATTAAAGTGAAATAGTTGGTTACACAGCAGTTTGTATAGAAAAATGCAAGTGGATATAAGTTACTGGAAGAAGGAATGTAAGTTTTTGTTGCTTCCTTGGAGGTTTGTCTAGTTTCTACGAAAAGAAAAGAGGGCTTTATAGTCATAAGCTTACCTGCGAATTGTGTTAATTTTCATTTATGAAAGGAGATTGGAATATGTGCTTGACCATTTTAGCATCCATTCTTTCATGTCCAGATTTCTGCCCCTCGTGTAACGTATGAATGCAATTGCTCAAACTGACTTGAGAGTACAGATCCCCTTCCTCTTTTGTTAAGAAAGAGATCAGAATGCTGCGTTGTACTAGATTTGGATATATAATGGTTTGTTCCTTGCCTTGCCTTGGAACTTGATGATGTTGTACGGTGCCGGTGTTGAGGTTGTTCATGGAGTATATTTCATTCTCTTTCAAGTATCAAACCATTCAGTTGGATCGTTTCTAATGGTGATGGACGATGAGAATGGGTTGATGCGACTCTACTTGTCTTCATACCAATGTAACACCCACTCATAATATATTAATAAATTTATTAAATCTATACTAGTTTCTTAGCCAGTGTATGATTTCTCTCTCTAATTCTAATAAATTGTTTACAATTATTTGTAAATGAATAAATTTGAACTTTTATTAAATAATAAATTAATTTTTGAATAATTTAGTAAACAATTTAATATAAAAATTTTGATGATTATAATTACATTATTATTATTTTTTAATTTTTTACCATATAAAACAATTTTTAACTTGACTTAAATAAAGAATAGGGACATAAATTTAATTATTTTTCAAAATTTAATAACTGATGGTTAGGATAAATAAACACAGCTCCTTAAAAATAATAATTACACCTATTATATATTGTGAATCTTTTTTATTTGAAATATTTTTTTCCGATTATGTGTGGCATGAATATAAATTTACAATATAGACGGGAATAAAAATATATAAATGAGTTTCTAATTAATAAGTCTTTCCTTTTGTTTTTTTAATATTATCAATCCTTGCTCATGGAGAAATTTTATAATACAAAAGGAGTAACTAGTGGCATGTACGGTAGTTACTCCATAGGTCCACTTTAAGAAGTTTTTCACGTTCGCTCAAATTTTTTTATTTTCTCTCTTATGTTTCTCTCTCTCTTTTTGTATGTCTATCTCTCTCCTCAAAGTGAGTTCATCGAGTAACTACTCGTATATACCACTAGTTACTCCCTGTTCATAGGAGTAAAAAACAATGTAAGTCTACCAAAAAATAATAGAATCAATTTAATAATTTAAAGAATTTTGATATATTTAATTATTTTTGGATTTTAATATTTTGTATTTTTATTAGTTTGTTTAACTCTATTTAGAGTTTTGATAGTCAAATAAAGCACCAATATAGTATTATACTAGTTAGATACCCACGCTATCTTGCGATGCGTACAACCGATTACATACATAGGATTAACGATTCATATGTATAATGTAAGTAGAAAGTTTTATTTTTGGTGATTATAAATCGAATCTATATATAGTTAATTTTTAACGAAACTAATGACACACACACACATACACAATATATATATATATATAGAAAAAAAACCACCTAGATTGTAGAAATATATTGAAGTCAATAGATTAAAATAAAAACTATAATAAAATTGGTTCGATAAATTTTGAATAAATATATATGAAAAAGCAAATAAAACTTATGAATTTTTTGAATTCGTTATTATTTAAAAAAAAAATTGAGCCAAACCATCTAAAACATTTAGCTCTCTCTCTCTCTCTCTCTCTCTCTCTCTCTCTCTCTCTCTCTCTCATATATATATATATATATATATATATAACACTCATTTAAAAATATAAATTATAATAATATATTTTAAAAAAATAAAACATTAACATTCTAAAATTTTATTCCAAAATTTATATATTAAAAAACCAAATTTATTAACAAATAAAATTAAATAAAAAAATAAAAAAAATTAATTTAATGAGAAATTTAATAAGAAACAAATAATTGAAGAAAAAGTTTTTAAATAATAAGAATAAAATAATCAGAAATGTATGTTTAGATCAAAGATATAATCCATATTGGTTCAAGGATATTAAAAGGACCAATAATATATATGTTTTCTTTCTCGGTGAAGGGACTAATTATATATGACCGATTAACTTGTACATCACTTGCTGGAGATTCAGTTATGCCATGACAATATGTATATTCTTTTAAGGTTTTTCTTTTACCTTTTGGTGATCCAATCCTAAAACACATCAAGATTTAAAATAATTAACGAACTTTTTGTTTGCTCTATCATGAGATTGGTGCCTAGACTTTTTAAAATATAAAATAAATTATAGGAAGAAAAAAAAGAGCAAGGTCGCCCCTGGTTGGTACATATATTTATTTTTTTAAAAAAATTGAGTCAAATTAATTTTTTAACCGATTATTATTTTTTAAAAAAATTAGGTAAAATTATCTAAAACACACTTTTAGCATCTCTCCCTCATCATAATTTATATATGTAATTACACTACTCATTTAAAAATCATAAAAAAAATCAATCATATAAATTATAATAATATATTCTAAAAAATAAAACAATCAAGTTCTAAAATTTTATTTCAAAATCCATTTATAAAAAATCAAATTTATTAGCAAATAAAATTATATAAAATTAAAAAATTAATTCGATGAGAATTTTAATAAGAAACAAACAATTGAAGAAATAAATTTTAAATAATAAAAATAATATAATCAGATATATATGGTTAAGATAAAATTTTTAAAAATATTATATATATTCTATTACTATAAAATTGTACGTAAAACTAAAAAAAAACAATGATCTTTCTTATACTTTTACACCTAATTTCATGATAAAAATATAAAAATAAATTACAAGAAGGAAAAAAAAGAATGCAAATGCTAGTTGGGACTACTTGTGCGGGCGTGCTTGAGCCCGCTTCTCAAGGCCAACCCTATAAAAAAAAAAAAAGAAGGAAATCCTTCTCTAGGCCAATCTTAAAAAAAAAAAATTACAATAAAATGAGTTAGGCCAGCTGCTAAAGCCCGCTTCTCTAGGCCAACACTAAAAACAAATAAAACACTACGATAAATGAACCCGAAAAACCCTAATTCTTTTAGTTTTTTTAAGAATAATTATAATATTTGAAACACACTTATGGCTCTCTCTTTCTCATCAAAATTTATACATGCAACAACGTCATTTTCATTGAAAAATCATAAAAATAATCAATCATATAAATTATAATAATATATTTTTTAAAAAATAAAACAATCGGGTTTTAAAATTTTATTTCAAAAGCCATGTATAAAAAAATCAAATTTATTAACAAATAAAATCATATAAAATTTAAAAATTAATTTGATGAGAATTTTAATAAGAAACAAACAATTAAAGAAATAAATTTTAAATAATAAAAATAATATAATTAGATATATATGTTCAAATTAAAATTTTAAAAAATATCATATATATTCTATTACTATCAAACTTTACGTAAAATAAAAAAATAGCGATCTTTTTTTATATTTTCACACCTAATTTTATGATAAAAAAATATATAAAAAAATTATTTATATAGAAGAGGAACAATTATCATCTGATATTTAAATAAATCATTTATTAATAAATATTATATTATTATAGAAATATATTTAATATAATATTTAACTAATACAATGTAATATTAATTTAATTATATGGTGTAATTATGAAATATATTATATTACTAAAATACTTATCAATTTTTATAATATTCAAATTCATAAAATAATATATCAATATATTATTTATATCATAATATCAAATAATAAAAAAGTATTATATTGTATAATAAATACAATATTCACAATCAAAATACAAATAACTATTTTATAATAATAATTTGATATTTTTTGTAAAATATAATGATAATATATTATAATTATTAACTATAAATAGTTTTATTATTTTAAAAAATATATTTCTACTAAATAAGGACCTAAATAATATATTTGATAATATAATAATAGTCTAATGAATATAGAAACTTAAAAAAAAATGAGGCCAGACGTTAAAAAAAAAACAAAAAAGCACTCGCATAAATATAATATTCACAATCAAAATATAAATAAAAATTTTATAATATTTATTTGATTTTTTTTGTAAAATATAATGATAATATATTATAATTATTAACTATAAATAATTTTATTAGTTAAACAAAATATATTTCTAATAAATAAGGACCTAAATAATATATTTGACCATATAATAACGATCCTACAAATATAGAAACTGAAAAAAAAGGAGGTCGGACGTTAAAAACAAAACAAAACAAAAAAACATTACTACTTTTTTTGTAAAATATAATGATAATATATCATAATTATTAACTATAATAATAGTCATACAAATACTTTAATAGTTGGAAAAGAGGATAAATTAGTCAACAAATTATATTACCTCCAAAGCAATGAAGGTTGCAAAGTCTATTCATTGGAGAATGGAAAGCGATGCATGAGTGAATAAGTTAATATATATATCATTAGATCTAGAAGAATAGATGGCGTTAAAAAAATAAAAAAAAATAAAAAGGGGGGACTGGTATAGTAAACGGAAATGGCCAAAAGGATAAAAAAAAATTAGTTTTCAAACTAAAAGGACTAATTAATTTATTCCCCAAATAATTTTTTTTTCTATTTCTTAAAAGAAAAAATAAAAATAGTAAAATGGTGAAAAAGATAAAAAAAATTAGTTTTCAAATCAAATAGACTAATTAATTTATCTCTCAAAGAATGAGGGACCAAAATGCAAAAAAAAACATGAATGAGTAAGGACTTTGAGTGTGTAGCTAAAGTAAATGAATAGTTATACCCTCACTTCTTTTAGTTTTTTTTTATAATAATTTAGGAGCCATGTTATTTATGATTATTGTTATGTAAATAAAAAATAAAAATGGAATTAACCTATATTTTAAGATTTATTATCAAAAGTAGTTATTTTTTTATGAATTAACAATTTTCTTTTAAGGAATTTTACCAATATTTTTTTCCTAATTAGAGATGAGAGTAAATTTACTCATTACTATTGATAATGGCCTATGTTGTTAGTATTGGATAAAATCCGTAGATTTTGCGTGACATAATTTTACTTAAAATGACACGGTCTCTCGCGATCTGTGCTTCCTTACTTTATGACCTTAAAAAAAAAAAAAGAAAAAAAAAAGGGATTGTGGTGCTTTTCTCAGCGGGCGCGGGGATGGGGTGTCTAGAAGGTTTGGTGCATTTTCTTGCTTAAATTTTTGACTTTCCGTGAAAGATTGCATCATGGTTTGAGAATGTCTAACAGAATTGGGCCGCAAAATGGATGTTCCTTTCCTTACTACCATTCCTATGCCAGAAATTCCAAACAATGGCCCAAATGGTGATATTTCTTAACAATCACCATCCATAGCAGGAGAGCAGAGACTAGACAGATAAGATAATGAGGTCAGGAGCTGAATACTGAAAAAAACATCCAACCACAACAACCGGTCATACCCTTCCCTTTTCTGCATTCGGAAGCCACCTCAAAATGCCACCACGTGCCCTTCTTGGTGTTGTGTTTTGATTTTTAACAATTCTTCTTCTAGGTACATCCGTTTTCCGGTTTTTTTTTTTTTTTTGGTCCTATTGGAATCATAGTTTTAGTGGTGGAATATAAATGGGGTATATTCATTTGCACAGAAGTACGATCGTTTTCGTTGCTCGTAGAAAGAAAAGCTTTATTGAAAGGAGCCAATCTTGTTGAAGAGCAAAAAGGTGAAGGAAACACCCTGTTTTTTTCTCTTATTTTTTCCTGTCAGTTTTGATTTGAATATCATATAGTTTTTAAAGAATTCAATCTCTTTATGAGATTTTGCTTTTCTGTCTGTGGTGATGGTTATGAGTTCTATAGTACTCGTGTGGGAAAATTCAATACTATCTTATTAGTTTATCAGGGATTTCCACAGATACTTATAATTGTCTGGTTAAAATATTATATGTTGTTATTAATGAGCTTTGATTTATGCTGAAGTTGACCCCGAGAGAGAGAGAGAGAGAGAGAAGGGAAAAGAATGAGGGAAGAACTTTGTTTTTGACATTATGAATATCAATAAAAGTTTTTATTTTGCTCCCTAGTGACTGAAAACAGAATTAATGTATTATTGACGGTAAAAAAGTTGACGGAACATTTCATGACCGGTTGAATTTTTTTATTTTTATTTTTTTGTTGGCTAAGATTGAATATCTTTCCTGGTTTTGTTATGTTTGTGATTTGTCGAATGATTTAGGCTATTGGGATTGAGTTTGAAAGAATTGCCGCCTGTTTTTGTTTGAAAGATTTCCATGCTATGCTTGCTTGAAGAAACTGGAACCATAAGGAGGAGTAGAAGAGGTGAAACAAGGAATGATATCTAGAATATGGTAAATTGGGAATTGGTCCTGTTGACAGAGAGATCAAGGATATTGACTTGAAAGGGGGAGGGAGTATTTGGATTTTGTAGTCTGGGCTGCTGTTATGTTTACTTTATGTTGTTGTCAGCTCATGACATCGGAATTTATAAATTTAGCTTGTAGGTACCATGAAACCATCTTAAATTCATTATTGAGAATATTGGTGGGTATGGAAGTGGATTTTCTGGCTGCATGGAAGATTTTTAGGAAAAGTCGCACTTGTGAACATGTGGGTGATGTTGAAGATGAAGATTTTGAGAACTGTCAGTTAAAAGGGTATTTTGCCCACTATTTTTGAGATATTGTGGCTTGGTGAAGAGGAAGAGGTTCTCTGCGGTAGCTAGCATTAAATGCACTCATACTTTTTTAATATAGCTTTCAATGAAAGAAAACAGGTTGTTCTTCTACCGTAGGACTTGAATTGTATGATGTCATTAAGAGTCCAGTGCCATAAGATTGGTCATTTCCCCACACAGAAGGGTCCTCTTGCACTTTCTGTGCATAAACACTAAACGTGGCAAAAAGTATTTTGAAGCTGTTCCAAAAGCTATTCATACCATCCGGTCCATAAGAGGAAAGAAGAGTTAATATCAGTTGTAAAATCAATTTTTCTAGCATTATAGTTTGGCACAGCATGACATGGAACAGAACCATCATAAATTTGCATGTGCCTTAATTTTGATAGTTGTGATGTAGTGTGTCATTGGAATGTATGTTCCTTTTATATGGCATATCTACTTTGAGTAATTGGTTGACACTCGAATAAATTGATTGCTAAATCTTGGTTTCAGCTTGCACAAGTTCACTAAAGTTTGCAAAGATGTCTATCAGAAAGTTTCAAGGAATCAGTACAGAAAAATCTTTGTCGGCGCAAGAGCAGCAGGCTAAGGTATATGTAACAGCTAGCAGTAGCTTTAAGAACCATTGCTATTTATTACTTCAATGAAAATGAAATTTGAAATTTTAGAAGTCAAAGTCTTGTCACCTAATGGTGACTTTAATTGGTTCCTATCTAGTGGAATGATGGTTCAACAATGAATTTCATTAGATAAGTTATCTTGTCATAGTTTTATGCCTGAATTCTTTGCTAATAATACACTTGCCTTAACACAAGGATTTGGGAGGGGGAGGTGTTGTTTCTAGTTTTCTCTCTTCTATAGTCATTTCTTTTAATCTTTTTTGCGTCATGAGAAACGAGTCTTATTATGAATGCTTACCAGCAAGTAAAAACAGAAGCATGACCCTGCTTTCTCCTTCAGTAACATTTTTGCTTTTCATTAGATTAAGATTAAGATTTCTCTTCTCAAAATGTCACCCTGGGGCGACCAATTTTAATGCTTTTTTTTTTTTTTTGGTTGTTTAATATTCATACGAGAACCTGCGAACTAATGATATTAACGAACTGGATTTTAATCATTTCCTTTTGATGCTAAGCTCATTATCTTTCAAAATAATTTTGTCCAATCCTAGATTTTTCTTGTGACATTTGGAATTCGATTATTCTCTTTCATAGGCCTTATTGAGTCTTGTACAAATAGATTTGATCCAATCAAATACGTGGGAGGGAACTAACTTTCTTACATTTTTTTTTTCATTTCAGATCAGTGATGTTAGGAAGATACTAGGTCCTGTTGCCAATAAGCTTCCAGTACTTTGTTCTGATGCCTCAATATCTAGGTATCTCAGAGCAAGGAACTGGAATACAAAGAAGGCATCCAAGATGTTGAAAGCCACGTTGAAATGGAGGTGGGAATTCAAGCCTGAGAAGATCCAATGGGTATAAACTTACAGTACTTTTTGGAACTGAATTTTCTTTGGCATAGACTATTTGGAAATGTTTATAAACAAAGTAAGAAAAATAAACAAATGCCAATTGCTTATTGTAGTGGTGTTTACCCCTGGTTGCCCTGGTGGGTTCTACATGTTTTGGTCCTTTAGCTGAATGGTATCCTCCTAGTGAAATGCTTAAAAGAGCATTTTTTTTTCACCCTCACTTCTCTCTACGCCTCTTGCCTGGGATATTTAGGTTTCAGGGGTTATGTGGGATGCTATTTACTTTTATTTTGTTCAGAAAAGGTGAAAAAAGTGGGGAATTTTATCACAATCTCAAGGGGAAGACAGAAAAACTACAGCAAGTTAATAAATCACAAATGTGCTTGAGGTTTTATTTTAGTTTACAGCTGTTCTGTGACTTGTTATGTTCTCTATTTTCCTTATATGGGTTATTGAATTTTTTTATAAAGAGTAAACATAATTTTTTATCATTTGTCTAAACCTAACCCATAAGACAAATGACATTGCTCAGACATATGTATGTGTTGCAATTCCTTAAATGGGCATTGCTTAACTGTGTAGCCATGTCCTGTTTCTATGCAAATAGATGATCTTTTTATCTTTTCATGTTTTAGGAAGATGTTGCTCGTGAAGCTGAGACTGGAAAAATCTATAGAGCTAATTATTTTGACAAGGAGGGACGGACTATTCTTATCCTTAGACCTGGTTTCCAGGTGGATGACTTGATATGAAAAATTCGGCTGACTACTTTTTTTTTTTTTTTGTTAAGTTCATTATAGTATCATGCCTATTGGGACTTGAGACAAATCCTTTTGTATCAGAATACAAGCGACATAAAAGGACAGATTAGACACTTGGTTTATTGTGTGGAGAATGCCATCATGACTTTAAATCCAGATCAGGAGCAGATGGTCTGGCTAATTGATTTTGAAGGGTGGAAAATGTCCTGCATATCAGTGAAGGCTGCTCGGGAAACAGCTCACATCCTGCAGAATCATTACCCTGAGAGACTAGGCGTTGGAATCCTCTACAATCCCCCCAAAGTATTTGAATCCTTTTGGAAGGTATGTGATGATACACATGATGCTTTATCTTCAACTTTAATATTCCTTGTCCCTAAAGTAAACATGGCTCTTGCTTCATGGTTCCTAACGTTTTCTCCTACAGGAATAGAAATTGTGGCATCTAAACACAAATTTCTCTTCATCTATCTTCATTTTTGCCCTCTGGTTTTGAATACCACCATTCAGTTGAGATGTGTCAATTTCTCTTTATTTAACAACATATTTGCTGTATTGTTTGGATGTGCGGCATCAAGTATGATATATTTGTGGTGTTGCAATGAAAAAACTGAGAGATCTTGGAGCATTTCAGACATATAAGAACACATTCAACCTAGAATTTGGTGGGGGCATTTGTTCAATTTCTGGAGATGAAGTTCTTTCGGTTTCACTGTCTCTTTTTTTTTCGCCCCTATACTTAAAAGATGTGGAATGCTACTTGAGGGACTAATTTCTTTCTGGGGATGGACAAGCACACTAGTTCTGATATCGTCTCAAATTTTAGTTGGAAAAAGTTAGTCCTTTTGCTTTACCTTTTTTCTATGAAGCTTAACAGAATGCATTTACATAATTTATGCAATTCGAAAAAAGCTAGGATTTGCTAATAAACTATGTGAAACTCCTTAACTAAATGAGAATCTCAAGAGATATCGTGTAGAATTATATTGATTGGATAGGTGAGAAGCATAATAAGAGTTGGTTGACTCAAAAAAAAAAAAAAAAGAGAGAGAGGGGTAAGAAAAAATGCTGGTTCCTGTACTCTATATGTTAATATTTTCTTTGATAACGAAACAATTGTATTGAACTATGAAACAGATCTGATTAATTTTGTATTTATCTCTGTTTTGTCGACCTTGTTCACTTTGACATTCCCTGTGGCCTTTATAACGTCAGTCCTCCTATGCTCACTTTGATTAAAAAATTTACAGAACTTAGTTTTTTGCAGTTGGTGAAACCATTCATTGAGCCCAAGACATACAAGAAAGTGAGGTTTGTCTATCCCAACGACCCACAGAGCCAAAAGATGATGGAAGAGCTCTTTGATATGGATAAGCTGAATTGTGCATTTGGTGGAAGAAACTCAGCTGGGTTTAACTATGAAACTTATGCCCAATGGATGAGGGAGGATGACAAGAAAAAGTTTGATATGATCAACTCTGGATCATCATCACCCTTACCATCCATCATGTCTGAACCACAGAACTCGGAGACATTGACTCCGAACTGTATCTCTATGGTTTCTGATGAAGATGAGTGTTCCTCTGGTGATGAAAAAACTTTAAACTTGGAGAATACTGAAGAAGAAACACAAGATTTGCCACTTAGTTGCAAAGATGTTGCAGGCGGTGAAGCAGTTGACGTAGCAAAAGAACTAAAGAAAGGAGAGCTGGCATGATTCTTAAACTTGGAGAGTGTGGATGAGCACAAGGATCAGCACTTGGCTGCAATGACATTGTCATAATGAGGCTGAAGTTCCAAAAAGAAGTGAGAATGAGTGAGCACAGGGATGGGTTCTGTTTAACATTATTTTTCTTTCAAACTTTGAGCAAGCAATAATAGCACTTCATGCAAACAATAGCATGAGGAAACCAATTTGTGAAACGTTCTTTTATTGTTGTATATAAAAATAAAGCATTTACAGCCAACTGATTGCCATACGTTTTATCTTTCTTGCACAGATATTAGCTTTGAAAATGATGATATTTCACAGGCTGAGAAGACAGATGTATCCCGCGAAATTTACTCTCTTGCTTAGTTCTTTAACTATCAGGCAGCTAATATAGTTTGTTTTTTCCTTTGTAGGATGTGGGACAGATGGGGAAATTACAAACTCTGTTGCTCTTATAGCATTCCTCTATATAGCTTTTGTTTCATAGTTTCTTGTCTTTTTTGATGATTCCTGATATGCAGATTGATACGTTCAAAATCAAGGTAGATCAAGCTAGACAGGAAAATATCCTGAAAACGTTAAGTGTTGTCTGGAAACGAAATCATGGATCCAAAGTTTGTCCGTAATATCACAGGCTTCTGTTATTTTTTTCCTTAAAAGATATTGTGTGGCTATACATGCAGTGCCTAGCTCGAATGACACTAAAACAGATGGAATCCAATTTATGCACCAGCCATAGAGGTTAACCCAGAGAGGGGGAAAATAGTAGAAGCACACCATTGAAATTTGAATGTCCCAAAAAGGTTAGCCATTTCTTAACCTAGCCTTTCCAATTTTTAGCAGTGACCAACTGTACTTAGACCCATTGACACAATTTTTAGCAGTGGCAAAAAATAAGGCCATGAATGACTTGTGTAATCGACACTTGGGCATCTCCGCCGCTTGCTTTCGGCCCAATAATTTTGACAATTTCAGTCCATTTAATCTTCTCTTAAAATCTGATAGCAACTGGTATCATAAAACAGAAAGAAAGAAAGAAAGAAAGGAAAAAACATATTTGTATTTGTGTCTAAAAATCATAAGATCAACTATGTCCAAATACATTAAAAGTATACATTGAAGAAAGTGGATGCGTGATGGTTGGGGCACACAACAGGTCCTAGCTGCCAACTTGGAAAGCAAGAAAGAAAAAGAGAATAAATAACTTTATCCATGGATGTAATCATCAATCCCCCACGATCGTAAACCAAACCAATCTGCTGTAAATGCTTAAAGAATGCCCTCCCCTCCTATTAATAATCATATTTATATCATGGGGCCTAATCAAATTCTATTATTACGTACTATTTAATCCTTTTCAATCTCCCTTATGGATTAAAATGATTAATATTCTGAATGCACCATACCATATAAATGTAGAGATATTTAAAAAAAATATATTTTTTTTGGTTGATGTTCGAAGGCATTTCTATTTTATTTTTCAAATAAAAAGAAAAACAATTGAAAGATCCTAGCTAATCACAATTAAAGTCTAATCAACAGTCGGAATTAAGAGTTATATTCATAATCCAATGGCAGAGATACAAGGAGCATCAGACATTCCTATTCCTTGACTGTAATTTGAAGCATCCTCAATAACAGAAATATTTATAAAAATAATTATAAAAAAAAGAAAATTGATGTAACAAACCTTTTTTTTTCTTTAAATTCTTTCACAGTCAAGCTTTTCTCTCTCTGCTTTTAGTACCATCATTACCATGCCATTTCCCATTTGATCAACTCTGTCATATACAAAATTTTATACCCAAATTTAAGAACACTCTACAAAAGGAAAGCTCCCTCTCCATGCCTCTAGCTGACGCAAAAAGAAGAATTCTTTGTTAAAAGAAAGCTACAGAGAGAAAGGAAAAGAAAAGAAAAGCAGAGGATTCCATTTCCTTTTTTTGGAAAAAATCCTCTGATCTGTATATCAATCTGGCGAATCATTCATTTCATTTCTCTTTGTTCCTTTAAAAAGTTTCAAACTTTAACATCAATCTCTTGCCTTCTATTGAGTTTTGCCTCTATGGTATTGCTCTTGCTATTGCCATTGCTATTATTAGTAAGTTGATCGTTATTTGATTGGTCTAGATTTTCATTTTGATTGATTTGTGTTTCTATCATTTTTGTCTCTTTTTCGAACTCATACCAAAACCCATCACTTAGATTTTCTCTTTTTTTTTGGTTGGATTTCAGGTGTTGAATTTGATCGTCATCTGATTGCCCTGTATTTCATTTGATTGGATTTTTGAGGTGGGTTTTTGCTCATATTGCCAATTATCAGCTCCTTTTGTATGTTTTCTTACATTATGTTTAGCAATTGGGTCTCATGGATCTAGAGCATTTTAGTTAGTTTCTAATTCCTGGCTTTTCTTTTTTGTTAAAAAACAGGTTGTGATAGGAGAAGGTGAGGGAGAGAGAGACAAAATGGGTATTGATGCAATGAGAATTATAGTTCAAATCAGGAGATTTTTGGTGATTTCATTTAGATTATGTTATAGGTCAGTTTGCAGGCATCCCTTTCTTGTGGGCGTGGCTTGTTACTTGATATTGTTGTATAGGTCATTTCCTTTTTTGTTTTCCCTTTTAGTCACTGCATCCCCTGTTTTGATTTGTACTGCCATTTTGCTTGGGACCCTTTTGAGTTTCGGGGAGCCAAATATACCTGAAATTGAAAAGGAAAAAGAAGAAAATGAAGAAGGTGAAGAAGAAGAAGTTAACCATGAGATTTCGTCTTTAAAGAAGGAAGGAGTTGTAGAGGATGTCACTTTTGTTGTTCAGAAAGATGAGAGCTTTAGTTTAGAGAGATTTGTAGGGAACAGAGACATTGAAGAAGAGAGCTTGCTGGATAACAAAAATAGGAAGATTGAGGTTCATGGTGATTTAGGAGATTATGTGCCGCTGATTGATGAAACTTCCCAGGAAGTTCAATTGGAGAAGCAAGTTATTGAGGAAGTGGAGAGTGATTTTGATCGTTTAGAGTTAGGAAAGAAGAGGGAAATTCAAGAGGAGAATCTTGGGATCCAAGAATTGTTAAGTCATGAGGATGGTATCGAGGAACAATATTCTTTGCTTCAAAATTCAAGAGATGAGAATTTTGAAGATGATAATTCTGCGGGAGAGTTTATTGAAACTCAAAATGGTTACTTGGAATTTTCTCAGGAATCATCTTGGAAACATGCAAATCATGATGATGAAGAGGAGGAGGATGAGGCTTCTGATTCTGGATCTGATGGGGAAAGTTCCTCTCCAGATGCTTCAATGGCAGACATTCTTCCAATGCTTGATGAGCTCCACCCACTTTTAGATGAGGAAACTCCCCAACCAGCTAACATTTCTCATGATGAATCTGATGCTGGTTCAGAGGGGTCTCATAAGAGCGATGAGAGCAGTATTGATTCAGAGGAGGATGTGGAAAACCAGGCAGATGAAGATGAAGATGCTGATGATGATAATGATAATGAAGAAGAAGCGCAGGGCAGTAAAGAGGATGAAAGTAAATCTGCAATTAAATGGACGGAGGATGACCAAAAAAATCTCATGGATTTGGGGACTTTAGAACTCGAAAGAAACCAGCGTTTGGAGAGTCTTATTGCAAGGAGAAGGGCTCGTAGAAACATGAGATTGATGGCTGAGAAGAATCTTATAGACTTGGATGCTACTGATATTCCCATTAATATTCCATCCATTTCAACAGCTAGGCACAACCCGTTTGATTTTCCTTATGATGATGTTCCCGGGTCTGCTCCATCTGTATTGTTGCCAAGACGAAATCCTTTTGACCTTCCCTATGACTCAAATGAGGAAAAGCCTGATCTTAAGGGAGATAGTTTTCAACAGGAATTCTTGGCAACTCAGCATAGGGAACCATTTTTTCGAAGGCATGAAAGTTTCAGTGTTGGGCCATCAACTTTGGGGGGTGCCAGGCAAGATCTTCGATGGAAGCCTTATTTTGTACCCGAACGATTTGCTACTGATGGAACAAGCTATCACACTTTCCAGCGCCAATTAAGTGAAGCTAGTGAGTCAAAGGTGAGCTCAGTTCCAGATACCGAGTCAGTTAGTTCAGCTCTGGAGGAGGAGGACAAGAGGATCAATGAAGAAGATGTTTCTCATGAAACAGAAGTGATTTCCACCGTCGACGATGCTTCTCTTCTTGTTGAACGGGGAAGCTTATCATCTGAAGAGGTTGATTCTGTGGATGATGAACATGTTGAGGAGAGTGATTTTCACCATGATGGGGTTGAAATTACATTAGGGAACGTTGAAAACCACCATGAAATAGATTCTGGCTTGTCTGAATCAGGAGGGGCAACTCCTGAGGAGTTTAACACAAGTGAAATTCTTCTGCGTATGGGAACTGGTGAAGAAGATTACAGCAGTAGATCAAGCCTATCCTCATTGTCAGAGATAGATGAAAAAATATCTGATGTGAATAGAGGATCAACAAGTCTGGAGCCAACAAAAAGTCAGATTGAGGGCTCTCATATTGCAACCCAAACTTCACTTGGTTCTGATTTTCATTTTGTGAGTGGGTTGGCAGATGATAATGAACACAGGGAGCCTATTTTGGAGCCAAGAAATGATCATATTGATGAATGTGACATCTCAACACAGTCTTCTCTTGATTCAGATTTTCATTTTACAAGTCAGATGATGGATGAAAGTCAACATAGGGAGCCTGGTTTAGATCCAACAGTTGATCAAATTGGGGATTCTGGAAATTTGGAGGAAAGCTCACCGGAGTCTGATCTACATGTTATTGGTGGGCTGGCAGATGACAATCAAGAACCTATTTTGGAGCCAAGAGACTTTCGCATTGAGCAATCTGGCATTTCATCACAAACTTCTCCTAATTCAGATTTCCATTTGACAAGTGCAGAGGTGGATGACGGTCAACATAGTGATCCAGTTTATGATTCAAGCCCTCCATCAAACAAGACATTTCCCTCCTTTTCCTCTGTTTCTTCTGACGCACAGAGATCAGAAATGGGTTCACCTCTGGCAATGGCTGAATTTGTAGATAAAGAATCTGAAGTGCATGCTGAGAACTTGGAGAAGGATATTTCTGGTTACAAAGAGATGCTTGAAGACTCTTCACAAGTGCACTCACCAGATGAAAGTGAATTCAGATCAACGGCAGTCAAAGAAAATACTGGGAATGAGGTTACAGAGCTTGGGCTCTCAGGAATGGAGTCAAATTTCGATGGTCGAATTGGGTTTATGAAGCCTGAATCAGCTGTTGGGAATGTCTCAGTTGATTCTTCTCTATCACTGTCAGAAAATGGATCAGCAAAGGAGGTTGTAGCCAGTAAGGAAGAAAGCTCTTATCACAAAGAGGATCAACTGCACTCATCGAGTCATGATGCAGAAATCAATGTTGACAGGAATAAGCAGTTGGATTCTGTCTCTTCTAGTTATCTGATTGTTTCAGGAGAGAGCAATTTGCCTGTACTGGAAAAAGATTATCCTCTGCTGGTAGATGAGCAGGTTTCAGTAGACACTAAATTATCTGCTTCAGACGCTAAACCTGTCAAGGACCATGCAATTAGTATTGAAAAAACTCTTAGGCTTGATCTGGTGGATTCTAATCCTCAGCATGTTCATTCGAATGATTTACGTTTGTCTGCTCACGAAGAAAGAGAGCCAGCAGTGGTGGCTGAGCAAGTTTTGGGGAATCATCTGAAAGCATCTTCTTCAGAGACGAAGCATGTGGGAGAGCATTCATTAGAGGAGGGAGAAACCATCCAATTTGAACAGGATCAAGTGCATTTATCAGGTTCTGATTCAGCAATTGGTGCTGGTTTCCACCAAGATGTGGATGTGACAGTTGTTTCTTCAGATCCTGGTCACCAAAATCCACTGTCTGAGGAAAAAACTCATCCTGAATCAGAGAAACAGCAGTATTTGTCAGATAAATCCATGCTCGAACCATCTTTTAGCAATCATGATGAACCCCAGGTAAGAAATGCAACTCTTCTGCATGTAGGTTTTTTTTTTTTTTTTTTTTTGGTAGTTCTACCTTGTATTGCTTGTACATGTTTTGTTGAATGACTGATCTGAGATGAGGACCTCTTGTTGTACATACAGCATACTTATCAGCAGTTAGACCCATTGGATGTGTTCAATTTATAGATAGTTCTGGTTTGATCAACACAATGTTTGTGGTTTGGAATTCTTATTAGAACTCTATAGCAAATTAGTGATTATATTAGATAGTTGAAGTAGTTCATTAAATGCGATTTCTCTGACACCACACAGGAACTATCTGTTTCCATTTCCAACAATGAAAACATTCCAGAAGTCTATGATCCTGAAGAGAAAATGTCTAATAGTATCGCTTCCATGATGCCGGATTTCATCTCAGACTCTCCTGGTAGTCTAGAATACAGATCTCCTGCTGGTGGAATGGATTTGAAGGTTGATGTCCTTGATAAAATTGTATATGAGGATTGTCATCAGGTCTTACTGTCAGAACACTCTAATTACCCTGGAGAAGCATATGGGCCCCCTGTTGCCAAAGAAAATGTCAATGTAGAGGAAGACGAGATCAAGGAGATTGATGAAGGATTATTGTCAGAATTGGATACAGTTGGGGACTTCAGTGTAAAAGAAGTTGTTGGCGAGTCACTCCATGATGAACAAGTACCAGAAAATACTAGTGTTAGTCCTGATATTGATTTCTTGCCAAAAGATTTGAGCCTGATGGAGATCAAGCCAGAGCTCCCAGTTCTTGAAGTTAGATCGGTTGAAGATATCAACTTGGCTTTCAAGCAACTTCATGGAGTAAATGTTGAGGAGGTCATCCTTCCAAATATGGGTGAGGAGCAATTAGCTGAGGATGAATCTAACCATCAAACTAACTCAGATTTGCACGTTGTTGAAGCAAGATCTTTAGAAGATTTTCATATTGCTACGAAGCAAATCTCAGAAGAGAATATTGAGGAACTGGTGGATTCAAGGGATGCAACAGCAGAAGCAAATGAAATGGGATCCACCAAGGAGATCCTGGTCCTTGAAGCTAAAACGATTGAAGACATTGACTTGGCTTTCAGGCAACTTCATCAAGGAGTACAAGTTGAGGAGGTCATCCTTCCCAGTGCAATTGAGCAGCAACTAGTGGTGGATGATACCAAAGATCTTGGCCAAACCAGTTCAGGCTTGCCAGTTGTTGAAGCGAGATCTCTGGAGGATATTCATATCGCCATGAAGCAGGTTTCAGATGGAAATATCGAGGAGCTGCCAAAGTTGTTGGATCCGAATGATAAACCAGGACATGAAGCAGTTTCTACAAAGGAGATTGATTCTAGGAATTCAGAGATAAATGAAGAGGGTTCCACCGAGGATGAATCAAGTACCGTAGAAGTAAATGAAGCATCTTCCACCAAGGCTGTTGAATCAAGCACTGTACAATTAACTGAAGTGGCCTCCATAAGGGAGAGTGAACTGAGTACGGCTGAGTTTGGTGTTGGAGAAACCAGCACAGTTGCTCCTCATGAACCAAAGCATGGGTTTGATGAAACATCTGGAAATTCAAGTTTGAGCGTATCGGATACCAAAGGCAAGAAGGCAAAATCTCATAGTTCAAGTTCTAGTTCCAGCTCTAGCTCGAGCTCCAGTGATTCAGATTGAAGATCGGCATTGTAGCAGAGAAAAGAGAAAGGAAGTTTTGTGGTTTGAGTTTTCCTTCTTTTTGGTTTAGTTTTGTGACAATGGGCTTTTTTGATTTTATAGTTTGCTCTACCACCTTGTTTTATTATTGGTAGTCGGTTTGATTGCTTTTTAATTTATTGATCTGATCTCTTCAAGAATGAGTTTTGGTTTGATTTCTTGAAGTGTGATTTTTTTTAGATTCTAAGAGTGAGCAGTTTGAGGCTTTTTGGGAGGAAGATTGTTTGAAATGCTTGCATATTGTAAATTAGAATTTGTAAAATGAATTTGATCAATTCCAGGTGTATATTGTTTCGTTTCAAATTCTCTCTCTCTTACACCCCCGCCCCCCCCCCCCCCCCCCTCATCCTTTACATGTTACAAGAGATTATTGGAGCAGATTCTGCATTGGTGATATGCAGGGCTGTCATCTATCTGTGGATCTGTTGCAGCATAATTGTTTCTGATCTGTTCCAGGTCTTTTCTAGTGTAGTAGTAGTGCAATTTGGCTGATCCTTGAAATGCAGGATCTTGTTGTATTGAGCACTGTAAGTCCATCGCATGATATTTTGTCACCTGTAGTATTGGTTGGACTGAGGATGTGAATTATTCTGATCAAACTTGACAACAGCCATGCTACTGACTTTATACAGCTTGGGTTTATACGTGCTTAGTTGCCAGCCAGACCATTTACTAACTGATACACAATGCAGGGAATATGCCTAAAGTTGGTCGTCTTTTCTGTTGATGCCTGCAACACTTTTAAAGGTTGCTTCCTTTCTAAGGTTCTTACCACTCAGTTGGCTTTTCCTGGGAACTTCAAAGGGGAGGTACTCTTTTAAAGAAGCACTTGGTGATTTCAGTTTTATGTTTGGACAATCTGTCCTCTCCTAGTGAACTATGATGACCCATTTCTGGGGCCTAGCATTCTGCTCGTTGTGACTAGGGAACATAGCACAAATATATGAAAGGTTAAACTTTAAATGGCTGCTTCCTTATCCTAGTCTATAGGAATTTTTTTTAATCAGAAAAAAGGTGCAGATTGCTTCATCCGTAATCCAACAGTGCTGGCAATTGGCAAAAGTCATAAGGTGGGTGGGACCGATTAAATAAAGGTGACTAGAGCATCCAACCTCTCTGGGTTTCTGAGAACATACATTGTACAACTTCAATTCTTCTTTCTGTTGGGAAAGATATATATATTATCATTTATACAAGATAACCGACCTTTGAAATGTTAGATACGAATCCAATCTAGCCAGGCAAGCATATTTTAGGCGGGCTGCTTTTCCAACTCACTATTTGGTGATGATCTCATCCTGTCCCTCTCAACGTAAAGGGGAAGAAAGAGCAATGTCGCAGCAAACCATGATTTAGTCAAGTAAATTACGTTGGCGAAACAAAGATTATTGAAGTTTCGACAAGGAATTCTTAGGCTTCCATTCAGATTTCGAGGGTAACGTTGTTTGTTTTACGTTTTTTATTTTAAAAGTAAACCCTTTTAACTTTTCATGCTTCTTACGGCTTAAGATTTCCATTTCTTTAAAGCCAATAAACAATTGAATTTGACGGTCGCCTGCCAGACACCAATGCCTCAACGTTATTTAATAAGCTTTTGAAAAAAAGGCTAGAAAGAAAATATGAACGAATTTTAATGTGCATACCACTTTGTTGCCGACTTCTAGATTCGATTCCTTTTCAGCTGGCGCATTATACGTTTTATTTATTTATTATTATTTTTTTTGTGAAAATTAAATTTCCTTTTCTAATTCCTGGATTACAGAATATACTATTATTATTATTATTATTATTACAGCACGCTGACATCTTAAACTAGCATCAGATTAGATAACTTTAAATATCATGACATGGCACTCAGGGGAACACAAGTACTCTACCACGATTATTACTAAGACCCTAACATTGTGTTGAGAGAAAAGAAAATCAGAGGAGAGAAGAATAAGAGAAAAGAGATCTAATTTCTATTTATTATTTAGATAAAAGTAGAAATAAAAAGAAAGAAAGCATATTTTTTTATTTGAATAATTATAGAAAAAGGAAAGAAAGAAAATATATTATCGTATATTTACTATAATACCCATATTATTATATTTTTATATTTAAATACTTTGAAGGGCAAAAATGATAATATCCTTTATTTTTTATTATATTTTGGTATGATTTTCTTCCACTTTCCTCTTAATTTTGAGAGAAAAATGGATCCCACCACCTTTAAATTTATTTATTATTTTTTTCTTTCCATAGGTTTCTTTTGAAAACCAAACAAGTAAAAATTTTCTTCCCTCAACAATTTTCTTTCCTTTCCCTAGCTTTTCACCATTTCCAATCACAGGGAAAAAGACATGGGGGTTTGACTGACGATGACCCTGTTCACTAGTTTATTTATATATATAACAAATTTGTAAATCAAGTTATAGAAAACGTTTGCAGTCCAACGGTTAAAGTAATTGCTTGTCAACTAATAGAACTTGGATTCTACTCCCGGTAAACGCATTTCTTTGTTTTTTCCTTCCTTGTCATTCATTGTTTTAGGAATTTTTTTATTTTGATCCTTATTTTATAATTTTTTTTATTTTCATCATTAAAAATTTATTATATTTAATTTTTATTCCTATAATATATATTAAAATTAATTTTTTTTATTTTGATCCTCGTTTTGTAATATTTTTTTATTTTGGTCATTAAAAATTTATTATATTTTATTTTGATCCCAATAATAAATTTTTTTTCTTGGTTTTTAGTAAAAATTTATATTCTTTTTTGTTCTTATTTTGTGATATGTTTTTATTTTAGTCATTAAAGTTTTATCATGTTTGATTTTTATCCTTACAATACTAAAACTAAATATTTTATTATATTTGATTTTTGTCCTTATAATAAAAATTTTTTCTTGGTTTTCAGAAAAAAATTATGTTCTTTTTTCATTCTTATTTTGTGATATGTTTTTATTTTACTCATTAAAGTTTTATCATGTTTTATTTTTATTCTTACTATACTAAAACTAAATGTTTTATTATATTTGATTTTTATCCCTATAATAATTTTTTTCTTGGCTTTCAGAAAAAAATTATGTTCTTTTTTCATTCTTATTTTGTGATATGTTTTTATTTTACTCATTAAAGTTTTATCATGTTTTATTTTTATTCTTACTATACTAAAACTAAATGTTTTATTATATTTGATTTTTATCCTTATAATAATTTTTTTCTTGGCTTTTAGTAAAAATTTATTTCTTTTTTTATTCTTATTTTGTGATATGTTTTTATTTTATTTATTAAATTTTTATCATGTTTGATTTTTATCTTTACTATACTAAAACTAAATAATGTTTACTATCCTAAACTTTTTTTTGTACTATTCACTCCTTTTTTTTTTTTTTTTTTGTAATTTTCACTCTTAGTTTTTTTTATAATAATTTTCAAATTATTTCATTTTGATCCTTGAAATTTTAAAATAAAAATTTTATTCCCTAACCGATGCACTACATGCCTTTTTTTTCTTTGATTTTTTTCCATCAATTTATGCTCATTTATTTTATTTAATTGGGTATTAAAATTTTTAAAAATCAATCATTACTTTTTTTCCACACAAAATGACGATTATATAATATATATAAATCAAATGTATGTATTTAAAAAAAATAATCTTCTCATCAACATTAAATAAGAATAAAATTTTATTTTTTCATTGGTTAATTTTTATGCAAATACATTAATTGTAACTTTATTTATTTTTGGATATATTCTTATAAAACAATATATTTTTAAAGTATTTATTTTTAAATTCTTAATTAATATTTCATGTTTAAATTATTTATTACCAGTTTTTATTTAGAAATTCCTAAATAAAGAAAAATAAATCTTTTTTTAAAAAAACAAAAGTTTTTCATAAAACACAAAAAATAGTAATAATTAAATAAAAAATTATAAAATTTTCAAATAATTTTGTTCTATCAACCCGTAGCGTTGTGCGAATAATTTTTAAAATTAATCTTGTCATCAACATTAAATAAGAAATTTTTTTCCCGTTTGTTAGTTTTTATAAAAATCTATCTATTAATTATAACTTCATTTTTTGAAGTATAATATCATGAAAAATATATTTTAAAAGTTTTTTTTAATTCTTGATTAATATTTTAGTTAAAATCAATCCATAAAAAAATGATTTATGTTTTTTTAAGAAAAAAAATTTATAAAAAAAACATTAGAAAAAATTAATTAAATAAGAAATTATAATTAAAAAATTTTAAAATTTTAAAATCATTTTATTCTACTAAACCCGCAGCGTAGCGCGGGCAATCTACTAGTAAATCCTAAAATGGCTTCTGGTTTACAGAGAAAATAGAATACACACTAAAAAAAAAAATTCAAATTTTTAGCGAATTAGGATACCTAAAAGTAGTAGGTCCAGAGATTTTGCAGAAAAATATATCCATCCATCCTGCTAAAAATACTTTAAACAATAGGGCATGGCTATAACGCGCTTGTGATTGGGCATCCCAGTTAAAGAATTTTTGGCACACAAGCGACTGAATCCTCCACAACACACTGAGTTATGGCTTCAGCACCCTTAACTCTACCGCAGATTGTAACCCTTCATTACCATCCAAATCAAGAAACATGGCACACGCTGCCAGATAGACTATTGTCTTTGCAAAAAGATGCCCGAGAAAAGTTGATCAGTAACTTGGATATATAGAATGGCTATGTGGGTGTTGCTGCAAGTCCCAATCTTTCACCAACTTGGCACTGGCGAGCATGCATAGGCAAACGGGGTGCCACATGCTAGCATGATAGTTATAGACTCAAAGAAATTAGAAGACACGGTTCTACTGCTTTTGCTTCTTTTGAGCTGGCCCAGAAGAGGTCCCAACCTGGCCCAAAAAAAAAAAAACACTTTGTTTAACAAAACAAGTACAGCTTTTTATCAACAAGAAAGAATCACACACCTTGGAAAAATCTAACCATAAGCATCACCTGCTTGTGCAACTTTCTCACAGAACTATCAAGCATGTGTGCAACCACAGAAATATAAATTAAAGAAAACATAGAAAGAAATTTGGGTGTTTTGTTTAGCATCAGATCAGCTGCGAATCCAGAATTTTTAAATTGACGACCTAGTTCCACCAAATGATGAGGATGTTTGTTTGTTTTAGAGTAGCTTGGACAGAAACGTGCCTTCTGATATTGGCCTCGTTAATGGTTGATATTGTTGTTCTACCAATTTATTCCCTAAGTAACCTTAAGCCTTTTCTTAAAATGGTAATAATAAATAAATAAAATAAAATAAAAATAAACCCTAGCCTGACATCATTTGTTTTGAAATTTTTTACATTAGTATTAAAATTCATCCAGAAAAAGAAAAAAAAAAGTGCCAAATAGAGACCAGTCCAGTCAGTAACGGATCTATGCAACAAGTGTTGTTTTTCCTTCAGAATTTCACTATATTTGCTTGCTAAGAAAATTCACATTGGATCAGTCCTTCCAAATCCACAGCTCAAGAGTTCAACATAAATTTTTTTTTCTCTAATTTACTACATTGGAATTTCCTAGCAGTTCGCCTTGGCTTAGGTGGTGATCTGTTCGATTGAGGTCCTCCATGTTATGATCCCCTAAATCCCCCAAGTTGCCTACGTTCTCCTCCATGACTTGGTTAAGGTATGTACATTTGAAGTTTTGGGAGGAATGTTACTTTCTTTTCAGCAGCACTACCTTATGCAATTAGTCCAAACAAGAGTCACCAAATGAAACCATAGGCTCTTTGAACCAGTTATTAATAAGTAATATCTCAAAGAGACAAGTTGCGTACAAGTAACAGGATGGAAATATTGGAGAGTTGGAGGAATAGACAATACTTAGAGAGCTTTACTTATTGTGAAAGGTGGGGATACTAGACAGTGCAGGAAGAGCATGGAGAATTTAGTTAACTGGAGCAACAGAGGGATAACAGTTGACTATTGAGTAAAAGTATTTTAGTATGGTGATGCAAGGACGATTTGGCAGAGGTAAGTTGGACTGGAGGGGGCGTGCATGTGTTTATTTAGTGGAAAGAATGAGGTTCCTGTTGGTACAAAAACTCAGTAGTTAGCGAATAAATTGATGATAAGCAGCAATGGTTTAGACAAGGAATGAGGGGATGACATGTATCATGGTTGGCATATGGTTGAGATTTGGCAATCCACAAATAAGGTCAAGAAAGATGAGTGCCTCCATGACAATTCTTGTTCCAAGCTCACAAAGCCAACTTTCCCTAAAGACCTCAGCAATTTAAAAGTCCTAAATTAAGGATCCTACAGTATCCAAATTCATCTCTTTGCCTGCAAAAAACTAAAGAAGAAAAAGGGCAATTGTAGATATTTGAAAACACTAAGATAACTCTTATATCTATTCATATATGTGGAATAATCCAACAATTCCTATCCTCGCATTACAGCAGCTTGTTTAGTCAACTTCACCACAATTTTGTGCAAATACCTTTTCTTCATAAACAATTAAATGACTAAAAGAGAAGAGAAACACCCACTGGAAATGCCTCACGCATGAAAAGCATTGGAGTCTTTTTTTTTTTCCTTCTTCTTTGACAAGGAAGATTGCAGCATTCTTTTTTTCATAACTTGCTATCTTTGCTTATTAAATGTTAATGCTTTCCCTTGTTGTATTTCAAAATTTTAATGGAGTTTTAATTTAAAGAACTGTCAAAGATCATCAATTCTTTAACTTGCAAACACAACAAAATAGAGAATCATCCATACCATGCTAGAAAGCTGCTCATTGATGTAGGTCATTGATCTCAACATAGCTTCAAGTGTGTCTTTGCTAAGCTGAAATTTCACTTCCGTTTCTCCTGAAGAAGACTTGGTGTAATCTTGAAGCTTCAAATCAAGATAGGAATATATATATGTATGTATAAGATATACAACAGAGCACCATAAGTTCTAATAATTGAATAGAAAGAGAGTTAAGCATTATAAAAAAGGAATCATTTCTTGTGAAATGTTTGTTAAATACGAGGAATTCAAACTTCATAAATACTTGACGTTGTTGAGTTTAGCATAGCTCTCCTACCACTTGTTGAGTTGGAGTGGCAAAATTTGGTAGCTCTAAATAGAAACGCAAGTTTATTATACCACTAATGATGACAAATTAGTAGTATTATAATAGCTCTTACAATACTCACTGCACTTTATTTGTGACACACTATCAAAATACAAGCACTCAAATATTATTCTCACACAACTCTAATTGAGCTCTCTATGTAGCTCACTCTAACACACAATCTCACTTATGCCAGCTTACTAAATAGAGAGCAAGGCACTCCTATTTATACCCGTTGGAGTGCCTAAAATGTCAACAAAAACCAACTGCATCAGATCTTCATATAAAGATACTGTGGAGAGGGTGACTTGACAATGCATTACATGAAGCTAAGGTAATTGGTATGACTAGGTAGAAAAAAATTACCATGCGAAATGTGAATGCAGTAAACGAGAAGGTAGGCAATGTGTGTAACAACTGAATGGAGGAGAAGCACACAATTTCTTAGTAACAATTGTGGCTTGAGGCAGTGCACTTTCACTAGAGGGAAGGGCTAAATTCAAACTATTATCAAATATCGGGCATTCACACTCGATGAGTACTTAGAGAAAAGTCTAAAATTCTAAGTAATATCAAATATAACTGGCCCAATCAGTGAAGCAGCAAAAACAAAAACAATAAAAATAATCAATGACTTTCAAATGATCCCAATTAAAGAAGTTTTCAAAGTCAATCTAAAACAACAATGATTCTTGGCCTCTATATAAGACTTTCCATCAATACAATATACTTTGATCAGTCAAGGACGTATACAACACTACAGAAATCCTATTGCTCTGAACCAGCCAATGTATATCATCAACAATACCCATGAGCTGATACAGCTTGAAATATAGAGTACTCTGCCACCCTGTTCAACCTTTGCTGTTTCCTGATGAAGCTAATTTTTCAACTTAAAACTACTATTGACCTCATCCCCATATGGACTGCTATTATGAAAGTGTGAAACATGTATGACTGTTCTCATACCAACTCGGGGGAAAGTGACTCAATAAAACTGCCAATAAGCCAGCAATCTCTCTTTTGTGACATAATATGCCTAAGGCCTGAACCCAATAACTGAAACAATCAATCACAAAGCAAATGAGACCTTCAATGGCAAAATAACATGGATCAAAAGGAGCAGGAGACAACCAGTCAGAAATATAAAGCTTGCAATTTCTACAAGAATATCTTATCTCTCTAGGTAAGTTCCAAAGTCTACAATTCCAATAGTACGATAAATGATCATACAAGAAGTCATTGCAGGTTCTCTTTACTTGTAGAGAAACCCGTAGCTCTTTGGAAGTTTACTCAGCTTTTTTGAGACAAGAAAACACAATAAAGGATTCACATACCTTGAGAGTGACGATGGCAACTCTACTAGAAGCTGAAGAGTTGCGATTCTCTGTGGTCCATGTCATTGATTTGAGGCGAGGTACATTAGCCTATATAATAGTAAAATCCAATAACATAAATAAATTACCATAGGATTCAAATTCTAAGGTACATTATCATGAGCAATCCAGTGCACTATATTAAAGGCCTGAAATTTGAATGTATACACAAAAGCAATTGCACCTCAATAGATATATTAGCAGAAAAGGATATATAAGTACATAGATAAAATTCCTATAGTAGTTTTTTGCTAATCAGACATGCTCTCTCAAACCCAAATTGCTGAATATGGTAACAGGAGAGAGATGGAAAGGATATGATGGTATAGTTCCCCCTAGGACAACTAAGCTTGTCAGAGCTTCTTATGAAGGGCCAAACAAAGTAGTTCAAGACTTCCTTTGAGGTGTAATTGAAAGGCAGGACTGCAACTAAAGTGGTTTTCCCAGGGGATGATAGCAAGCTCGGTAAGAATAGGAACAGGATCATCTGAAAAGGGAGAACAAAGAAATAGACACAGGATTAGCATGGTGTTGTAAGCATAAATGCAGTAAATGGATAGCCAGTGGATAGTCTATTACTTCATTCCTGGGAAGCAAGAGAAAAGTGGGTCTTGCTTATTTTTAAATCAAGAAGGACAATGGCAGGTTCAGGATTCGCATGCTAAAGCCTGGAAAGATAGAATTTGGAATGGCTGAAATGGTGCAATCTGAAGGATGCTTCAGTGTGAAAGGCACTTCTATGAAATGTGGAGTTTGTGGCCTGTAATGAACAGAAAGACATGTAAAGTGATGGAGACTGAGATGCACGGTCTTCAGAGACAGTTTAAATCTCAGTTGGATGAATTTCTCGGACGCTGTCCTCTCTGACCTTGTTACAGGATCTTTCAGCTTCCTGAGAGTCAGCAATTAGGATTTAGGATTATACAGGCTGTATTTATAAACTCTCCTCCTCTTCTTTTTCTTTTATGTTTCTCCCCACAGAAACTCCAGTGTAAATGGGTAGTGTCGCTCTTTTCACCTTATAATTTAATGGTTCTACAGAAAGAATTGCCAATCAGATTTTTACTGGACCAACAGCTTCTTTTGCTGAGTTACAGAACTATTCAACGTCACTATAGTTTCAGTGGAACAAGCTAACAAAAGTAGTCAACCTATTCTCTCTGCTATTTCAGATATCCTCAAAGCAAACTCGAACAACCCAATATCAGTTCATGTAAAGGCTTTCCCTCGTTCTTTTTTTTTTTTTTTTTTTCGAGTAGGGCACTGAGAGCCAGAAAGCAAGACATCGCACGATAATGCCTTTAGAGATACATTGGTGACAAATAATATTAAAAGGGGAAGACCGCAGTTCTCATGCAAAGATAACAAGCTGTTAAAAGTATCTAAAATAAATATACCAGGTAACTAGTTCTTTATGCTATCTTGCACCGAAGACAAACACAGTAACTACTTCACTTACCACATTGTCAGGAGGAGTAACATCATGTTGGATAGTAAACGAGGCCGCAGTATCAGCAATGATTGATGTAGATGCCCCAAAACCATTATGATTAAAACGTCCATCAGCATCATCTTGACGAGGCCAAAGCTGTGTTGGAATCTCAGAAGACTGAAAACATGTAAACGACGGCGGTACACTAGTTCTAACCTGGTAGGAAACACTGGTCCTCGGCAACGGATGCTGGATAGGAATACGTTTATTACATATATTTATCAAAATGACAACACAAGAAGCAAAAATTATGCGGAAAAAAAACGTCAAGAAAAGAGATGTAACAATAAACCTTTTCTGTTGATGATTCCTCCTTCCACTGATTCTGATATTTCTGGATCAATGTGATAAGAGTGGTTTGCAAATCCAGGGATAAATCAGGTGGAAAGAGCTTCAAGAGGTCATCACTGCTGAAATTCTCCCGTACAGATTTTCTGATAATCGAACGAAGGCATGCCAAAACCTACAACTACAAAAACCTTTTCGATTAATTATTATTATTCAATTGCTAATAAAAAATTGAAAAAAAAACGAAAAAAGTAATTACGGGATCGAGTTCTGGAAGGGAAGGGAGATTGAGGAGAGATTGAAAACGGGATTTATCGAGAGAAGGGAGACCAGTTCTTCTTGTTTTCCAGAGAGTTGTTAGGATGTGCTCAACTTCTTCTTCCTCAGCTGCTGCTGCTGATAGCTTGTGGAGTTGCAGATATAGTGAATCCCCATCATGTTCCTCCATTTTCTCAAATGAAAGTTCGGTTCGTTGGTAGCCGTTGATGATGATGGGGAAAAGGTTTAATTTCTAGCCGCAGTTTGCCAATTATGTCCGGCATGTCATTCATTACCTCCTCCAATGCCATGAGCCCACATTTACCCTCTTAACTGGCTACTGTACCGTACTGACATGTCGTTGGCAAAGTGGTCTTTTTCTTTTCACTATGATATTTTTTTCTGTACATCGTGTCAAATCACTTAAACTACCCGTGCAATCCGGAGTAAATTATAAATTAATCCATCTTGTTTCAAAAGATGAATTCATCACGAGAAATTCGTTAAATAATAACAAATTTTAACGAAGGACATAAAATCACCGTTAAATAAAAAATAATGATAGAATAGTAATTATTTTATTTAGCAATGGATTAGAAATAAAATATTGACTGTATTTTAACGAAGAACACAAATTTATCATTAAATTTGATGATAAAATCTTTTCGAACACTTCACAGATAGTTTAACAACGAATTTATTAAAAAAAATAACGACAAACTTGATATATGTTGCTACTATCATCCTAACGATTTAGCGATGAAATACAATTTCCTTGCAATTTAACGATGTAAAATCCATCTTTAAAGGAAAGATTTTTTGATAAAATTGAAACTAAACTTTTGAAAGATAAAAACTACCAATTTTGTGATGGATTATTGACGAACACCGACAAATTAAGATGGATTAGTGATAGACATTTAAGTCTCGTCGCTAAATGTGAAAAAATAGGCATTTATTTGTTTAAATTTCAATCCCCATTTAGACGGATTAGCAACGAAATCGCGTCTATCGCTATGTTTCAGCCCTAGTCCCCTTCTTCTTCATCCTCCCTCATTTTCTTCTCCTTTCCCAAAACTAGCGACTATCGCCGTTTTCCCACTCCCTCCAAACCACTACTAAACTTTACTCCTCCACTCCTAATCAATTCCCACCCACTTTAAGGGTTTTTTCTCTCAAAAAACTCTCATTTTTTCTTTCCCCTTGTTGATGTAATTTCATCCGAATTAAGTATGTTCTTTTCTCTTTTATTTTTTTAATTAAAGTTAATAATTTATTATAATTATTAGATTAATTTAAGTTTAATTACTGAATTTATGACTCGTGTATATATTTAATTGTTATTTTGTGGATTTAATTATTAAATTGTTAATTTTATTAATTGTTAAGTTAATTGGTTAATTAATTTTGTTAAATTTGGTTAATTGTTAGGTTAATTAGTTAATTAATTATAATTTTAATTTAATCAGAATTGTTTTTTAATTAATTAAGTTAATTTTATTTAAATTTAGTTAATTAATTAGGTTAATTATATGTTTATTTGGTTGAATTCGACAAAATTTGTTAATTAATTATTTAATTAGTCTTAATTAAATTAATTTAATAGTTAACTTAAATTTAATTTTATTAGAATTAGAATTAATTAAGCTAATTAGATTTATATTTAATTAATTAATTAGGTTAATTATGTTTAATTAGTTGAATTATAAGTTTATTTATATTAAAAAATTTTAATTAATTGTGAATTTAAATTTAATTTGGTTAGAATTAAAATTAAATAAGTTAATTAGATTTATATTTAATTAATTAGGTTAATTTTATTTAATTGGTTAATTAAAAAAATATTTATATTACAAATTGTTGATTTAAATTTAATTCGATTAGAATTAGAGTTAATTAAGTTAATTAGATTTATATTTCATTAATTAATTAGGTTAATTATATAAAATTAGTTGAATTATAAGTGTATTTATATTAGGAATTGTTAATTTAAATTTAATTTAGTTAGAATTAAAATTAATTAAGTTAATTAGATTTATAGTTAATTAATTAACTAGGTTTTTTTTTAATTGGTTGAATTAAAACTCTATTTATATTATCAATTGTTAATTAATTTTTATATAAAAATTAATTTGGTTCGAATTAAAATTAATTAAAGTAATTTGAATTTTATTTGATTAATTAATCAGATTAATTTTAATTACAAATTAATTGGATAAAAATCTTATGCACGATTATCAACATAAGGGAATATATCATTATGCTTATAAGAAAAGGGTCCATCATTAATTAGATTATAAATTAGTTGGATATCCGTCCTACTGCTGCGGTTGGACAACCGTTAGATGCGTAAGGTCGGCGATTCATATAGTATAGTACATATAAAAATCTTATTTCTCATAATTAATATAAATTAAATTTATTTATTTAGCAAAATCATTTGATTTATATATATTTATTAACAAAATAATCAATAATATTAGCATAAAAAGTTGTATTGGAATAATTGAAAGGTTATTTCAGAACATTATTTCAATTATTTTATTTTTTAAAAAATATTAATTTTAGAATATTAAAAAAATAAATAAAAAATAATCGGTGTTATGTGTGCGTATACATAACTAATTTCTATGTATATATATATTATGATCATACTTAGTAGATTAAGAGTATATAGTATAAATAATTTTTTTTAAAAAAAGAAGGCCATTTGAGTTGTATGAAATATATTAAAGTCAATAAATTAAAATAAAAGCTATTACAAAATTGGTTCTCATAAATTTAACTTATTAATTTATGATGAAAGAGATTATTGAATCAGAAATTAAATTATAAATTAGTTCATCTCGTTTTGAAAAATGAATTAATTAATTCTTTTGGTTTCAAAAATAAATTATTTAATTTTTTCAATCAATGTACCACAAATGATTTATTTTTTTATTTTAGAAAAAACATTATCATATTTTTACTTTTTTTTATTCTTTCTCTCGTTTCTTAAAACAAAATATAAAACAATTGAAATAGCAAAAAGGATAAAAAAAAATTATTTTTAAACCGAAAGGACTAATGGTGCAATGTATTCGGATACAAAATTATATATATAATATTTAGTAGATTCGAGTGTATATAGCATAAATTATTTTTTTTCAAAAAAAAATCATCTCGATTGTATGGAATATATTAAAGTCCATCAATTGAAATAAAACCTACTACAAAATTGGTTCCCGTAAATTTTACTTCTTAATTTATGATGAAAGAGATTCTTAAATTGAAAATTAAATTATAAATTAGTTCTTCTCATTTTGAAAAAATAATAAATTAATTATTTTGGTTTCAAAAATAATTTATTTATTTATTTAATCAGTGTTGATCATGAATAATTTATTTTTTATTTTAAAAAATGTATTTTTTATTTTTTAGTTATTTTTTTTATTTTTTCTCTATTTCTTAAAACAAAAAATAAAAACATTGAAATAGAAAAAAGGATAAAAAAAATTAGTTTTTGAACCAAATGAACAAATGGTGTTACGTGAGTAGATAGATAATTAATCTCTAATAAGACTAATGATATGTGAGTGTGTGTGTAAACAAATATTTAAAAAAACCATATAAGTTGTATGAATTATATCAAAGTCAATGAGTTGAAATAAAAATTACTACAAAATTAGTTCTCATAAATTTTACTTTTTAATCAATGATGAAAGAGATTCTTGAACTACAAATTAAATTATATATTGGTTCATATTGTTTTGAGAAATGAATTAATTCATTCTTTTGGTTTAAAAACTAAATTATTTAATTTTTTTAATCAAGTGTTGACCATGAATAATTTATTATTTTATAAAATATCTTTTTTAATGTATATTTTTGCTTTTTTTTTATTCTTTCTCTATTTCTTAAAACAAAAAAATAAAAGCATTGAAATAGCAAAAAAGACAAAAAAAAAAAAAAGTTTAAACCATAGGGACTAATTAATTTTTTTCTCGAAGAAAGAGAGTAATTTATTATCACTCTTGAATAGCAAGTGACTTTGGCTTCCTTGTCGAAAATAAAAAGAAAAAAACATTGAAAGAAGATAGGAGCATTAAATGCTCAATCTGGAAAAAAGAAGAATAAGAAAATGACGAAAAAAGGCTAAAAAATAAAATTAAAAAGAAAATTAGTCAAGGGCAAAAATGAAGTTTCTCAAATCCATCGAATATCAAAAGAGAAATTAAGAAAAAAGTAAGGCGAAAAATCAAGGAACACAATGAATAGTGAATCTAAGTCTAAAACAATAGCAAATGAATAGTAAATATCTTAGTTCTTTTAGTTTTTTCCTACTAATATATATTAAATTAAAAATAAAAGATAAAAATCTAATTTAATTTCATAATTTTTAATCAAATTTTGTATTTCATTCGTGCTTCTTTATGTTCTTCATAGATTTTGTTGTTAAAAAAATATGATTCATTTTTTTTATTCATTCATTTTTAAATAACAACCTATAATAATATAAATATAAAATTTAATATATATTTTTTAAAAAAATATGTTAATATTTTTTTTTATAAGGCTACATGGAGAAATATATCAACAACCTATAAAAATTTGTATAAAAATTAACAAATGAATCTTTTAAAACTTTTTAAAAATATGTACATTTGATATATAGACACACACACACAAAAGACAATCGATAATATTAAATATAAAAACATATATTTGAATTATTAGGTGGTTCTTTTAAAATATTATTTTATTTAAAATAAATTAAATTTAGAATATTAAAAATAAATAATTGAAAATAGTTGGTGTTATATGTGTAAATGCAAAATTAATTTTTAATAAAATCAATGATTTCAATACTTTTTTGTATACATCATTACACCATTACCATAATTTGTATAAATTAAAAATATTTTTTAAAAAAACTTAAGTTGTAAGAAATATATTTAAGTTAATAAAGTGCAATAAAAATAATTTAAAATTTTATTCTCAAAAAATTGATTATATCAAGAATAAAGTGAAGAAACACGTAAATTCTATTATTTATTAAAAAATATATTAAAAATTAATACAAAAAAAAGATAAATCATATTTATCAACAAATAAAATTTCATAAAAAATAAAAAATTTAATTTGATGAGAATTTTTATAATAAATGACAAATTTAAGAGATGAATTTTAATCAATAAAAAAAATATAATCATATATATATATATATATATATATATATATATATATATAAAGTTAAAAACATGAGATGTCAAAATATTTATAAAAACATGAGGATTTAAAAATACATTTTGAAAATATAAGGGATAAAAAAATGAAGTATAAAATTTGAAAATAAATGCTGAAAATGTTATAAGAAAATTACGAAAATGCTATTAAGAAATTTACAAAAATACCATATTGTGAATAGTGAATTAAGATAAATGAACAGTAAATGAATAGTATTTTATTGTTTATTTGCTTCACTTCTTTTAGTAATTTTAGATTTAATTTTGGTACTTAAAATCTAACAGGAAATCTTGACTAGAAAAATTAAAAAAAAATCTATAATGGTCGGGTCATCCAAGATTCTTAGCGTGTATAAAAAGTTTAATAGAATTTTTTTTTATGAAAGAATAGTTTGTAACAGAAGATATTGTAATTTTTCTTCAATTGAGTAGTACAATTAAGTATTTAATTTTTTTTTCATAACGTACATACATTTTATTACATCTAAATAAGAAAAGAACGACTCATTTTTTTTAATAGAAGAAGAATTGAATATTTTTATTTATTTGCATTATATTTATTTTATCATTTAATAACTAAATTAATTATCCTATAATTATGTTGGTTACTAATAATATGGTATAATTACAATTCAATTCATATCGTAACTACTGATTGACTACAAATGGTTAAATAGGTTCACTTAATGAACAGTAAAAAATATTTTAGCTTGTAATTTAGTTAATTGCTTGATAATTATGATATTTACAAACAATTAAGTCTAATTTTAATAAGAAAAAGTTTTTCTTTATCTTAGAGAAGAAAAAATAAATACTAATTTGAAAGTAAACAAATCATTTTTAAGCGATTATAAAATAATAAATATTTGTATTTATTATAACATAAACACTTTTATTATTATTATTTTGTAAATTTAAAAACCAATATAATTATAACATGTTTTAGCAACCACAACAAATCCCAAGCTGAGTAATTTTAAATTAAAAGAACCAAAATTTTGAATGCTAGTAATAACAAAGGGGAATGGAAAAATCGTGACAGATCTATCTATCGTCTCTTCCTCTCTCTGCGCTTCCAGGAAGGACAACGCAGGGAGGATAGGAGAGGAGAGAGTTATGGAAGTAGCAAGTTGAGTCATCGTGACAACACAACCCCACCCCACCGCCTCTTTTAAACCTCTCCTTCTTCCCCTCTTTTCAAGATTTCAATTTTCTCCAGTTTCGTATTAATATAACAATAGAAATAATTAAGAATATTGGTCATAGCTTCCTTAACTGCGAGGTTTTCCTTCCTTGTATACACTCCCATTTCAGGCTTCTCTAAATTCCTTTCCTTCCTTTCGACAATACCTGCTGGGGTACGTTCCTTCCCTCTTCTTTTATTTATTATTTATTATTTATTTCGCAGCGAATTAATTTTGTTGATTTTTATCGGTTTCTAGGGTTAGTTTAATTAAATTAAATGACGACAAGGACATTGAGGAGGAGGCTCCATCATGGTGACGTCGATGGAAAGAGGAACGACGAACTTTTTGATTCTTCAGAGATTGATGGTTTAAGCGAACCTTTACTCGGCAATCGCAATGATGATGATGATGATGATCATCATCATTCTGCTGCTCCGGTCAGTTACCTTTTTATTTATTTATTAAATAAGAATAAAGAGATTTAAATAAACTTTGTTAATTAATATTATTATAGGTACCCACACTAGAAGATATTTGGGACGATGAGCGGAGGAAGCAACACATTCACTGGACTTTTCTATTTTCGCAATTGATTGTGCAGTGGGCGCAATGGTTAGGTGTGTGCTATTTCGTGTTTCGCTTATGGTTAGGTGTGTGCTGTTTCTTGTTTCGCTTATGGTTAAGTTGTGCGCTATTTCTTGTTTAGCTTATGGCTAGGATGTGTGCTATTTCTTGTTTCAGTTTTGAATTCTGGATTTTTGTTTTGCTTTCTGTGATTTATGGAAACTGTGGTGAGCTGCACTGTTTGTTAGATGAGGCATGGCAATGCCTAGCTAGATAAACTGATGATTGAATGCATTATAATGGTTCTAGATAAATGATTGGGAACAGCAAATTGCTACAAGAACTGAAGTTGTTGACTTGATTTGACTGCCCCTTTGTTTAATCTTTGTTCATGTAATTATATTTGACTGCTGATGGATATGCATATTTTGTTCCTTATAGAAACAGATTTTCATCCTCCATCTTGCTCTATGTATTATTACCTTAGCATCTATCATGAATTGCTTACTGAATTTTGTTGATGGTAAGCTGTTAGCTGTTAGGCATGGTTAGGTCATGTTTAGGAGGAATTTTTTTTTCTTCTTTTTAAAAAAATAAAAATAAAAATAAAAATAAAATTCAAATGCGTGTTAGAATCTTGTAAACAAATAACTCAAATCTAAAGCATGGTAAGGCTTGCAAGCTTGTTTCTGCTTATTAGAACAGGATTTTTCTGCTTATGATGCTCTCTACATCTTTCTTCTGAAAGATTAATTTCTACTTCTTGAAATTACTCTGCATGGCTTCTGAGATGTAAAGTTCTTTGTGGTTTTTGATTATGTTGCAGATTATCAGAACAGTTTACTGTTAGTGACTGACAACTTGATGTTGGTTTCTGTAGCAAATGTTGTGCTAGGTTCTGGATCACTTATTGCACGGCTTTTGCCTCTTTCTTCTCTGAGTCAAAATGGATCAAACAGGAAGCTTCTTCAACCTTCTCTCAGTCCTTTACAGGTATATTTAGTTATTTGAGATAATATCCACATATTTTCTAAAGCCACTAATTTCACATGCCTGATAATGTTTGAGTAATGTTCAGTTCACAATGTGCTGTGTAGTCGAGAAACATAATAGTCTACATCTTTGTGTTGCTTCTTTTCTGTGCTTTCTGTTGAATAAAGTTAAACACGCTGTACCACGTAGTTATCTAAACCGAACTTTGTTTCCATCCAGTCAGTTTTTTCCTCTCAATACAACATGGTATAACATTCCCACCTATATTGAAGTGCTGGATACAGTTTTGTGCATGCAGAGTAAATCAGTACAAAATTATTTAATTGCTTTCTTTCTCCTGATAAATTGGTTAACTTTGAATGGTGTCTTCTAATATGATCCTACAGGAAAATCGATCACATCTTGCACTTTCCTTTAACTCTTCATATTTTGCATATGGCATGACTTTCCTTTTAAGCTATACGTGTGGGATCTTGTCTTTGTATTTTAATTTTTTGATATTTTACAATGTCAGGGCTATTTTTTGTTTGAATTCAATCAATTTTTTGCATTGTTAGTAGAAAAAACTTGGATTTTTGACTCTGTAAATTGACATCTTTGAAGGAAGCAAGACTTAGAAATCTTCAGCAGAGGTTGAGAGTTCCCTTTGATGGGTCTCGATTAGAGCATCAAGTAGGTCTTCTTCCATTTCCTCATTTTTTTGTTCACTTCTGGCCCTCTTATTTTTAATTTATTTCTGTTTGGTTGTTAACATTTAAGATGATCTGATTAAAATTAAATAAAAGTTGGCTTTTTTTTTTTTAAGGAAAGATTTGTGAAATATGAAATATAGTTTATTTAATAAAAATGGATGCGAAATCACACCATTAAATTGCTTTTGAAGTGCTGGACTAATTTGCTTGCTTTGCAGGATGCGCTTAAACAATTATGGAGACTAGCTTACCCTGATAGGGAGCTCCCATCTTTAAAGTCTGAGCTTTGGAAAGATATGGGTTGGCAAGGCTCAGACCCATCAACTGATTTTCGGTATGTAGATGGTTGTGGAAACTGGTTTTAGATGTGGTATTTGATCAGATTTATTCTTTGAAAATTATACTTATGCAACTCCTTTCCATGATATTTGAAGGGGTGGAGGATTTATATCGTTGGAGAATCTGATCTTTTTCGCGAAGAAATATCCGGTTTGTCCTTCACTATGAATTGCATAGGTTGGGTATTATTATCTGTCATATGGTGACTGAATGCTATTTAAAGTGATTGATAAATGACCCATGCGATATATTGTACATGACTTTAACTCCATTAGCATGCACATGATATAACTAAGTTTGTTTGGGAACATGCACATTCTGGCACTAGTTTTTGTTTGTCTTCAAGTCTGCAACTCCTTTCGCATAGTCAGAATGTGAAGTATGTACCTCAAAAAGAGTTGTCATCATTTCCAGGTTCTAATCTGGATGTTATTCTTTTATAGTGAGAATGCTTAGTCATCTTGCTGTCAATTCAAGATAAATATCCAGATTTTGGGTAAAGGTTCCTGTGTCTATCAATGGAAGTTGAGTTTGTACAATAAACTAGTAACTGGCATCTGGCATCTGCCATATGCCATAATCTGCATCTCAACATTTAGCATTGGCTGTTGGAAGGCGATCCTAACTTGTGATCTCTTGTTCTAAGGCAAAAACTACGTTATTCAGTTTCATTGGTTGTTGATGAGTGATTTGATTTGATTCTCTCATAATGAGCTCTGCAAATGTGATAAGTTGTTGAAAATGAAATTTAGTATGTATTTCCTCCTAATTCACTTTCTCATATTTTCTTTGTCGCTTCCTTTTTCGAGTGTTGCATTTTGGATGTTTTGAAGTGTTTACTTTTTTAATAAAGGGTGTCTGGGTTATATGTACTAGTTGGACATTATTCATGGGTTCCACTTGCATGTTTGAGCTCCATAAGCACCTGTTGATTGAGTGAGCATGTCGCTTTAAACTTAAAAGTTTTCTCCTAGTTCCTTAGGTTCCGCTTGGGCTTATATGCTGTATGCATATCTAGTGATGTGGTTTCTCTTCCTTTCCCACCTTTTTTCTTTGAGTGTAATGATTTAATGTTGTAGAACTATTTTGGTTGCTAGTTCTAATACTGACATGCTTATTGATCTTTTCTTTGGTTGACAGGACTCATTCCAGAGATTGTTGCACAAAAGAGATGGGACCAGAGCTGAGTGGGAGTATCCATTTGCTGTTGCTGGCATCAACATTTCTTTTATGTTGGCACAAATGTTGGATCTTCAAACAGGTAATTGAAATCTAAATTTAGGGGATATCTGATGTCTCTTTAATGGTTACATGGACTGAAAATGTGACGTGATGAAATACCAGTCAGCATTAGAGCAATGCAATTCCCAACATTTTTTTGGGTTAATGAATTGCTAAATTGTTCTTTGCTTTGTTCAGTTTTGATGCTCCTTTTTTTTTTTTTTTTTGTGCAAATTAAAATGCTCCAATCATGGGTTGAAAACATGATGTAAAATTGCACTTGTAGGAAAGCCATCCACTCTGGCAGGAGTCAGATTTTTAGAACTACTTGCAGAGGATGACATGGCATTTGACAACCTTTATTGCATAGCATTTCAAATGATGGATGCTCAGTGGCTTGCGAAGCGTGCTTCATATATGGAATTTAATGTAAGTTTGCTGTCAAAAGTTTTCGGCTGTCCAATTTTTTCATATATATATATATATAATTTTTTTTCTTTTTTAATTCAATAGTGATTTTATCTATCTGCTTCACGTTATCATGCATACAATGTATCTTATTAGATGTTTCATCTTTTTCCAGGATGTTTTGAAGTCTACAAGGACGCAGTTAGAGCGGGAACTTTCCCTCGAAGATGTCTGTACTGTGAAAGATATACCGGCATACAATATGTTGACCGGATAATATGACAATAGTAAAAAAAGGTAAATAAAAAATTTCCTTGTCCTTCTGTGGAAATGTTACATATAGTGTTCCGGTCAAATCTGTAAGAATAAACCTTGTATTCATATCATGAAAATTAACTACAGTTCCACTAATAACACTTTTCCTTCGTAACAGTGGAATTTTGAATTTGATAATGCCATTCCTTCCAAACTGATCCGTGCAATGCTTCCTCTTGTTGTCTGCTGGTTTTTGCAGCGCCCTGTTTTATTATGTATCCTCTGATGATCATGGGCTGTAAACTTATTTAGCGATGGACTTCGAGGATTGATTGCATGAAACATTTCTCTCCTCTTAATATTTTCTTAATAATGTGGTTTTTATTTATTTATTATGTTCCCTTGTTTCCAATTTTTTTTTAATGTGGCTCATTTGTTTCAAGTTTTCAAGCAAACGTGGCAGCTGGTAAAAAATTTGACACGTGTATAGATAAAAATTAGGCAAGAAAAAAAAACTAAAAAGAAAATATATCTTTTTTTCTCTATTTCAACTATTCTAGAAATTTTTCATTCTCTTCTAGGTTTAGGATTTTCACACGTGACAAATCAATGCATAAAAAATTAACTGGAACATCTATTAATTGCATCTTAGGTGATTTTTGGTAATCGAAATAGAATGATGAAAATGAAAATGCAGAAATCGGAATAAAAATTAAGGAATTGGAATGACATTTATATTTTTATACCGTGTTTGGAATACCAATGAAGAATCGAAATGCAATTTAAATATTTGATTTTTTATGTAGATAAAAATGATGATTAAAAAAATAATTTTATTAAACTATAATTATTGTAAAAATAATAAAGATGATGGTGGTGATGGTTATGATAGTGGTGGTGGTGACAGTAGTGATGATGGTGTTTGTGGTCGTTGTGATGGTAGTGGCGGCGGCAGAGGCAGCGGCAGCGGCAGCGATGGTAGTAAAAATAATTAATAGACAATAAATAAATAAAATGTATTATTATTCTGAAAAAAAATTCATTTACATTTTTTATTTTTATTTTCACATCTTATATGGGAATGAAGTTATGTGTAATTTTTTATTCCTATTTTCGCTCTTTATTTTAATTCTCATTTTATTATTTTTAACTAAACAGTTATAACGTAAGAATAAAATTTTCATTCTTATTTCTAATTACTAAACAACACCTTATACAAACAATACTTTTATTCCTAGCTACCTTCTTCTTTATAAATACACAAAAGATGTTCTTGGTGTGTTGTCCAGTGACCATTAAGCTTCCTTGCACCGGATCTCGTCGTTGCAAGAGTTGCTCTTTTCCATTATTATTCTCTCTTTCTCATCCATGCAGACTTTCTACTTGCACACGCACAAACAAAACATCAATGCGTCCAAGAAGAAGCAGCCGACATGAGGAGACCACTGTCAACTTATTAATCCAAACAATTTATTATGGTATTAATCCGATGAAATATCCTTCTTCTTTTTTATTTTTTCTAATATAGCTTCGTTACTTTTTTTATTCATCAACTTCCTTTATTTTTTATTTACTATGGTCTTTCTAACTGATTTTTGGTCAATTTTTTTGATTAAAACTGACAACTGTCATAAAAAAATCACATCCCATAAATATTTTTTAAAAAAAGTAATAAAATTTTCAAATTATCCTCGATCACCTCCCAAAATTTTCCATCATTCTCTTTAAATTTTGCAATAAAACTTCTGTTTTTAATAAATTAATCTGACGAACAGGTAGCGATGAGAACTATAAGGAAAGGCCTGCAAAGAAATGTACCTAAACTTCAGCTATCCTTTTGAGATTCAAATTTTTAACATCTTTGCATAATTGTCTAAATAGAGAGCCGAATGCTGACATAACTGGTAAAATAAAGATATTCAGTTTTAGTATAAAATCTCTCTCTCCAATAAAAAACATGTTTACCTTGAACAATGTAGATTGAAGTTATTTAATTTAATATGCAGAACCACATAAAAAACTAAAATTTTACAGTAATTTCAACTGTCAATAACTGAAACAATGTCCTGAGAAATGTAGAAAATTAACGTGTAGAACTTCTTCAGATGTTGTTTTTCTACCCTGCCCCCCTTTTTTTTTTTTTCTTGATTCAATTTTTTTTTTTTTACTTAGAGCCATGACTTCCCAGGTTTCTTGTGTTTTGATTGGATGATTGTTTTTGTCCTTCTTCTTTCTTGAAGATTATTGATTGGGGAAGTCTTTTTTTCCAATTTAGTGTATTTGAACCCAAGATTAGACTGATCTTATAACCAAAGAAGCCATGTACTTTCTTGAAGTGGTCAAATTAAATTAAAACGAATCCTACTGCAATTTCATACACATTATTGTCTGAAGCTGTTGAACCTGCTTTAAAAAATTCAGAACCGTGAATAATCTTGTCAAAAATTAATGATCATTTAATAAGTTATGTGCTTTTTCATTCTTCAACACACACACACACACACACACACACACACACACACACACACATACACACACACACACATATATATATATATAACAAATGCATACTAATTAGCTTCATTGGAAAATTTAAAGAGAAGGATTGAAAAATTTAAGTGATGATCCAAGGTATAGTTTTGTAATTTTTTCGATTTTTTTCAATATTTTTTCATGTGACAAATTAATCTGATGTGTCATGCCATGTGAAATTTTAAATATTTGCTGTCAGTTTTGATTAAAAAAAAATGGACTGAAAAAAGTTGGGGGGACCACATTAAAAAAAAATTAAGAATAGAGAAAAATGATGAATAAAAAAAAAGTATATGAATCACATTAAAAAAAATTAGAAGAATAGAGAAACGTTTCATGTCATTAATCTATTTATTATGGTTCCTTGCAACTTGGGCATGTGTTTTCTTCTTCTAATGAAGCTGATCGACTTGCTGGTGTGGATTATTGCTTGATGACAGCAGTAAATGATATTCAATTATTGAGTACCTACGTACTCCTTTAATTTCTGTTACGTTTATTCTTTTTTCTTTATTATTAATCAATTCGATCGATAATCTTTGTGTTTTTAATTAAAACTTGTTTCGTGGGTTTCATTGAATTTGATCTCTTTGTGACTTTCAAGATCAAAATAAGTTTTCTTAATAACATTTTCCACTTTTAATTTCATAAATATCAACCTTTTCTTTCTTTTCTTTTTTTTTTTCCTGAAAATATTTGGGTTCTCTGAAAGTTTTCTGAGCATTTTTTTTTTAATTTTCAAACCACGCTCTTGTAGGGGTAAATCTTGATCAGAGCATTGTCGTAAAAGACGACAATGCTCTGTTGCTTGAAAACAAAACGTGTTCTTGAGGATGAAAATCAATCATATATGCCCCATAGCTTGATGATTGCATTTGTTTCGTGTTCTTTTTCATTAGATGTGCTGATGCTTTAAATACAGCTACAAGATGCTGGTTTCAGAACAAACTTGAGGAGCAACAATTGCTAATTGAAAACAATGAAGAGATCAGAATGAGATTCATTTGTTAAACTTGATTACATAATGGATTATTAAGTCAAATAATTGAGATTAGATTTAAATAATTTGAATTTTTTGAAAATCTTTATTGAGCTGTTAAGTATTTTTGAAGTTTTGACATAATATTAAATTAAATAATCGAGATTAAATTTCATTCAAAAAATTTAATGTTTATAATTGATGGGGTTTTTTTTTCTCAATTTTATATAATATCATTGCCTCACCTAACATGGATGATTGAGGTTAAGTAAGTCTGCAAGTTATGCTCTCTTCCAAAATCAACAAATTAAGCAGCCATACCATCACCATAAAGGATGGTTGTTACGAACTTCCATTACATTCTTCTGATGGTCTTAAGAACCGATTTAGACGTGTCAATGATGTCTTTACCCATTAGGAGGGGGAAAAAAGCCAGAGAAACGAAAAGAAGAAAACAACGTCATGATTTACCATGCATATGGTTTTGCTCTTTGTCTCCCATGTTTAGAGACACAGAAGACTTAGAAAAGAAACGAAAAATATTTTTGCTCTCTCGGCCCCTTAGGTGCTGCCAACAAAAAACTTACTCAATTTGACGTCCGATCCAAAGAAGGAAGTTAGCAGCAAGGATAGAAGAAGCAAGGGATGAAAGCGTGAAATTGATGTTTTGATATCATTATTATTATTTTGAAATGATGACATGTGGATGTTGGATTAGTGTGTGATACAAAATAAGTACAAGAATATAAAATGATATAAAAATTATAAAATAGACTATCTATTAAAAGATTTGAGCCTCACGGTGTACGTTCTATCTCACAATTTTTATATTTATTGGATGTGAGGCAATACCCTTCTTCATTTGTAATCTATTTTTTTTATCTATCAAGCTATTTGAGTTTTAAGATTTTTATTGAGTCTTTGAATCTTTTTAAAACTCCAATTCAGGTCAAAAAAATCATATCGATATAAAAAATTAAATTATTGGATAAAATTTTAAAAATAGTTTTGTATTATTTTTTAACCATATCTATAATTAATTTAAATTTTGAGTTCAAAATAGATGTGATGTGTCAAATAACCAACTAAACTTAAAAATTAAATTGTTGGGTAATATTCTAAAATATGATTTATATATATTACATATTATTCTCTAATATATTTCCTCAACTAAAATTCCTTATTCTCTAATCTACTTCCTCAAACAAAAACCATTTAGACTTAAAATTTACATACGTTTACCACTATCTTGTGCTTAATTATTTAATATTAATAAAAAAATATAGGTAGTGAAATTCAAATTTATGATTATTTAGTCATAAAGGCTTTGTTATCATTTCAAAAAACCATCCAATCTAAAAATTTAATTATTGGATGATTTCAGAATATAATTTATATTATTTTTTAATATGATGGAATCTCTCTCTCATATGAAAAACAAGATCTTTTCCTTTAGCTAAAATTGTATTTAGTATAGAAGGAAAAAGGGTGAAAAGTTACCCTTGTATATA